ACAAAGACAATCAATAGACCAAAATTTACGCAAACTTGCAGAAACTGCAGGATTTGCCGATATCTACACGCAAGACTATAGCGGATATTTTAAAGACATTAAAGATTATATATATCTAAACGGCGAAAAATACCGTCCCCAAGATATATCACCAATTAACATTTTTAGCTTTGTTACACTCAAAAATGAGATCCTAGATTTTCTAGGATGGCCCTACTACATCTTAGAAAAATTGACTATTTTATACGCAATGTTTAACTTTATTGGATTTCTTTTCTCACTCTTAAAAGGAATCTACAATACATGTGCTATACACACACAAGTAAACAGACAAGCAAGCGTAGCACGCATACTTTTTGCAGGATTTTTTGGAATTTTTTCCACATCTATAAACAAAATTCTTTTAGACGCACAAATAAAAGAATATAACACAAAAATAACAACACGACAAAATACATACGACGAAGAACATAACAATGTCGACCCACAGCCAACGGCACCACAATTACCACCCCTACCAAATAACCATCCACTATCCCTAGTCCCACGAAATTTTAGAAATTTAGCAATCACACATAATCCAAACTTTAGACTCACCACATCACAAAGTCCCGTCCAACATATAATGACACATCAATCACAAGATGATAATACTTACGAACAAATTATTGAACAACCACATACCACCGCTTTTCAATCTCAAAATAATAATTTTTTTAGCCCACGATGAGCCGCCAACTTGGATCACTCCATCGATCAAATTCCCATCCAACCAACCTTACCTCTTCAATCCCAATAATACCACTTTTTGCTTTTCCGCCACCCGATTTTCCATCTAGCAATGTAACATCAGGCATGAATTCCGACACTAACTCACAAATTTCAGTTTTATACTCCATTTCACAGCTAAATAACCCGAATATTGAAACCCCCGACGAATTTGCCGACTCAGAACCATCTCCATCCAATAATTTTCATAACCCTTCTCAGTGTTCTCAACCTCCTTTTCAACCCATATTGTCAAATAACCCTGACCCCATCACTCCTACACCCTCTTATGCTTCCCAAGTTACCCCAACCTACTCCTCATACCATTCTGACCAATCATCTCCAGACACCCCCCGAATCTCCCCAGAGCTAGACAATTTTATTACCCTCCAACAACAACCCTACCACCTTAACACCCCGACCATAAACCAAATCTCCTCCACTACAAATTCATCCAATCCCCCTACACCCTCTTCAAATTATACTGAATCATTAGCACCATCATCCACATCAACTGAATCCTCACTCAACACTAATAGAGCTTACCGCACTTTTAAAAGAAAGTTCCCCAACCATCCTTTCCCAGCAAAACCAGGAACAGCCCGTGAATACATCAACCACCCCCAGCATACTAACACTAGAGAATTTTTAGCTATCACTTTACCCTCATTTCCACAATACACCTTAAACACCCCTCATGACGCTAACGAAACACGCAACTTTGTAGACGAATACGTTTTAATGCCCACTCTCTCTTGGACCTCATACTATCATTTCACTAATCCTCTTTGCTTACCTTTAACCAACACATCCATCGATATAGACCGAAACAAAGACATGCTATATCGACTAACTACACCACTCACCGCTAGACAATTTACTTACGTAGGATATAAAAAATCACTAAAAATACACACTGCACCTAGAGCTAATGAATATACACTAGAATACTACGATCACAACATCATCAGAGCTAACCAAGATCAATTCTTAGACGATGATCGCTTCGCTAACCCACAAATCACCGAGAAATTTTTCATCAAGACACCATATGTATTTACACTAAACATCTTCGACCGAAAGTTTGATCACATTATTTCAGAAGCACTAACAAGCACACAAGCGTACGAAAGTTTTAAAGAACGCTTCCAAATCTTTTCACTAACCTTTCATTTCCTTGCACCACACGAAAGAGATTTACACTGCTCACACGATATTATGTTGCGAACTAAACAAACACATACATACAGTTACTATCGTTTCATCCAAAATCACTTTGACCTCCACACACCCTCTAGACAACCACACCATCGCTTTCAATTCATCAATTCAAAATACACTTCACCGTATTTCCTAAATTTCACATATTGTATTAAAGATACTAACCTTCATGGTATTCTTCGTAACTATGACCCCATAACCCAAATGTACATTTTCTGCCCCATCACCAAGACCTTCAACGCCGAAGAATCCCGACCCTTCCTTATCCCGCACGAGTTTGTACAGCCTATAGAAATCCCCATTTTAGAATTCATCCACAACACTAAATTTAACCACAAATTATATAACTTAATCCAAAACACACCTTATGAGTTTGCAGTAGGCACTGAAGAACTAACCATTATTAAGGCACTTCAATTGCTTTGGCCACTGCTTCAAACTAAAAATATCATCCGCATCTTAGCTAAACTACTAACAACTTCAGAACTAGTTCACGATATCTTCCCCCACGGTTTTTTCCCCGACGACTAACAGGTAAGTATGAATTAAATGAATATTACTAACTAATTAAAATATTAAAAAACTCACCATTCTTTATTCATGTTTTCTTTAGATTTTTAGCCTTCATCTTCGATCATCTGAAAAATTCACAAAAGAAAAATAAAAAATAGCAAACTTCTTCAAAACTGTTTAAGACCCTTTTAACTTTTGCACCAACAATTAAATAAATATAATACCAATGCAGTAAATTAATTTATAAAACTTTCCCCCAAAGCAGTAAATCTACATATGATGAAAATTTGTATCTTAAAATTCCCCCATTACTAGCAGTAAATTTCCAAATTCTATGCAGTAAATTAATAAAATGCAATTGCAGTACTAACCTTTTGACATTTTCATTCATTCGCACAGAAATTCTATCCACACTCACACAGCTCGCCCACGAAGAATTGTTTAAAATAATGAATTTCAGTTTCAAGTTTTCACACTCAACAACTCTAACATATAATAACAAGTTTCAAACTTTCCTTTAACCCGGTTGGAAAGGAATCATATACTAAACAAAACTAACCAACGCAGCTTACTAAATACCACAAATCATAAAATAACAGCATGACTAAGAAAAGGAAACCAACGGTACCCAAACCGGATTAACCCAGTTTAAAACTGGATAATTTATTCTTTTGAAGACTATTACAAAGTCTTAGAAAGAAATAATAAAACACAAAAAAGTCGAAAGACAAACCCATACCACAAACAATTTGCTTTTTGAACAAAGTACATAACCAACAAGACATAAGTAAAACCACAACAAACCCAACATAAAATGTTGTCACATAACAGGACTCCTCATAAAAACCGCATGAAATCATACTCCCACACCTGGCCTAACCCACCAGGAAAGGACGTCCTGAGCATGCTCTATAGCCGGCCTAACCCACCGCGCTACATCCACGCTTTGTGACCACACCTTTATTTTTAATAAGAGCTACTCAAGGGTGAGTAACTCTTCAAAATAACCGAACTAAAACAAAAAGCTTTTGTGAAAACAACTAACTAAAATCATTATTAAAAAATATATTAAACTAATAAAAGATTTATAAAATGTAAAATTACATGATGCAATATATAGATCAGAATACAACACCAAGGACGAACATCAAAAGACAAGACGACCTCACTACACTCGAGAGAGAATGACCAACTACAATCGATATGCCGCTCACAATCACAACTCAAAGGATTTAGAGTACGACTTGACTTCGCAGAAAAGGACTTCATTGAACTAGACCAATGACCACCTCGATGTTCAAGTATACGTACAGATCCGAGTAACCAGGCATCCCCTCCATGCACAATCTCCACGCCATTCCCGAGCTAGATCAAACACAAAAGAAGTTCTCTCCGAAGAACGGAAAAACCTGACATAGCCAACCATTCTGAAACCAGAATTGATGCTGTTGCAGAGACTCGGTCGTTGTCACAAGAAGAACACAACGTCTTGTGTCCTCAATTCCAGATCCCTGGAACTTCCTTAACAAAAAGGAAACAAAAGAAAAATGATGTTCGCCAAATACCAACGTCCATCATCCATCCTTGAACTACAGAAGAACTGTTCTAAAAAACTCTGTAAAACCCGGATGGGTGGAACCTGATCTAAACTATATTTTATGATTGGATAAATTAAATGTTTTACCAATGTAAAGTATTTAATATTAACCAATCATGATCCATCTAACTAACAACCCACTTATTTGTAAGTGCTGAAGTTACTTGTAATTTCAGCACCAGAGAGATTTGAATTTAACTTAGAAATTAGTTGGACTCTCCCGAGCACTTCAGCAGCCGCAATAAACCAGTATACCCTAGATCTATTGAGCCTAGCAGAGACTAGTTAAACAACCTGAGACTAGATAGTATAAGAGTAAGATTAGGATCGGTATTAGACTAAGAAGTTGCACGAATCTATCCGGCCGAAAATAAGATAGCGTGACGAGCAGACGGTGTACCCTATCCGAAATTACTCTATGAGTTATACACCCCAGTCCTAACTCAGAAGCCACAAAAACCGAGAGTAATCAAAATTAAGATGAGTACTTAAAAATTGAAGAAATTATTTATCCATGATTTGTTTTAAGCTGACCTTTATCAACCAACCCTCATGATGTATGAAGTGAGGGGCAGATTTAGGGTGGGGGGCGGACGGATTTGACCCCTTTACCAACCAAAGTGTTCCCCCTTGTATTATTTTATGACATCACTTTTAGGACGATCCACCCTAAAATTTTTCTTAACGCGCCTTGGGCGCCAATATACTGATTTTGAAAGGGAAGCGGCGATAAAAAAAACGCAATTTTATGGTCAAAATTTTCCAAAAATACCCAAAAATAGGGTCTTTATAGTGTTCTGGGAGTGCTCGGAAAATCAATTTGGTTAACGTAAAAATAGTTGACAAAATTTTCGAACACTGCACCACTCTTTTCATTATGAATGAATAGTTTATCACTTACCAGTTGTATTCTGGCCTCTGGACTGCGCCTGTGCTCATACTCAGTGGAAGAGGCCACACAAAGTGCACTGCCATGGCCATGAGTCAGGGTCATACTTGGGTCAGCATTACTGGCCAGCAACTCATCTATGCCCTACACAACCACGCATGTATAAATTACGGGGACATTTTAACCGCAAAAAACTGCTGAGAGTTGATCAGATCGTGTGAGTTTAAATTAAACTAGCGTTTAACGCACCTTCGGTGCTTCGAAATTTTTCGACAACTCAGTAAAAACCGCATATATTGGAAACAACATCTGCAAACTTTTAGTGTACTCTGACTGCACCCAATTATTAACTTTAAATTTTTTTTACTTCCCATTTTAAAAGCGTCATCTCAAAAACTTAATGGGCCTCTGGAGAAATTTGGAGGCCAGATTTGCAACCACTGTGAGTCCCTGAGAGCACCCTACTATAGGGTAAGGAATCCAAAATTTTGTGAACTTTTCTAAACCTAAGTTTCCCGAAAAAAAAAAATTGAAAAAAAAACGTCTTATCTCGAAAACTAAAAGGATTTGAGCATTCATATTAAGAGGCACGATTTGAGACGCCTGGGTGTACGCTGACAATTAGGTTGTATCTTCATCAAGCTGGTAGTTTCAAATTTTTTGAATTTCTTTGTAGATAAGTTCTTTGAGAAATTTTGAAAAAATCAAAAAACGTCACATCTCGGAAACTAAAAGCATTTGAGCAGTCGCGTTTATCATTCGCATGTGGCAAGATTTGCAACTCTTTAGAGTACCCTAACAACACCGAACTATAGCGTTGGGAATTTCAAATTTCGAAAAACAATTAACTTTAACTTTCTGAAAATTTTGAAAAAATCACAAAAAACGTCACATCTCGAAAACTACAAGGATTTGGGCAATCATATTTGGAGGCAAGATTCGCGATCCTTGATAGTACTCTGACAGTACCCAACTTCAGGGTTGGGAATTTCAGATTTTAAAAAAATAATAATAATTTAAGTTTTCTGAAAATTTTTGAAAAAATCACAAAAAAACGTCATATCTCGAAAACTACAAAAAATTGAGCAGTCATATTTGGAGGCAAGGTTCGCAATCTTTGAGATTACTCTGACAGGACCCAACAACAGGGTTGGAAATTTCAGATTTTGCGAAAAAAAAATTATGTTTTCTGAAAATTTTCAGAAAAATCACAAAAAACGTCATATCTCGAAAACTACAAGGATTTGAACAGTCATATTTGGAGGCAAGAATTGTAACTCCTTAGAGTACTCTGTACAGGGTTGGGAACTTCAAGTTTTTTAAATTATTTTATTTGAAATTTCAGATAATTTTTGAAAAAATCTCAAAAATCGTCTTATCTCGTTAGCTAAAATGAAAATGATTCGGGCATTCAAAATTGGAGGCCAAATTCGCAACCCCTAATTCGATATTGGGCTGCTTAATTTAAACTCGGTTAAATAACCACTAAAATCAAATTGGAAAATCGAAAAAAGTTCTTAACCATTGCAATATACGATATAGCTTAAACATGCAAAAATAATACGTTGAAAAAGCTTAAACATGGCGAGATAGTGAAGCCCGCATTTAAATATATAATAGATGCTCCATAAAACTTCATAAGTGCTAAAAAATTCCAAATCAAACATCATTTTTATAATATTCTCATTTCACGCTGCTGAAAAGCCAGATTTATATAAAAGCAACTAACCGGGTCATTTCCGCTGATGATCAGCTGAGCCAGAGGCGACAACCCAACTGGATTCAACACATTACAATTAGCCTTGTGGGCCAATAGGAGACTGATTATGTGTCTGGCACTGACATAGTCGTCGTCCCGCTGGCACGCATAAGACAGGGGAGTGTTGCCGCCAACCACTGGCTCAGTCGGTTGATGGTCCAGACTGAGGATCTCCAGGGCAGTACGCTGGTTCTCTTCGTGATTGTCTTCCAAACCGACCTGAAATTTAGAGTCAGGAAATTTAGAGTCAGCTCGCTCGTGAGGCGATATTTTGCAGCATATGACACTTCGTAACTTCTTTAACGGCGACGAGGCGCTTCAAGCGACAACTAGAGACACTTAATTATATATCATGCACGGAGTAGATTAAGCGGGAAGCACTAATTTACACGAAGTGAACAACTTCGGCCGAACGTATTCGTCTGTAATAAATTGTCGCCCAACCCAATTGTTAGTATTTTTCACAATTTTAGAATCTATAGAAGAAACTTCATGATATATTTATGTAATTCTGATTGAACAAATTAATTAAATTAACAACGCTTTAACTTAATTTGGTTTGGTTTCATTAATAATTGAGAAATAGTTATCCGTCGTTCATAATTTTTTTGTTTTTCTTTTTAACTTTGACAACTCAAAAAATAGAACATGACTAGCACGTTTCCTGATAGGACGTAAGACGTGTCACTGGCCGCGATCAAAAAAAAGATCTAATTACCGATATATCTTTTTCGCTGTCATATGGATACGCCTGGATATTCGGATTGGCTCCTGCTTCCAGGAGCAACTTCGTGATCTGGACCCCCGCTTCGCCAGGCAATGTAGTTGCTATATGCAGTGGAGCTAGTCCTCCTTTCTCTTTGGGTAATCTAGTTTCAGTCGATGCCCCTTTAGAGAGCAAATTTGCTACGCCGTCCGGGTCGGCTGTTTTCAGGGCGAAGAATAGAACTGGGAAAGGTACCATTGATGCATTAGGATTGGCGCCTCGTCTCAGAAGCAGACGGATCATGTCTTCAAGAGCTTTTCTCCTTGAAAGAACATAAGTTTGATAAATGCAGAAGATGGCTTCTTTTTGCTTTAAAAAACATGATTTAGTTACTATTTTTTCTGGAAAACTATTTGTTAAGAAGCTTAAGAACAAGCTTAAGAAGGCATAAGCCATGTAGCGTATATACCGTTTTTGCATTAGCTTATCATCCTTGTTCTTCTCTAGATATCAAACTACAGGCTGATATCAATCAAACCCCATTCATAGATAACAGCAAAATTAAGCAACTTCAGAATTTGAAAAGTGAGAACTTTTCAATCTAATTTTCCCTAGTTCACTTTTCTCAATTTCTGGTGTTTTTGGATTTCAAAACTTGCAAGATTCTTGCGAACTAAAGCAAACTTTTGACGTGTAATTTGGAATGCTTATGTTGCAAGTGATGTCTCACTCACTTGATTTTCTTGATGGCCAGTTCCCTCACAGTCCCTGGATCTCTATTATTCTCCTGACCACCCATTGTCGCCATTAAACTGTGCTTCAACTTCTCATTCTCACTCAAATTGTGTGCAGTTCTGTCTAACATCTGAGCGGTGACTTCTATTTTGAAGTTGTACAGAGACTGCGTTGATACCAGTTCGCTCATGGTTTCTTTTAAGATTCCTCCGCCTCCGGACATTTTATCACTCAGCTCGCCTGCCGCCTCCAACTCAGCTGAAATTACATGTCATCATGTCACTTTTGTTCTTATACCCCAATGTTATTGACCTTTAACACTAAGTTTACTTTTTGAAATACAATCAAATGAAAAAAGGGATTTTAGCTCCTTTCAAGATCGCAGCATTTATTTTACATTTTCTAAATGATAGGCAACAGTCCGTTGGAAAAGGGTCAAGACTCTTGCAGGCGATGTAACTCAAAAAGACATGTAAAAACGGACTTTTTTGACAGACTATCGAAGCTTGAATGATTACCCTTCAAATTAAACCAATTTGAGAACACAGCCAACAGACAGTTTGAAAAGAGTCAATGAACTCAAGTAAACAGAAAGAAAAAACTGACTTGTTTTTTTTAATGAAAAAAATCTCAATTTTCAAATTTCGAAGAAAAAAATAGATGCCTTTCAAACTCTTTGAATTTCTAAAACAATTTATGACCCTTTTGCTAAAATTAAGGCAATTTGAGAAAAATTGATCAATAAGTCACTTTTTTATTTTGCTCGAAATCCGAAAATTAAATTCCATTTCGGAACTAGAAGTCGCTCACGTTTTTCGTGACCCTTTAAGTTTTGCTGCTCGATAATGGAATCTGCTTTCCTTTTAACAATGGAAATGCACTGAACTTCAAGAAATCAAAAGTCAAACCGCGAAAATTGAAATTTGAGCGTTAAAATCTTTTCGCGAAAAACCATCACTCCCTATAAAAGAGTCTTCACTACATTCATCAAATCCTAGAAAAAAGATTTAGCCAAACAAACTGCAAGAACATGTAGAGTGCCACACAATATTTACGATAATTATCAGAATCTTAATTATTTGTACCTTGTAGCCGTGCTAGTTCTGCATCTGGTTCTGTGTCCGATGTTCTGTCTTCTGCTCCTCCGTCGTTTCCAGTCGCCTACAAAAGTCACAAAAACATATTTAGACAAAAAAGGAGCACACACATTTCAATATTTGTGCTTAACAGTTAATCGCCAAGTAGTTTGAAAATTAGTTTAAATAAGTTGTAGTTATTCAATGACGAAGAGCTACATCGCTGAACAGTTTAGTTTCATGGAGGGAATTGATCATTCAACTCGATTGAAATTGCAAGATAGTACTAAGCGAACTGCAGAAGAAGAGCTATCAGCCTTTAAGGTTGACATCAGCCAAAAATGCGATCAGAAGCTGGCCGAGCCAGACCATTTATCAACATTGAATACTCTCTCAGAGACTGAGTGAATCGACTCGCACAAGCAGCGAGACACGGTTAGAGCCATTGGACTACCCGAAAACTTCCTACAGAGCATCCTAAATCGAAGAAATCCCAAATCGATGTTTTTTCGAGCAGCAAAAACTTGCTCAGAACAAAATGCCCGAGTTGGTCAAAGCAGTAAAAGCATATTAAATATAGCAGCTAAAGAAATTAGGTAATCAAGACGGATTAAAATAGTATTTAAATTTATATCTAACTCATTCAACACAGGTATAAATTCTTAGTGGAACGAACTGTACACCCTAAAGTTTTTTTCCCCTGAAGTCTCAAAGTTAATGCTAGCAGAACTGGTATTTTCAGGAACACTTTCTTGAACGAATTTTCACAGATAAAAGACTAATGAATCTGCCAGCAGTATGCACTGAAACTAAAGCGTACAATTTTGTGGTAATGAATGAGCTACGGCCTGGTAAATGAATGAGAATGCAAGTTGCTCAACGCGATCTATTCTTAAAACGCTTGAAAGAGAATTTCTTAAAACGATAACGCAACCTTGTTGCAACTGTTCTTTTAAAAGTTTCCGTTTCGTTTGGAGTTTTTTCCCTTCTATATTACTATCGGTTTTCCAAGGGCATTACATCAAGAGCAAATGAGCTCATCGTAATGTCCTGGAAAGGCATTAATTGTAAAGATTTTAAATACGATTGTTTAAAATGAAAGTATATCGATATTTTGCCATATTAAAAAAAATTAACCAGCAACTTGCAAGTTTTACACAGATACGAAGCAAAAACACCTGCAAGAACACGGCCAAAAAGCAACTCTATCGAGTGAAATAAGAAAAAGTAGAAATAAGCCTCGAAATAGCAAAAACTCGGCTACCGAATTTATTCGCCCATAACCCGCGGGTTATCAGTTTATTTTTAAGATGAAATTGCGGTTTATAGGCGAGGGCGGGTTATACGCGGGGGCGGGTTATGTGCTAAAATTGACCAATTATTGTAAATGACTGGCTTTTATTATCCAATAAGCTGAGTAATGTTGATTGAACACTCCGTTTAAAATTGACCAATTATTGTAAATGACAGGCTTTTATTATCCAATAAGCTGAGCAATGTTGATTGAACACTCCGTTTATAATGACACAGCTGGCTCATTGAGTGTATTCCTTCAGACCGCAATGACTGACAACGCTGAAATGCCTATATTGTCCGATACAGCGAATACACAGTCCAAGGCCAAGCGGAAATCTTATTCTCTGGAATTCAAGCTCGTTGCAATCAAATTTGCCGAAGAACGCGGTGGAAACAGGAAGTCGGCTGAAGATCATGGTGTTGATGAAAGTTTAGTGCGGGATTGGCGTAAGAATAAACCCAAAATTATTACTGCCACCACTGTCACAGGCGAGAAAACAGAAGGACTCAAACGAAAGCGAATATCGGGCAGTGCAAAGCCTCTGTTTGATGAAACCGTTATTGTAGCTCAAATCGAAGAGTTGCGCCATGAATACCGCCAGGTGACATGTAAGCAAATCTTACTGTGGGGAAAAGAAAAGGCAGCATCCAGTGGAATTGAAGGATTCAGGGGAAGTCGTGGCTGGTTACAGCGCTTTATGAAAAGGAACGGTTTATCAATTCGTCGGCGTACAACAACTGGACAGAAACTACCACACGATCTTGTCCCGCAAGTTTCTAGTTTTATTCATTTTGCAAGAAACAAATGGACACCCACCACTTTGGACCAAATGCAATTGTGAACATGGATGAAACACCAATATGGGCAGACATGCCAGGAGTTACAACTATCAGTAAAACCGGAACAAAGATGATACCGATTCGTACTACCGGCCACGAAAAGAATCGTCTGACGGTTTGTCTGGCAGCCAAAGCTGATGGTACTAAAATGCCGCCATACATTGTCATTACCCGCAAGAAGTTTCCAGCTGAATTGAGCAACATATCTGGCGTTGTCGTTGCATGCTCTGATAATGGTTGGATGAACGATGACTTAACTATTGACTGGGTTAATCGCGTGTGGGGTAATTTCGGTTTTGGTAAACGCTTTCTTGTTTGGGACAGTTTTAAGTGTCATCTGTCAGATCAAGTAAAAGACGCCTTAAAGCGGCGAAATACGGTAAAGGGCGTTATCCCTGGCGGATGTACGAAATTGCTGCAACCAGTTGATGTAAGCATGAACAAGCCCGTGAAGGATGCTTATCGCGAAAATTATGAAAAATGGTTTGCAGCAGGTGATTTCGAATATACCCGAGGCGGAAATATTAAGGCCCCTTCTTTCAAATCGCAGATAGAATGGATATTGGCAGCGTGGAATACACTCTCGCCTGACATTGTGAGAAAGAGTTTCGTTACGTGTGGGATTTCAAGCCACAACATCAAAAATATTCATTGTCTTCAGCCTGATCAACCCGCTCACGCAGCAGCAGCAATAGTGGACGCCGCAGTACAACAGGAGATGACAATTGAACTGGAGGACGAAGTTTTTATTGTTGAAAAACCATCTGAAGACTATGATGACGACGACATTATGGAATTACAGCAACTGGATAATGAAGAACTGCTGAATGACGTAATTGATACCAATTGTTAATTATCGCATCGATTTTAATTAACAATTTTCTGAATTTACACATCATATTTTCAAGGTTTTACAATATAAATAGAAAATTTATGTGCGCGTTATAGGCGGGGGCGGGTTATAAATTTATTTTTAGCTTCCAAGTGCGGGTTGTAGGCGGTGGCGGGTTATACGCGGGGGCGGGTTATGGGCGAAAAAATACGGTATGTGCAGGATTCAAATCTGCGACCTACTGCAATCAAGAAATTCTGAGTATCACGCACTATCCACTCAGCCACGCAAGCTTAACAACCGACAAACACTAGTCACGAATAAAGCTTCTACATATGCTAATAACTTGCTAATAAATGCAAAAGAAAGTTCGTACTATAACACATTGCTTCGCAGGTGTAATTAATATTCTAGTCTCTGCCTTCCAAGCTTCTGAAGTTATAACTATAGGATCCAGAAGAAGTTGGTGGTCCCTAGATTCTTGTTTTTTCTCTCAAAGTCGCAGAGCCTTTATTGGAGAATTATTTTTGACATTCTAACTCTTATCAAATCCCCCCTCTTCTAACCTTCTTGTCTGCTGCATTGTCAGTCGTAGTATCCTTGTGGTCTTGTTCTGTACTCTTTTCACTATGTCCCTCCTTCTGTGTGGCAGACCCCCCAGCTGCTCCTGCTCCTCCTCCCTTGCCCCCCTTTGGCTTACCCAGTGGCTTGTAGGCCAGATCCACTGACTCATGTTCATCCGGAGTACAGAACCTAGACAAAAGAACCTTAACCCTTATTTCGCAATAACAACAAAACTAACGTAGAGCCAAAAAATTATAGATCTTACTTTTGTTATAATAAAACAGTTCTCGAGTAATCAGTTCTAAAGTACCTTTTGTTGGTGAGTGCTCTCTTCTTCAATCTGATCCGCCTCGCATTCGTCCTGAGTCTCTCTAACTTCACTTCTTGGGGCTCCTTTGCGTCTTCAAACCCCTCATCGTCCGATCCCCCCTCACTTGTTCTGCCCTGCAACATATACGATTGCTTAAACCTAGTCAGTATTATATGGATGACAACCGTTCACTTTTTCTCGACCCGACAACCTGGTCAGTTTTTTCATGGATCGGGCCACTGGTCCAATAGGAAAATTTGAACAAGCCCTTGCTTATCGCAAGGGTACACACAATGTATCAGAAACCTTAATTGAAGACCAAGCTATTTCAAATTAAATCAAGAATTGAATTGTAAATTGGTAATGGCAATTACTGAGTATTATGTATCTCCTGATTTCAATGTTTAATACTGGATGGAGCTTTTTTAGTCACCCAGACGGAGGTTGATTATCTAAGGCTCACCAAGCTATGGTTATCTAACAAACCACACTTAGCAAATTGCAGTGCACGTGCATTTTGAACCCGCAATCATTGGATTGCTGGTCACCATTATCACCAAAACACCAAAACTAGGTTAATCTCATTTTTTTGTGGGTAGGAAAGGAAAAGAACAAGGATAATTAGATGAAACACTGAATATTGTCAAAAATTTTTGTAAAATAAACCAGAACAAGATAAAACTGAAAAATGAACTGACCGCTGCCGCCTTGAAGAGAATTTCCGCTGCATTCGATTTGAAGTCCGCCACGTCGTAGAACAGCACGTGACACGCAGACATGGCAGATACTCCTTCATTTGTCAATCTGTTTATATCAGCTCCGAAATTCAGCAAAGTATTCAACACTTCACTATGGCCATTAATGGCCGCTAAATGCACAGCTGTATTTCCATCACGGTCCATGACGTCTACATAACACGCTTTCAGTCTGAGAATCTTGAGGACTAGGTCATTATCTCCACGCAAGGCAGCGAATAGAAGCATTTCACTTGATCTCTCGATTGGTCCCTTTTCTCCGATTCCTGACCTGTTTCCTATCATCATATTTTGAACGTTGAACTCTTGTTCGCTTTCCCAGAAATGGTGCTTTAAAACATGTCTCTGCATAGCTATAAAAGCCGGTGTTTTATTCAAAGCTACAGCTGATTTAACTTCCGCTTCGCTTTTCGATTTGTTCACACATTCCAAGAAATAAGCGTCCTCGAATTCTGATTGGTCGTATTTCAAATGACGCGCATCTATACTTGGAAGTCTATTCGAATACAAATCAGTCACGATGCTTTCTAAGAGTTCGTCGTCAAAGCGAACTCCTTTTGAACCCATTAATTCCGTAGACGTCGTGCTAAACTCACCGAGTCCTTCTTCCGAACTCGACATGGTCTTCTCGGCGACAATTAGCGGCGAAATATCTCCCGACGACAGAAGCATTTCGTGTTCTTTCGGATCGTATTCGAACTCGGGGAAGTCGATGATTGAGAATGCGTCTCTAACTGAAGTGCAGATCTTCATGAGCTGTTCACGTTTCCACATTCCACAATCTTCAGAGCCATCTGCATAGGTGAACACGCCCGGGCCACACCTAAAATACACATTCACGTGGTACACATTCTTTTCTTACAACTCTCACACTGAATATAATGGACTGAATCAATTGATTTCCCATCAGCTAAACTATTTACCAGTCAGTTACATTACAATTTACAGTTTATAATACCGTTTCGGCCAATATTTCAACTTCATATCTGGCTCTTTCTCACCTCTCGTTCTCCCTGTAGAGTCCCTTGAAAGTGGACTTGTCTGGGAAGAGGAACTTGCCATAGCCCTCCTTGTCGTTCTTGTAGAAGCGACCAGTGAATGTAGTCCCATCCGGCCATGTGTAACATCCCTTTCCGTGCTTCTTGTCTTTGAAAAACTCACCCTCGTAGATCTAAATTCATACATTTATAACTTTGTGAAGGGGCGGATATACATTTGTAAAGGGGATATACATTTGTAAAGGGGCGGATTTTCAACACATTTGTCGACCTCTTTTTTAACCCTGAATAGGAGCAAATTGATTTTCCGAGCTCTTCCAAATCAGTTAAAAAAACCATATTTAGCCCAATTTTCTACCGCCGCAGTCAAATTTCCGAAACAAAAACAGGCCGAAAAGGACGCACTTTTTCGGCTCGCTCTCGGCGCTCAAATTGATTATTGGCTCTCAAAGCACATTTACGGGTTGATCGACCGAGAATCAATGTCGCAGCAAAATAGTAACAAAGAGGCGACTCTTTGGCTATTTGGTGGGGGGGGGGCATGGGGGATTGTGCAAACATCTAATCTACCGACCTCTCCACTAGGGAATTTCTGTTTGCCTGTTCCGTGTCTGAGATCTGCCTGAAATTGTCCATTGTAACAACTGCCATCTGACCACTTCAGCTGTCCCTCCCCCCACCGCATGTTGTCTTTCCAACTGCCCTCGTAAGTGACCCCTGTTGGCAACTCCATCCTACCCTCCCCCGACCGCAGTCCATTTTCTAGCTCGCCTACAACGAAATAACGTTGATCATTATGAGGCCACACAGTGTATTTTGCCAATTGTAAGCGGATTCTGCAATAAGGGCTCTCTGTATTCTTCTTTTGTTCTTTCATTCTCTTTGATCGTTCCGACAACATGTTTAAAACTTGTCTCTGGATTCCAGAGACCTACACGCACCAAATTATGTGCCTATCCAGCGCACAGTTTGACCTCTCAATGATAATTTTCCTGATTCCTCATTTTTGTAAGGACAGTTCTTCAGTTTTTTTACAAAAAAAAATAACTTTACGTTTAGAAATTACTTGTACTATGAGTAAAGATGCGCGATTAAGGTAATTTTAATTTCAGTTCAATTCCAATTCACTGCAGGCTTTTCAATCTTTTTTTTTCAACAATTAAATATTTTTTTTTTACATTGAAAAAAATGAAGTTGACACGCATCGTTTGGATCTTGGTACCTTGAAGAACTAATTCAACGGTTAAACATGCGCGAATTTCGTACCTTTGAACTTGAAGTAATTCTTCTTCTACAATTAAGGATAAATAGCATGATCCCATCTTTGATATTTTTCTGAGAGCCACCTCATCCACAGCAATATTCAAGGAGCGTTAAAGAAATACTCTCAGATTGTTAAAAATAACTTGAAAATTTAAATCCCTTGCACAATTTATTGAATACACTGATTTTGTGATGCAGCTGCGGACATTTGAATACTTTTCTTCATAAATATTCGCCCTAAACAGTGAAACGTCAATCTGCGGAATTTTTTTTTTCATACAACTTCGAACAAACCTTCAAAAATAGCGCCACTTTTATAGAGCTTCTTGAACTTATTCTCAACTACATTTCCATCCGGTCCAATGACTGGAACACTCTCTGGCACTTCGTAGTGACCCAGTTGACCTGCCACCTTCTTGTTGGCCCCAACTCCGTTCGAAATACCTCCTCTTTGAAGCATCAGTGATCTAATAGTTCAGTCAAGCTCTTGAAAACTAACAACACATCGACCGAAATCTGAAGTTTAAAAACAGCAACAATTAGAACTAAACACAAAACTTGACTGAATCAGGCCATGCTGATGAACATACCATAGAAATTAAATGAGAGACTGAATCAGATATTAATATTTTTATGGCTTCAATTTTTTTTAAAGAATTCACGCGGAGTACAACAATGCCCTCACTAAAAAATAGTTCGATAAAAACAGTTTCAAAACTTAAATTTTTGAGAAAAACAACGAAACAAAAAAAACAATGACAACAAGAACACCATTTTTGCATAAATCGACTACCAAACAGTTGTTCCATAACAAAATGTCTTGTTTCAATGACTGAATACCAAATGGAAGTCTGAATTATGATCCGAATATCACATTATCTTCTTTTTACTGGATCAATTCAATTCCGGCGGCAACTAGGAAGTAGCGCTACCGGAAGTTACGCAGCCTATCAACATTTAAAACACTAAACCGCAATAACTTTCTTTCGCATAATTCAGCGTGTCAAAAACAATGCATTGGGCACAATCCAGGCTATTGGTTCGATCTTTTTAGAAAAAAGTATGAAAAAAATTCAATAAAATCCAATAAAAAACTACAGTACAAATAAGTCATTGAGTATCAAAAAAAGTGATTTTATAGAACAAAAAAGACCTGGCATAAATGTTTCTACGGTATAATTAAATTAAAATTTTGCAAAGCTTGTTAATTTTGTATTTGCAAAAACAAATAGGTCACAGGTACTAGTTTCAAATCACTGTTAACAAACATTAGGCTAGTATTATCAAAACATTCTATGCAAAAAAAAATACAAAAAAGCTCATGGGAGTTTGTATTTAGCTCGGTCACATGATTGGTGACGAGTTTCAAATTAGACGTTGCGAATATTGAATAGTGAGACACAGAGGCGAAGCGTAGCTTCGCGCCACTTGCGATACAATAAAAACAATAAAAAACATTAGTCGAAAAAAATTTTAGATGTTGAAAAAACTACGTGAACCAAAATGTTCGTATGTCTCGATAAAAAATTAAATAGGGAGAGACCCAGCTAAAGCTAGAGGTACGAGTTTGATATTAAATGAATTTGATATACTGATGCGGCACGCAAAGTGTAATTTCAAAAATTGGACTTTGCCGAAAACATTAGTTTTCTCTACTAAATTTAAAAAAAAGACTAAAAAAATGCAGATAACCAATTTTCCTAAGACGACATTTATCTTGCAAAAAAAGGAGTCAATTTCTGCAGGAACAATTATAGCAAACGGTTCGTTTAATTGAACCTTTCATCTCAGCTTTGATTGTCTCAAGTTACTAATTTCGAATTGATCGGGTCATACAACCCGTTTTTTGAATTGATCCCAAAATCTCAAATATAGCAAGGTAGTTTTCGAGAATATTCAAAAAGTTTATGATTACGATCAAAAAATCGAAAATTTCACTTTTCTGAGGTCGATAATTTTTTGGATAAAACTTTTGTGAAATGCCGCTAATGCAGGGGAGCTTCTTACTACGCGTTATCTCCATCGAACTAACAATATCAGATTTCAGAGGATAGTTTTCGGTCAAAAATCAAAAATTTGACAATTCTGAGGGCCATAAAAATAGTCAAAATTAGTCCAAATTCACTGAACGCGTAGAAATTTTGTGAATTAGGCATAAACGAATCCCAATGGTGTTCAAAAATAAATAAAATGAAAAAAAAATTCAATTTTTGGCGCTAAAATATTACTGAAAGAATTGTTTTGCCAGAGAAGAGCTAAATGAAGCTTCCAAAACTAGTTTTCTTTTTGGTGAAATTACGTTTTTTAGCATAAGTTTCTAAATTTTTAATGTAACAAATTTTTGATGTTACTCGATCGCTTTATTCGCTCGAAAATAGACAAAAAATCAAAAAATTTCAAACCGGTTTTTCTTGACACCAGTAAAAAAAATTTAGAAATATTCAAATGTCGTTAAATCACGACTAGAAGGGCTTTTATATGATATATCACTCGACCCTCTCCTATAATCATTTGTGAAACGTTATTTTATGTTGGAGAATTTTCAATGGTCGGAACAATAACTCGTTGTCTATTAATCAAAAACAGATGATACTCTCAATTCGCTGCTCATCGGAGTTTGAGATTCATGCATGATAATTTGCAGAAAAACAAAACCCTAGTCTTGTTGAAACTTCAAGATTTTGATGAGATAGTTGATACAAATATTCCCGATAATAATTTCATTATGATTTTTCTTGTAGTAAAAACTTCATAAAATGCAAGTCGAAACGCCATTTTTATCAAAAGAAGCAGATAATACTCAGGCATTTTCAAGGTTTTTATGAATTTTTTCTGATCAAAAAAATTAAAGCAGTTTTCCAGAAACTAAATGGAAAATTAAATTTTTTCCTGACTAGAAGGATCCTGATTTCAACAAACTTTTGATCGGAAAATCGATTAGATATATTTTTAAAAACTTGGAAAAACCTTGCTTAATTTCAATATTTCATTAAAAAGTTCTGGTCGGAAATTTAGACTGGAAATTGATGATTTCATCCTCAGAAACTAATATTTTGTTGGGTACGGGCGTTTACTGAGCATTGAATCTAAAAATTACACTGTTAATTACGTCTGGAATAGTTTTGTAGACGACCGTTCGGCCGTCGGGTGGCTATAACAAATGTTGAATCCCCCTCCGAGCCATTCAAACGTGAACATCTACTTTAGCATGATGAACCATGCATGTCACCCAATTAACGAATGAAGCGACTAAGCCAATATAAATAAAACAAAACCTTTTCAGTTGAAAAAAAACTTTGACTAAAAATAAAAAAAAGTGTAAAACGTAAAAATAGACAAATAATTTTTTTAGTTTTTCTTTTTTCGTTATAAACTCTCGGTATAATCTTATTGCAAGTTGGGTAATGAGAAACACTACTTAGCCTCCTGTTTTTTTTATGTGTCAAGGTCGTGAACATTGAGAGCTTACTTATATTCGTATGGCTTTAGCAATCGAAATTTTCAGGGGCATTGTGTTAACTTAATATTTCTGACAAAAGACAATCAACAACAACAAATTACATTTTAAACCAATTTTGATAAACCGAACAAGTCTTCAGGACTCGAACTCTTCTCTCTCTTTCTATCTCCTTTCCCCTTGTCTCTTTTTGAATCATTGCGTTGCGATTCTTTTCCTTTTCTGTCCCGCGAGCGACTTCGATTCGACCTCGTTTCTTTCTTTTCACGACCACGAGGCGACAAATCTTTCCTTCTCGGCTTCGCACGACTGCGACTTCTATTTGCTCTTTTTACGGGGGAACGACTAGATTCTTGCATTTTTGGGCTTTTATTTCTACTTCGACTTCTGGATTTAGCTTTTTTGTCTTTATTGCGAGGACTTTTGCTTTTGCTTCTATTTCTTTCGCGTACTGGTTCTTTGATTTTGTCGTCATTATTTTTGGAATGTACACGCAACTCCGTATCTTTGCTAGTCTTACTGGCATCTTTATCTGATTTTTCTCGCTTGCTTGATGTATGTTTCGATTCAGTTTTGCTTGGCTCAATCTTTTCAACAGCTCTTGCGCTTTTTGATTTTTCAACTACATTCGGGGATCTTCTTTTTTCTTTTCTGTCTCGACTTTTTGAACGTTCCTTTCGCTCTCTACTGCGCTTGCTGCTGCGAATGTCTACTTTTCCTTCATCTTTATTCCTATTAGCGTCAACTGCTTCTACTCTCGAGGTCTTCTCGATAATGCTTCTAGTATCCAAGACTTCCTCAGTTATAGAATAATTTGCAATAGCTTTGAACCTTTCTGATATACTCTTGTCAATATGCCAAGACATGTCAACATCTCCTTTTAAACCACTGTTGGGTTCTTCCGTCGGCCTTTGTTTGCTTCTAGCTTCAGGCGAGCGATTGTCTCTTTCTCTTCGTTTTCTTGAACTGCGGTCGATGTCTGTTCTACCAGACATCGGATGTCTCAATTCTTCTGGACTCCTCGATCTAGGCCTCGCGTCATCTCTATGTGAAGGAAGTCTCCTTGTACGTTCGCTCGGATCCATCAACCCGTGACTTCTAACCATCCCTGGATCTATAAATTCCTGCTTAGGCCTTTTTGGCGATATGGGTCTAAACGGAATCGGATCCCTTAAACTAACTGGCCTTCGTCTGAAATCTTCTCTTCGCGGCTCCTCAGACCTGCTATTGTTTTGATCAAATGGTTCATCTTTAATTTCAGTTTTGATTCTCTCGCTTAAAGTCTGCATCAACTTTTCTTCAATTGCCTCCGACTTTTCTTCACCTTGAGTTTCTCGAGTTGCTTCCCCGCTCTTCGATCGTCGTTTTTTAGCAGCTCTAACTTTCACCATTTCTCTCCTTTCCTCCTCTTTTTGCCTATAAAACTTCTCAAACCCTTTGTCAGAACTTCTGAAAGCTTTCGGTTCTCGGGTCATTTCTGGACGTTCTGACCTGTCTTTTCGGGCAGCCATGGTTAACCTTTCAAAAGCCGATAATCGATCTTTCTTTTCAGCAGTCTCTTCTTTATTATCTTTCTTATCTCTTCCTCTGTCGTCAGATCTGTTTCTTGGCCAGGAATTTTTCCAATGAGGGGGAGTTACACTTCGTTCCCGGTCAGTATAGGGATTAAAGCGCATAGTTCCTCTACCCTTGATTTTCATGCCATCTTTTCCAATTCTCCATTCGCCTTCCTTCTTTTTCTCTCTCCGACTTGAATCATTAGACTGACTTTTCCCTCTGGATCTCGGATCCTTCTCCTCAGCCGCATCTTTATCTGTGTTTTTCATGTCATCTTCCGGTTTTACTCTGGTCAAAAATTTCTTCTCCGGCACTGCTGGAATTTCTTCGGGGTCAATGGAGCAGAAATACTCTGTTGGTTCTGACTGTTCTGGCTCGCCAACTGGTGCTTTTTGACTGCGTGATGGTTCGTCCGAATTGTGTGATGATATGATGTCTGGCAGCTTCTTTGATGAGGACGGTTCGTCATTTAAGGCTTCTTGCAGCTCCATTTGTTCTGGATTGGAAACGCCTAAAATCAGAAGACAACCTTAAAACCACTCTAATTAACCACTTAAACCACTCGGACAATTAACTCGGCTTTCTGGAATGAAATTTTGGGAAAAACACCTTTAGACTTAAGAATAGGCAAAAATCTTTAGAAATAATTACTTCATTTTGAAATAACAATTAGTTTTCGATTTTCAGTTTTAACAAAGATCTTCGGTTCACTGGTCAGAACAATAACTTCACTGAAACAGCCCAACATTTCCCTCATTCCACCAGGCAGACTAAAAAGGAACAGGGTCAATCCTTTACAGCTGTTTTTAAGAAATTTTACCTATATCCAAAACATCGCCAACTTCAGCTTCTGGTGTGACATTGGCATCATCGGCTGTTTCTTCCAACTGACCCTCGTCATCTTCGGGGCCTTCCTTGTCAATTCCTTCATCAATTTGCTCCTCCACCGTTTCCATAGCTGGTACTTTCTCCTTTTCAACCTCCTGATTCTTTTCCTTTGTTAGTTCTTCAATCTGTTTCATTTTCTTCTTAGGTGACTCATCGTCACTTGAACTTTCCTCACCTGAAAAAAAAAACAATCAAAATATTGAGGTGCAAGTGCTAGTAAAATTTGCTCGCAGTCATATGGTTGCCGGTTCGAAACTAGCACGCGTATCACAATTTGCAAGGTGAACATTTTCAAGTAGGCCATAGCTTAGTCAAACTTGCATAAGTCACATTCGAGTTTTTCGTACCTAAAAAATAGCCTGTTTTTTTTTAAAAAAAAAACAAGAAACTAGCAAAAACTAGATATAATGTTTCCGGTCTTTCTTCAACAGTTATGCATTCCAATTGAAAGCTCTCTTGTTCAATTTGGTGTTTATTTGCGATAAAACAAGTAAAAAATTGCTTTCGAAGCAATAAAAAAGGTCTTAACAAAATATGTTTTGGCAAAATGTTCAGTTGCGCTCAAACTAACCTCCTTTTCCACTGACGTCACTGGCAGCTTCAGATTCTTCTTTCTCTTTCTTGGATTCTTTTTTCTTGTTCTTTTTCTTCTTTTTCTCCTTCTTACTTTTTTTCTCCTTTTTATCTTTCTTATTGCGTTTCTGCAACACCAACTCGCCGCATTTCTCAACAACTATCTCCGTCGTTGGTTTGTGACCTTGTTCAGTTACAGGTTGATTTTCAATCAACTTCACAATCTCCTGCCCTGAAACTACCCTTCCAAAAACTGTATGTTTATTGTCTAAATGAGGACATTTAACTGTAGTTATGAAGAACTGTGAACCATTCGTGTTTGGGCCTTTATTCGCCATTGAGAGTAAAAACTCTTCGTCATGTTTCAACTTGAAATTCTCGTCTGAAAATGTTGACCCATAAATTGACTCTCCGCCTTTTCCATTTCCCAGCGTGAAATCTCCGCCTTAAACAATTATGTTATTCAAACAAACAAATTTAATTAATCAAAGTTTCAACGTAATTTAAACTTTATTTAAATGAAAACTATGCAACGAAAATGCAATGCAAATTAATATTTTTAAAATTTAAACAGCAGTTTAAATTAAAAAAAAACTATTTAAAAAAAAAACAATTTAAATTGTACGGATAGGACTAGCATTTTCGTTTTTTAGAAAACAGCTGCCGAAAAAGCCAATTGTAGAAACAATATTTCGAAAAAAAACTTTAAAATGTGAAAAAAATGATTAAAATTTGTTTTCTGTCAAGTGTCAATTTAAATTTGAATCAAAAAATTATATTAGAGTGAAACTATTTCCAATTAAGCTAAAAAAAATTTTAATTTCTGTCTATTTAAATCGACATGACTAACCTTGAATCATAAATCCCTTCACAATCCGATGGAATCTACACCCTGCATAGTGTAAGGGCTTTTTCCCATCAGCTGTTGAGCCTTTTTCACCCGTACAAAGAGCACGGAAATTCTCGCATGTAATGGGACACGCGTCCATGAATAGCTCGAAAACAATGCGGCCAACTTGGACATTACTGATTGTGATGTCAAAAAAACATCGCGCTCTTTTTGAGACTTCAGTTTCAGCCGACATACTTCGGCTGATTTCTGTAGTGCGGTTCGTTCAGTCAAGTACACTGCCTTCGTTTGTTATATAAAGTTGTTCATGCTAATAAATCTAAAAAAAGAACGAATTAAAAGTTTGTGTAAAGAAAACAACCACAAAGGTAGGAACAAAGAGTCTTTCCATGACTCATTGAAGAAAAAGTACGCCTCGAGAAAACCGTAGATCCGCCCCAGCCAACAGGCTAACTGACAATACTAATAAGAATTGAAAGCTCTACAGAACAATACGTAATCCTTGAGAATTGTGTGCAGTCAACGAGAATATTACCTTCATCCAATACCGATCAACGAGTATTCTCAAATCCTGATTGGACGCTTAGAAAGCCAAAAATAACACCTTTATGGTCTGTTTTTCAAGCAGCACAAAGAAAGTAAGAATTTATTTCTCATTATTAATGGGTGAATATGCATATAACGCGAATTTAAACATGAAGCACCAGAAACAGTGAGGGGAGAGTTAACGAACTCATTTGGGTTGCAGAGCACTGCCCGTTTTATCGAAAGAAATACGAAATTTAAGATCTTCAAAGAAAAGGAAAAAAAATATATCTGAGAACATAAAAGAAAACATTGGAAAAAAAAATATTTAAGTTTGAATAAACATAAAGCAGCCAATTTATGGCCTTGTCTAGACAGGCTAATGACGTAAGGTCCAAGCTCTGCATCAATATTTAAAATGATTGTTCAATCGTAGTCGGTGTAAAACCAAATTAAATAAGAAAAGAGTTCAAATTCATCACTCATAATTTATGAATCTCGCTAGTCGTAGGCACCCCTACTCGGTTTCAAAAACAAAACTTGAGCTTGTTCACTTTAGAGTTACTTCTTCTACTAACTGTGTCATCCCTTGAAGCCTCTCTCTCTCACCAGTAGAACTGATTGGGGGCTAAACATCAGTCGACAACTAAAACTATGTGAGCCCATGCGGCAGTAGCCAGCGAACAACCCCAAGTGTGGTTTTCAAAACGCCGAAGACGCTGTGAAAACCATATACAATGATACTTGAAAAACTTGAAACATGCAGGCACTTCAGATCTGTCTTTCTTCGTCATTATCCGTTCATCCAAAAAATATGACAACAAAAGAGAATATTGATCAGCCCTTGATTGCTTAATATAAACAAGTCACGAATTTCGTGGGCAATGCGTTGAATATCAGAAATAGGAACTTGATCTAAAACTTTTGGATATAAGGATTTTTGTCCAAGTATAATAGAGAGCTTAGCTCCTCTGTAACTATATGAAGCTATTTGAAATTTGCTTTTGAAATTGGGAATTTTCAGTAAATTAAAAGTTGACCTTCTGGTCAAATACGACGGTATATCAAACACAAAAAGCTCATTTGAAAAAAGCTCAGAAATTAGTCCTGCTATTGATCGTTAAAAAAATTTGAGGAGTTCATACACATGCAGCTTGTGAAATGTTAAAATTTTTTCATCATAAAAACTTGTCAAATGCGTTTACTTTTTCTTTTGAAAAAAAAACATCGAATAATTTTCTTTTGGATCAAAAAAGGAGTAAAAAATTGTGTAGGAAGTGCCACCATACACCAATCATCCATATTGCAAAATGGGCTGCATAGTAGAGCCATAAAATTCAATCATAACAGTTTATAGAACATAATGACGCCTTTTCGAAACAATGCCACATTGTTTTATCAGCTTAATTTGTCTGAAATTAATGTGAAAATTAAATGATAATTTAGCATCTACACATACACCGAGATATTGGCATGACCCTTCAACTTTCAAAGGTATGCTATTAACAAATAATTGCTGGTTGGAAGCACTGTTCAGAGATACAATTACTTTTTTGTAAATAAGAACTGTTTTGTCCATATTTAGAGATAATTTATTCAAAATTAACCACCTATTTATAGCTACTAAGTCTTGATTGAAACTCTCAACCGAGCAGTTTAGTCCGGCGATGTTAATAAAACAGCCTACGCTGCGAAGCGGCGACGCCCGCCTAGAGCGACCCTTGAACTGACCGTCGTTTAAGGTCAACCCTTGAATCAACCTCGAAGCACTATGGACGAGACGAAATCACCATACAAGACCGAAATAAACCAACCCAAGGGCTTCCCTTGTTGTCAACTTCAACTCATCCACATCAAACCTCAAGTGATTTCCAAATTGTGGGAATGCGCGATAATTAAAAATAAGGTGTATGATAAAGTTACTACTATCTTGACTTTGTTGCTCATTTGTATCTAGTTGTTAGGAATAATTTCTTATTGATCCCAGTCTTTTTTCGGTTCGTCCAGAACGTTCTGTTTTCTGCAAGGTGAATCACAATTTTGATCTACAGCTAAAGGATATATATTTGCTAGCTCCGGAATATGATGATGTTTTTCAACCAATCGGAACTTTTTCAGCGGCTTTTATTTGGAATTTTAGCTAAAGGAACACTAGGTTCCTGATATGAGAAGGCGGGATTTCTATTTTTGAGATTGTTCAACCATGAACACGACCACTGTCGACGTTGAACCGAGGAAGTCGACCTGGTACTCTTGGACCAGTTGGAAAACACACCAGTAGATTTCAATACGGAGCAGAATTTGTACAAGAATTAAATACAGAGGCGAAGCTGTGCTCAGCAAACACAAGGGGGAAACGCAAAAAAGAGCCCTAAACAGGCAAAATAAAATGAAATAAGGAAACAGGAAAAGATTAAAAAATAAACCTTGTGTAAAAAATTGGAATATCAATTTTGATAATAGGAGTATCCCGTTCTCACATCTGATCTACGATACTTGTAATTTTACTAACACTGGCCACCAACAAAGCAGCAGAAACTCGAGCAAAAAAATTAAACTGTTTCAATGTTCCTGATTTGAATCACCGACTTGATGATTAGGAGTGTCACTCACGCCCTCGCATCTGCGCCAAGGTCACTTGGAAGCAAATTAGTGACCCAGCTAAAACTGGATGTACATAAATCCTATATGTACTGATACGGAAATTCGTAACTTTCAAAATGGACTTTAAGCAAAACCCAAGTAATTTCTCCGCTTAAGTGGGGGATAAGATACTTATTTAAAGAAGACAACTACCACTCGCTCTTTCAATTGAACTTTTAGCTCCAATTAGGCTGGGTAGTTTTCAAAAAAAAACATTCAAGAAGAACATTCATAAAAGCGTTCAAAAAATCAAAAATTTGAATTTGATGAATCCATGAACTTTTCTCTGCTTAGACATGTGCATAACCTCTTATGCAGGGAAAACTTCCAGCTCTGATTTTTAGATTGAACCCTTAAAATCAGATTTAGCTTGTAGTTTTCGAGAACAGTGATGAAATTTCTAAAAAAATAGCCAATCGAAGATTGGAAAAGAGTACTGAACGCAAGTTAATATAAAAAGCACATTGACTTTGTTGAAAAAATCTCAATTTTCAAATTTCAAAAAAAAAATGGACGCCCTTCAAGCTCTTTGAATTTCTAGAACATTTTATGACTGGCGCTTTTTTGATAGCATTAACCCAAGAGAAAACTGGATCAACAGGTAAAGTTTTTACTCAGCTGGAAATCTAAAAAATAAATTCCACTTTCGAAACTAGAAATGGTTCACGCTTTTTCGCGCCGATTCCGCGTTCGTATTTGGAGAGTGCTATCTAGGTCACTTTCAGTAGATGAACTTCAATTGAACTCAAAAAGTGCATTATACCAAAGTGCATCAATATTTTAAGATTTTTTCCTGAAAAAAAAAACAAAAAAAAATCAACAAGACCTGACTTTTCACTACGTTCATTACTCTTAAAAAAACGATCAAGATTTCAAAAATTGATTTTCTCGAAGTCCATTTCGGCTTTTCTACAAAAAACTAACGTGAAAAAATTAAGCCAGGAAAATCTGAGCAATATGAATATTAGAATGAACTATCAATCTCAGAATCACTAGGTTGGTTTTCAAAGAAAAAAATCAGTTTACAAAAAACGGAAAAAATTTCGTAAATTGAACAATTTCTAGGGCTATATATTTTTTGAAAACGCAGCGCATAAAAAATTAGTGCTGATAGTACTGGATAAAAATGAATTTAGCCGCTTGCGCAGGAAAAATTCACATAACTGTTTTTTTTCTTTCAATTAAACACATTAGAAAAATTTTAAGAATTAACCAAACTGTCAAAATGCGCTTGTTTGAGGCCATAACTTTTTTCTACCGAAAATAGGGAATAACCGCATGACAAGCGGAAATTCCCACGATATGGTTTTTTGATTGAAGCCTTCATCTTAGATTTGTGCATTTAATATTTGAGAACATGGAAACAGTAAAAAAAAAAATGCCCTTTTGAAAAATTTGAAGGCCGTAGAACGTGGTGTAACACGAAAAGAGACTAGCAAAATATGAAAGCACAGCAGCCGGTTTGTCCATTAGTCGCATTTTTTAAAAAAAACGGTAGTTTCTGAGAAAAATTAAAAATTCTGCGAAAAGAGCAAAACATTTCAAAAGCGCCGCAAAAAAGGAAAAAACAGCAAATCCCATACATTTTCAAAAACCTGTCTGTTTTCAAACAGGACCAAACCCTAGCCAAAAAAAGCATAATTATGCTAACAAACTGTCTATGCTTAATTAGGCTTAACCATGATTAAAATGAAACATACCAAAAGTGCCATCAAATGAGCACTTTTATTTGCGACTTAGGTTACAAAAAAGTCTTCGTATAAATATACGACTCTCGGAAAACGATATCAATTATAACTTTATTTTAAGCACGTTGGCTTATGTGAAGATTTATTGCCATTTCCCATTGGCAAAAATCTCAGGCTGATCTTGCGTCTTTTCTTAGCACGCTATTCAATGGCCACAAACAAAATCTTTTGAAAATATAGTTCCTGTGACAAAATAAATCCAATGCAAGGATCAGTTCTCCGGGAAATTTTACCTTAATTGATAAATGCAGAAGAGATAATCTAAAAACGTTAAGTACAACCAGAACAGACGATTGCTGGACATTTTCAAATTTGTAACGTTTTGAGTGCGGGGTGTGATGAGAGGAACAAAACAAAAGCTTATGACATAGTAATTTAAGTCATAATTGACCTCAGTTTTGTTCGGAAGATGAAAATAAAAACAAACAACAAAAACATACCATTTTCACCACCTTTTTGCAAAACTTTTTTCAAAATACTTTTTATTGCCAAACTCTAAATAAAGCTAAATAACTGCTAAAGCTTAAAAAAAAACAGATTTCACGGCTTAAATAAAAAGTTTTTCGGCTATTATAACAGCTATAAAAGGACTAAATAATAGCCAAAAAACGGCTCGAAGACCAAAAAGCAAAAATTTCCAACCGGAATTCTCCACACAAAAAAACTTCACAATTTTTTTAAAAATCGATCGATTTATGTCTGGAAAAGCTATAAAAGAAAAAATTATTCTGATGAACAGTTGTGATACCTGACTTTGCGTGGAAAAAACTAAACCACGCCCGGAGACAAAACTTCTCGGCTGGTACACAAAATATTTTTAACACGAAAGAAGCACTTCGCAAACACAATATTTCAAAAATAGCAAAAAAAAGTAAGTAACTGAAAAATAAAAGAAAAAACTTCGGGAATCCAGCCGTTATGGTCTACCAGCAATTTAGAGTCAACTGCCTTACGAGTTGCTCATGTGCACATGCTGGCAGCTAAAAAAAAATAGCCACCATTATAGTGGCTGCTATTGACCAAAGAACAGCTGCACAGACAATAAAGTTGGGGACTTTTGGAAAAAGTGGGACTAATTGATGCGACTGAGGTTGGAAAAACAGTAAATTCTTCTTCAATGATATGCTTCAAACACATTATATATTGCAACAAGCTGAAACGCTGTACAGAAAAAAAGTGAGGATTCGCGTAATTAGTTTTTTTAGTATTTGCGTTAATTGATAAAAAGACATAATTAAACAAGCCTTCTATAAACATTGCACATCTAAACAAGTTTGACATCATATAATTGTACCGTTTTAAAACATAACACAGCGGCGAAGCTGCGCTTCGCAAACACTAAGGAGAACACGACAAAAAGAAGCTCTAAAAAGTGCAATAAACAGGAAAAATAAGCCTCAAATTAATAAAAAAAACCGGATACACTTTCAATGACCACTGTTAATTGAGAGTTAAGTTAGAAAAGAGAAGGTTCGTAGTAAAACACTACTCAGATCGCTAGTGTAAATACACAGAAAAACATACACAACAGACATCAAGCCCTTAAAACCAAGTCAAATATCTATGCAGAGCTCTTCGTTTTGAAAAAAAATTATTGATTGACACTGTTTGGATAAAATTAACACAATTTAAACACAGGCGAAGCTGCGCTTCGCAAGCACAAGCGAGAACACGATAAAAAACAGCTCTATAAAAACAGGAAAAAACATAATCCTCGAATAAGTAAAAACTCGGCTGGGTCGGATTCAATCCTGTGACCTCGAGGTCATGAGTATCACGCACTACCCACTCAGTTACAAATGCTTAACAACTGCAAATACTAGTCGCAAATAAATCGGAGAACAGATGCGATGAAATTTCTAATGCTACAGATCAGTAGTTTTATATTGTGTTTAATATTTGCAAACTATCAAACGGAAAAACACGCCTCAACTTTATTAGAACTGTACAAGAAAACATAATTGATATATTGAATTGACTACCTCTACAGAATAGAAAATATTTCATAGCTGATTTGATTTTTTAGCACCAAGACAAGTGAAAAACATAATTTGATCATAATAAACTTAGTGTGGAGCGAAACTTGCTGGCTCCTTTCTGACGTACCTGAAACAATGAATAACGAAAAACTTGATAGATTACATTAATTTACATCAGTTTAATCAACCCAAATTTATGTCTAATTAGATTACTCTAATGTTTTTACCTATGCTGTCCTAGAACTGTTTTCCAAGCAGAGCGCTCCTGTCAACATCATCAACATCGTAGTTTTGGCGCTTCTAAACACAATTAAAACATCATTGGTGTTTGTTTTATTAGCTCTGACGGAGGGAGTTATGTCATCCATTTGGCTTTCGCCATGACTGTTCCCATTTTGAGCAAGCGGATAATAAGCATTGCATCCTGGCTACCCCAAAACACGAAAAGATCATGTAAAAAACCATTACTGCGTCTCAAGCAAATTCTTTTTTTTGCTCTAAACAGAAGAAGACCCCAAAAACACCCTCTTCGGGTGTTTAGATAGTACTGGCCAAAAAATGAGTTTATTCGACGCTCTACCAATCAATTTAACTGTTTTATGGCGCCATAGTCGCCTTTAGAACCATTTTGGGGTTAGACGACCGAATCGGGATGCCATAAATAGTACTAAACGAGTGATAGCCCGTATTTCTGTTAATAATCTGAGTATAATAAGCCAGGAAGCATTACTACCACGTTGGGTTGTTCTACGCGTTATTTTCTTTCCAGCAATACTCTTCAAAAAATGCTTTAATTATCAGCTTTTTACTTTTAATTGGACAGAGGCCTAACTCGAAGATTAGTTCGTTCTTAGTTTTTAAGTATCACATACCTTGTATGAGGCGTATATAACTAGTGCGACTGTCACTACTAAAAATAGACATCCGAATGCGATGGCCAAGTACGACAGCACATCTACTGAAAGGTTGACTCTGTTCAGCTGTTTAACTTGCCCAGTCAACTTGTCATCCACAGGCAGATACTAAACAAGAATATTCGGTTGCTGGGCTAGTTAGTAGCAAAGAACATTCCGGCAACTTATATGTTAACAGAACAAACTAAGAAATATAGTTTATACAGTATTATATATTGATTGACACTTTTTGTATCAATCAAACAGAAAGCAAACAAAAAAAAACACTGACAAGTTTTTTGAAAAAAAAAATAGAAAACGTTAAAGCTCATTGAATTTCTAAAACTATTTATGAGTCACACTTTTTTTATGAAATTAACTGAACCCAATTTGAGACCAATAGCTCAATAATTAAACTTTCCATTCCTCTGGAAAATATGAAAATTAAATTCCACTTTTGACAATGGCAATACGTTTTGGGTGATTAAGATTCCAATTTCAGATCGTAGTTTAGTTGTTTCTTTTAAATGATTTTCTTTCAAAATTAGGTTCGGCAAAGAATAAAGTTCAAATGTCGTAGACAACTTTCGAAACGTCTACCCAAAGTTCTTCTACCAATTCGGTTTTAGAAACAAAAAAACTGATTTTTTAAAATTTTCAGTAGAAATGCTTTGTGAATCAATATGTGAAAAAATTCCAGAAAATGTATTTTTCAATTAGTATAATTTTGCATATATTGCAGAGATGTTAAGCCTCACCAAGCACATCTCGCTACTTCACTTTTGTCAAAAATAGTCGAAATTTTCTTATAGAAAAATGAACGATTTTGTCAGCATTTTCTCATGGACAACCGCCGCTTCCAGAGACTTCTGTTTTAATTTAACCAAATATTTCTTTTCCGTTATACACAAACTTACTTCCACCCTGTTCAATTTTAGTACATGTCGCCCCTAGTATCTTCAGCACTAACTCCCGTAATTAACTTTGTGCTTAAGGTGCCACATTCATCTTCTCCGATGCGGATTTTCATGCTTTAACCATTGATTTACAAACCTCCCCTCCCCAGAAGAGGGGAACAAGATATGGCCAGTTGTCCGGTTCAATGGGAGGCAAGCTTTCGATGTCTTTGAACCATTTCATCTCAGTGTTGAGTTGCACTCTTTTGGCTGCCTTCAGGATAATTCCACTGTCCTGAAGTAGGAAAATATGTAGAGTCAAAAAATTTAAGACTAGGCAAAAAATGATTAATAGAAAAATTTCAAACATTTCAGCAAAATGTAATTTTTCTCTGCAAAAATGCGTCCCACAATTTTCAGTCAATCAAAAATTAGGTAATAACTAGCACTCCAAGTGCTAAGAAAACTATAACAAAGTAAGCCCTCTATATAGCCCAACAATCATCCAAATGTAGCTTTAAAAAATGTATACTTATATCCTCCTCAATTCAAAATATTCAAAATTCAAGTCGCACCACTTCCGATACAATTCGCAAATAAAATCATACTTTTCGTAACCAAACTTTTCGTAAGACTCGATAAAAAAACAAATACAGGCCCAGCTAAAGCTAGAGGTACATGTATAATATTGAATGAATTTGCCATACAGAGCAAAAAGTGATTTCAAAAACTGGACTTTGCCTAAAACATTAGCTGTTCCTCTACTAAAATAAGTAAGAAGGGCATCTTTGAGATAATCAATTTCCCAAAGAGATAACATTTCTCCTACAAAAAATTAAGGAGTCACCGCTTCTGCAGAAATAAATAACGCAACCCGTTTGTTCAATGGAACTTTTCATCTCAGATATGTTTACGTAAGATTCAATAAAGTTTCTAAAAAGCGGTCGAAATTTCTAAGAAACGTTCAAAAGACTTTTTTAAACCCATAAAGTTTTTCTGCTAAGCGTTCGAACCCAAAATCTCAGGTATGGTAGGGTAGTTTTGGATAATATTAAAAAAGTTTTCTTCCCATTGCCAGTTATCTCAAAGCACCACAATATCAGATTTGAGAGGTTAGTTTTAGAGAAAAGATCCACAAAACGGTCAAAAATAAGAAATTTGACTATACAGAGGGCCATGAGTTTATATGAATTTCAAAAAAAAGAGGTCGGCCACTTATGCAGGGGAGCTTTTTAAAACAGTTCTATCCAATTAAATCAAAAACTCAAACTTGAGAGTTAGTTTTCGAGAAAACGGAAAAAAAATATATAGAAAATTCCCCCATACTTTTTCGAAGGCTGTAGACAGGGGAATCAAGTAAAAGACTCTATGGAGTATGTTGGCACACAGTGAACACGCGGGCTTTAATTTGATACTCCTTTTTTGAAAATCAGGAGAAGTTTCTGAGAAAAACTACAATTTTTGCAAAAAGGAAAAGAAATTCCAATACGAAAGTATGAAATTTCAACAAACAGATTGGTAAACTCACATCCAACTTGGAAATTGTGGAGAGGAGTGCTAAAATTTGTCTTCATCTTGAAACGTCCTAAAATTAGGTCATTAAGCCGATGAAAAAATAGGCCCAAATATATTTTGCAGAGGACTTTTTTTAAGCGAACAAAAAAAACAAAGGAAATATAAAGTCAAGGCAAGTAAAATTACAAAACGTAGGCGTAACTCAAACACTACAAATAACATTAAAAATCGCGCGTAGAAAAAAACAATTCCAAGATGTGACAACTAAGGCGACAACAGATAAGCAGACAAATAATTGGCCGACAATTTTTTTTTTGAAACAGAATATATCCCGTTTGAAAAAAAAACAGGTCCTGGACAGACTAGAAACCAGGACCTTTGGTGTCCCAGGTTTATTCGCTACCTCCAGGCTTAGATGGCTAGAAATGCTAAGCAATTTGAATATATAATGAAAAAGGTAGAGATGAGTCCAGACGTGAAACAAGGTTGAGATGAGCCTAGACGTGAAACAAGGTAGAGATGAGTCCAGAAAAAAGTCTGGACTCGCAAGGGTAAAAATACCAATTTGGAGTTGAGTTGTTTCACAAAAAATACCCCAAATCAAATTTGACTTTCCTCTATATTTTCCTAAATTTTTCGGACCAAGTGAACTATCTCCCCCATAAACCACTTTAGAAGGGAGATTGTTCACTTGGTTTAAATAAAGTAATATTTTTTCTGCCAATAAGATTTGAGCATAGTACAGCAGGCCTTACGGCTTGATTTTGCCATCCAATTTAGGGGCAGATTGTTCACTTGGTCTATGAAGGGGGACATTGTTCACTTGGTCTATGAAGGGTGAGATTGTTCACATGGGCCAAAATCAATCCTCCAAAAAATCAACCATTTTGGTCCAGAAAATTAAAAATTTTTTAACAATAAAAAACGAGCACTCTTGTTATCTTCTTTAATTTGATACGTGCGAATTTTCGTGAAAAAATAAAAAGACCTCGGGATTGTACGCCTGGTCCAATTAGACTTTAAACTTGCCAGTTCCATATTGATGAATGTCTCGTGCTTCGTTGGGTCTGGGTTGAATCCGATGATGGAGTCGATCCTTTCTTGGGAGGCATCGAGAAACTCTGGACTGGAGATGACCACACTCAGCGGAAGATCAATTGGGAGATTCAACGCATCTTTCATTTGTTCCTCTGCGCACAAAAAAATTACTAAAAGATTGGCTTGTTAATTAACACCCTGATTTTTAGCTTTAAAGTAATCAACCTTCAGAATAAGGGGCGGATCTAAAATTTTCTCAAGGAAGGCGAAGGCTTTCAAAAAATTTCCGAAAATTTTGTCGACCTTATTTTTTAGGTCCACCAAATTGATTTTCCGAGCTCTCCCAGAGCACTAAAAAGAACCTGTTTTGGCCAAACTTTCTGTTTAGGTAAAAAAATGGTGTCTATATGATCAGAAACAGTATATAATTTGTTTGATATCGTTTTTAGCAGTTAAAAATTTTAGACAAAGGTTGCGGCAGGGGCGAATCTAGAATTTTCTCGAGGACGGGGCGGATTTTCAAAAAATGTCGAAAAATTTGTCGTGCTTTTTTTATGTTGACCAAATTGACTTTCCAAGCTCCCCAATGCATAAAAAGACACTGTTTTGGGCAAAAATTTTAGGCGGCAGACATAACTTACATGCCAAGAAAAGCGTTTTTTGCACTTTCTTCAAAATTTTTGCCAAAAAATTGCGTTTTTCGGCGCACCCTGCCCCCTAAAAGTTAGTATGTATTGCCTTTAGAAAATTTTTAGGTTCCGTCACAAATGGATATCTCAAGTTAGTACAAAGAAGCCTAATGATTTGTTCTGAAAACATAACAATCTCCTCCTTTGCATGTACCAACTTTGAGATTGTTTTAATAATAAATTATGACTTCAAAAATTTTGCCAATTTGCCAATTTAACAATCTTACATGTAGTAGTCTCATTCCGTGACTTATACTTATTTAGCTCTTTAAAGTTCGGTCATACAAAACACTTAAATTTCAAAATAAGTCAAAATAAGCCAAAGAAAAACTAAAAAGGGGGTAGATAAAAGCCCTAATATCGTATTTGATAATTTTAAAAAAATTCTTGGAACTCAATTACCCGCACAAATCTAGAAGTAAACAGAACGCAATTGTATCACTAATTACATTGGGACGTAAACTACGGACTGTATAAAATTTGCGATACTTTTCAACAAGATAAGATACAATTCCGACTTTCATTAATTTACTAACAACTTTCATTTTACTTGGACTCAACTGTGAAAAACGAAAAAAAAAAATCAAAAATGTTTTAATATTAATTTTTCAGGAATCTTTTATAATTGATTTTTTCAAAAAAAAGAGCAAAACAAACAATTGAACGAGCACAATTGGAGCAGAATTGAACAATCAATTAGACTTGAAAAAAAAAATCAAAATTCAAACCACAAAAAAAAATCAAATTTAAGCGTGAACAAATTTCAGGATTTTTACTGCAGAAATGAAAAAAAAAAACACGACCTAAATAAGGGATAGATCAAGGGTTGTTTTATTATGAATACTTTTGTTATTAACACTGTTTCGAACTTTAGAAACCACCTCATATCGAAGAACCCCCAAAACCTGGCAATTCGCCTTTCTGTTAAAGCCGATTGATATAACCTCAATAATTGGCTCCACAAAAACACTTAATAAACATAGCCAACAGACAGTTGTTGGAAAAGTGAAAATGACCGCAAGGAATTTAAAAAAAAACATTGATTTGTTTTGAAATTCAACTTTCGACTTTCGAAGACAAGTATATGGCTCTACACACTTGGACTTGAAGCCCTTCAAAATTTTTCATACAGAAGCGAATCGGAGCTTCGCACCCCGTAAGACACATTAGACGAAAGCCGGTAAGTCGTAATTTGGATATGTCAAAAAAAACAAGATCTATCAAAATGAATGCATCTATTGAAAAACACGACGCTAAGCCAATTAAATAAAGAACTAGGATATTTAAAAGCATGTCAATGTAGCAAGAAAAAAGAAAAAAGCCATTAAAACAAAAAATTGAAAAAATAACGAAACCAAATTTACAAAAATTTCTCAATTTTGTCTTGAAAGATGTATATTTTGAAACAGCAATACATACAATCTCGGGCATGAAAAATCTATTCAGAAACAATTATTGAGCGGCAACCAAGCCGACAAAACTCACGTTGAGTAAAAAAAAACCACTGTCAAGAAAAAATTGCGTGCTATAACAATTACTAGATATTTTGCCTTGTGCCGGACCGAGAAGGGCTTTAAAATAATGTTTCTTTCGGAACGATGCAAAAAATTGGTCACTAAGTCAAAAAACAGCAGCAGAATTAATTGGGGCAGAAAATAACTCACAGTATAAAAAAATTCCATAATTTGGCAACTAAGTCGACAATACAAACAATGGGCCGCAGGTTTTCCGAAACGAAACATTTTCAGACGTCCTGAAAAACAATCCAGACGTCCTATTTACTGAAAAACGTCCTGACCGGTTTCGAACCTATGACCTTTGTCGTACCAGGCACTATCGTTACCTTTAGGCCACGCATGCCCGAGAAGCCAAAAAAATAAGCGTCGTTAACCTGAAAACAGTCTTTTTCTGATTTCATAAAGCTCGCAATCGCCAACGTAAACCCCACTTTTGAAACTAAAAGTAGTTCATGTTTTTTCGCTGCCTTTTCGCTTTCGTTGCTAGATTGCCTAATTTGTTTTCAGGCAAACGGAGTTGAATTGAACTTTAATGCTTATACACAAGCGAAGCTGCGCTTCGTAAAAACAAGCAAAAAAACGACAAAATTCTCTGTCCAAAACAAAATAAACAGAGGTGAAGTTGCAATTCGCATGCACAAGCAAAAATATGACCGATAACGCTACTAGGAAAATTTGAATGAGTAAAACTTTGAGTCCACCAAATTTCTTAAGTGACGCATGCTAATAAAGAGTCTACATAATTGCTAAGTGACGCAAGAAATTAGCAGTACCAGTCAATTTGAAAGAAAAGAAATTTAACAATAACATGCCTCAATTTATAGAGCGGACGCAATTTAGCTAGTATACGAAACAGTTCATTAAAAACATCCGACCCTGCCCAGGTTCGAACCCTCTTATTTTGTTGCGGGTCTCCTTCCCTATTCCCTACCGCTCGCTACAGATCCAAGATACCTTGAAGCCAAAGTGCTATTTGTAATGTAATAGTATTTGTTAATATCCTTAGCATTGGCTATACTTAATAGCTGGTGATCAAAATGAACACTTTCAAAATGAACACATATTTGCTAATTAGGTTAGGGAAAAAAGAGTTCATACTATAACAAGCTCTGCTTGTGTAAACAAACGGTAAAAATAGGGCTTGAAAATTCAAACTTTTGCTGCGGCGATTCGAACTTACGACCAGGAGATTTGAAGTCGCACGTCCTCGAATCTAAGCCACAAGCCGTTGAAATCTTACTAACACTAGCCACCAAAAAAGCAGATACATGCGCTAAAAAAATGCTAATGCTATGCAGTAAAAAAAATAGCATCTGATCTAAAAAACACAAATTTTGCAAGTAAAAATTTGACGTAAAAAATCTAAAAGCATCCACACTATATTTGTATGTAATAAATTGGAAACAATTAAGCCAAATTATATAAATCATGCCTTTCAAAAAAAAACTGCAAAACTGCAGATGAATTGAGTTGGCAAATTTCTGAAATGGGGTTTTCGTTATTGTACTGTTGTTTGAAAAAAGAATCTACTCATAAAATTACGCTACTCTCACTGAAGCTCGCTTCTGTAATGAATAATATGCCATTCACGAGTGAACTAATTTATATGAACGCACTTTGGTACTATTTAGTGAATTTTCAATTAAGAAGCGGCGTTCAGAAAAATTGACTTGGAAAACATTCAACTCTATCTAAATAAAAAGCTTCACTGGGTGCATTTGCCCTTTCATTTTTTTAAATCAAAAATAGGTCGACTGAGATAAGTTTTGCCAACCACTGCATTTCGAATGTATGTATTTGAACTTCTTGGCAGCACGAACACAGGCGAGAACGATTAAAGGGAGCTCTAGAAATTGTAATAAGTAAAATAGAAATATGCCTCGAATTAGCAAAAATTCGGGTAGGTCGATGATCCGATCTGCGATCTACTGCAATCAAGAAGTTTTTATGCTTTTGCATGTAACAAATTGCAAAGCATAAAGCCACATTCTGTATAAAATATGCATTTTAAAAATTGCGAGATATATTGAAATCCAGTTTTTATTGAGTTATATTCTATGAAACAAATATCTTTTTTCGGTTCATTTGATGAATTAAAATGCATCAACTGCGTTAACTTATTACTATTCGAATGTAAAAGCACATGCTAACAAAAAGCTGTAAAGGTGCCTCAAAGGTGGCACCAATATTTGCGATTAGGTTAGAAAAAAAGAAGGTTCTTAATAATACACTTAGCTGACGCTAGTGTGAAAGTCAGTTAAATAGGGAAGCCAATTGTGGAGAAATGCATTGGTTACATTTTAGATCAAATCTAAGATTGTTTGAGCTTCAGCGTTTTCTGAGATAGGTATTTTTATTATCTCCCTCACAAAAATGTTTGTCGTCTTAACAGCTTTCGTGTTATTTGACGGCCACCATACCAGTCAGTATTTAACGCATTAACAAATGGCATATAACAATTTGCACACTTAATTACGCAGAACCAATTCAGTAGAAAAACTGTGCAATTAAATGTACACATCAAACTGGATTTTAATCATTGCTTTCCATAATTCTCAAACATAAACAAAGTTTTTTTTAATATTTATCAATGTCCATTTAAAAAGAGTTCAACAAAAAAATCACAACAAAACAGACGAAAAGAGAGCTTACGTATACAATTGGAGACGTCCAGAAGCCCATCTCCCAGACATTTGCTCGCATTGCCATCCGGACAAAATCCAGGGTTATTTTCAAAGTCCACCTTGAAAACTTCTGGCGGCGCTGTGAACTTTGCCGTCTTGATTCCCGCTATCTTTTCATCCGCTGAAGCAGTCACAAAAATACTTCTGCAAACTTGTGTGTTAAAGATATATAGTCGTTCGTTTTTGTTGACATTGGTAGGGTAAACCGTGCCATCAGTGCCGTTAATCATGTTGCACGATGTTTCGTTCCAATAACTCAGCGTCGTCGAGTTGTTCCATTTCTCGATGATTCCTCGATTGCTGTTGTCGTCACCCTTACCAGTGTATATTTCGTACAATCCGTCATTTGTATCGTTTAGCTAAATGCCAACATTTTCCAGTTTATCAAACATTCATCAAATAAGTCTTTTTAAATTTAACTGATCAATAGTAATAAAACTTTTTCCACGTGTACGAATTGATTTTTTTAACGAGTAATTCCAATTTATTCAAACCACTCTCCCATTTATCGGCTATATATGACTATTTTCTCAGATTAAAGAAAGAAGTTTAACTTATATATTGTGGGAAAGTGAGGAAGATCCCTTAAAACCAAGTTAGCATCCTGCTCCCTTAAACTCTCAAGGTGTTAACTCGAGTCATCGCCGAGTGGATTAGGCACACGTCTCTCAATACGAGTTGGAGGGGTCCCAGTGTCATCCGCCTCCTCGACGTGGGACCGGCTACGGAGAAATGGATGAATTTAACTTCCCCAACTGTTGGTCCAGCATTGATCAGGACCGGGGGCTAATAACAAAATGGTGTTAATTCGGCCCAAAAAAGCATAGTACAAACCTGTAGCCCAATGGATGTTGGAATGGTAATTTTCAATAAGCTATATGGAAATTCGTCCAGTTTTGTTTGAAGTGCAACCAGAAGAGCATTTTCGTTGTACCCCCAGAGCAAGTCTCCGCCTTCTACTGTGTAAAATGGTGCCACTGAATTTTCTTCAGTTGAGTTACCGCTTTTGCATAAAGTATTAGTCACATTTCGAACGATATCTCCGACCGCGGCCACACTATCCTCTGCAAACTGCGCAAGGGTCTGAAATTCAGTTTTGTCAAAATAGAACACTGAAAACTGACTAAAATGTCGCAAGCTTTTTAAACATCACTAACACTGATAGCAACAGTTCAAGAACATAGACAACAAACAGATGGAAAACAAATAACCAACCCAGTTCAATGGCGATAGTGTTCAAATTAGTTTAACATCATCCTTGACTGTTCGCCAATATATGGCAAGTTAGAAAGACCCGCTTGGAAACTTACGAATAAGAGGATGTTGGGAACTACGACTGTGTCATTTTCGGCCATTGTGGAAGTGGCTTCATCGAACACGTACATCTTGTTGTTGTAGTAGCGCACTTTCTTACTATCAGCTTCAAATGAGATGTTCACTTTATTCTGGTACTCTCTGAAAAAAAAACAGCAAAAGCAATACTTTTGGTTCTTAAGTTTCAAAAGCAGAAAAAACTCTCTAGAAAATAAAAGAAGAGCGTTACTTTTGAGTACTAGTATAACAAATGCATAGAAAAACCGAAAGCAAAAACTATTACAGACCGGAAAGAAAAAGGTCTTTTTTTCGATAGATGTAAAGAAAAGGTTAAAGATTTTTTTTGAAAATCTACTTCACTCATTATACAAAGAGCACAAGAACCTCTTCTGGTATACATTTACTTTATAATTTTATGTCAGCTAAGTTTAGCTCTCATAAATGCTTCAAAGTGAGAACATTAACTAGGTTACGTCGATAGGTTATGTTAGTATGCAGGGGAGAATTTAGGGGGGGGGGGGGGGGTGGAAGACACTTCTTTTCAGTGATTCGACCCCCTGTCGACCCAAAAGGTCCCCCTTGTACTATTTTGAGATATCCATTTTTGGCTGACAGACCCTACAATTTTTCTAAAAACCCCTTCGCGCCAATATATACTAATTTTTAGGAGGGAGCGCGCCGAAAAAACGCAATTTTTTGGAAAATAATTTTCCAAAAAGTAATAAAAACGCTATTTTTGGACTGTTTTTTCAAAAATTTGACAGCGGCGCTGAAATCCTGGGCCAAAATAGGCTCTTTCTAGTGCATTGGGAGAGCTCGGAAAATGATTTTGGGTCGAACTAAAAAAAGGTTGACAAAATTTTCAATTTTTTTTTTGAAAATCCGCTCCCCCCTCCTCGAGAAAATCCGCCCCTGTTAGCATGCAAGTCACAAAAGAAACTGGATATTATGCGATTCAAACACATAAACACTAGGCTTGCAGGCGACTACGCTATTATCGATTGGGACTTGCGTAACCTATCTGCCAGTATTTAGCGGAGCAAAGCAGTTAGTGCGACTGAAGTGTGTTTCTTTCATTTCCCAATTGACAAAGATTTACTCACTGTTTTAGATTATGCTGAAATAATAATCATCATTGGCTAGTTCAACATGAATATGAAATAGACAGCCACACACATGGTCAAAATTCACTTGAATTGGGTAAATCAAACATTTTTGTGTAACCATAAGGCGGACTGCCAAAAAACTACTGGATCAACTAAATTATAAGATGATACTTGTGTTCTTAGGAAAAATACATATGAAAGCTTGATCCCGCAACCTTTGTCTAAATTTTTAAACGGCTAAAAACGATATCAAAAAATTATATACTGTTTCTGTTATATCATATAAATTATATATAGGCGTCATTTTTTTGACATATAGTTAGAGAGACTTAACTATGTCATAGGAACTGGGTACTTTTTAATGATTTTTTGCTCAGAAAACTAAAAAAAAACAATACTTGAAAGTTATTAAAGTAGCGATTTATTTAAACACAGATGTAAAACTTTTATTATCTCAATTTTAATTCTAGCACAATCTGTACATAAAAGAAACGAAATCCCAAAAAATTAATAATTTAAGAGTTAATATGCGTTGAAATGGTCAAGAACCTAAAAACAACCTCCAACTAGACAATAAAATCTTGTGCAAGCCTTAATTAAAACAGCCAACATAGCCAATGAGACTTTAAAAAAAATTTCTAATTTTGGAGAATTTATATCATCTCAAAGGTACTTCAAGAATCTTTTGTCTAGTGTGTTGTTCAAAAACTAACCCAATTTGAGAAAAAGTTACATGAGATACACTTGTAACTCCGCAGGGATTTTTAGCTAATGAGTTTGAAATTGAATAAAAAAAAACAATCAAGATGCGAAAAATCTATTTTATAGTGATCAACTTTCAAGGATTTTTCCTTAAAAAAATCAAAATAACCAATCGGAGTGCCTTCACTATATTCATTCACAATTAATCGTGCAAATCAACGAACGTACCTGTAAGAGAGCAATCCAACTTGCTGTACCGATGGGCTATCATCTGTGCCATTGAGGAATTCGTCTGAGTTGTTGAAGGAGAACATGGTGAACTTCATGTAGATTGGGTAGTCCGGCGCCTGCCATTCGTCATACACTTCAGATCCCTCAACAAGCGACGCCTCCTGCAAAGTATATGTTGAGATTAAGTTGTTCTTGAAACACAGCTATGTCGACATGAATTTCACTTCATAATAATTGGAGCCTATTCCTTTAGTTTTCTTTGTCGCGACTACATGGCCAACAATTCAAGGTTAGTTGAAATGAAAAAATCAGATATCGCACAGAGGCGAAGCGGAGCTTTGTGTCAATTGCAAAACAACTCAAACTTATCATGCCGAGCTGGCCGACAGAACATGCGACGAAAGCTCATGAGAAAAAAAAACGTTTGAAAACAATATCGAAAAAACTAATCTACCAAAATAAGTTCGTCTTGATTTTCATCAAGGCAGTTCATTTTGAGCAAAAATTGCAAAGGCTGACAATTACAGATGTGAAATTAGCATCGACGCAAAATTTACTCAGTGGTGACTGAGCCGATAAAACTTGGGTCGACAAGCACGCCTAAAAACATTTAAGCACGTCAAATGATGCAATATGAGAATTTAAGCCAATATAAAATGAGTCGAAACTTTTGAAGCCACTTAAAGCAGAAAAAAGAAAATGAAAATAAACGAAACGTTCAGAAATTGAGCATGATAGCACAAGTTATACAGTGATTCTTTTAGGCAAAATATTATATTAACCTGATAGAAGTCTATGTTCTAATTTGATAAGGCTTGCTTATCGTAAGCGTAACAAATATATAGGCACTATAAAACCTTAACTAAAAAAATTGGAGCGAGCCCAAGAAGGTCACAATGACTCGGTTAACTTTGATGAAAATGAAAGTTTCGTTATCCCAACACCAAAACTAACTAGAGGCGTTTGAGTTATTTCATTCTTCCCAAAGAGCTATTTTTAGACAATCGAATAAATTCAAAATGTTCAAAACTTCATACAAAATTTAATTAAATAAAAGAAAGATGTTGAGGAAATAACCGTGAGCTAAGAGAGGACTGCTTGTTTAGTCCAAAGCCACCCTGAATTACTTGATTGCAACGTCAAGTATAAAGTGATACAATATGCGACAAGTAATTAATACTTAATTGGATAATTTAGCTTAAGCTCAAAACGTAACTATTTTTGACGCGAGTAATTCTCCGTTGACGTTACGCGTTAATAGAAAACCAATAAACATAACCAACAGACAGTTGGTAAAAAGAAGTGTAAGAACAAGGACATCGAAAAAAAATTGAAGCTCTTTGAATTTCAAATACTTTTTATGATTGGTCCTTTTTCCTAAAAATATCCCATTTAGAGAAAACTGGATGAATGGATAAATCTTCATTCCGCTAGGAGCTCAGAAAAATAAAGCCAATTTTCGAAACTAGAAATCATTCAAGATTTTCGTGATCACTTCACTTTTGCTGTTCGATAGTGGAGTTTGTCTTCGTTAAGCAATATCGAAAAACTGGATCAAATGTTACATTTTTCATTCCGCTGGCAAATCATAAAATTGAAAAACATTTTCGAAACTAGAACTCGATCAATCACATTTTTTGTGAACTTTACCTTTTGCTGTTCCATAGTGGAGTTTGCTTTCATTTTAACAAAAAAAATGAACTGAACTTTAAAAAAACATTTTCCTGAAAAAAATCACCAAGACCTATATAAGAGTATTCACCACGTTTAAGGGTCTTAGATACTTAATTCGTTCTTTCAAAATTAAAACAGCCAAATAATTATCTGAAGGTGGCAAGCACCTCTAATTTTACTTAGCTTCACGAAAAAAAATTCACATGTGAAATAATTCACAGGTGAAATGAAACGCCTAGCACAAATAGCCAAGCAATTTCGTCGAAAAACGGAAGAAATCACAAAAGCTCACTTAATTGAACCAGTAGAAAACCTCAAGAAAGGGAAGAGCATGTCCAAAATCTGATGAAAAAAGGTATTGAACTCAGAAAATCGAGGAATTACAACTACTTTTTAAAAAATATATTCAAATTTTTAATTTGAGAGCAAATATTTCAGTTTAGCTCTCAGTTTTTCAAAGTCATTTATATTTGAATCTTTTTGATAACACTGACCCAATATGAGTAAACTGCATTAATATAATTTTTTAATCGCTGGAAAAATTACACAGAGGCAAAGTAGGAGTTTCGCACCACTTCCGATATCACAAACATAGCATTGCAAGCTAGATGACAGAAAATCAAAGAAAAGTCAATAAAAATAAGTTTTCAGAAACCTTCATCAAGCGCTAACAGTCAATATCATGAAAAACTTTTGAGAACACCGAAGGATGCAAACCTATGTTCCTTTCAGATGATGCAAATTTAGCTCACTTAAAAGAACAAACATAAACGGAAACGTAGCAGGCCGCAAAATTAAAGCGAAATAACAGCAAACTTTTAAGAAATCACATTTAGTAAGCTAACAATTACAGAAAAAACTCCTCCCGCCGGAAACACCGAAGGATGCATAAAGTCTTCATAAGCGTCAGAAATTTAAATTGAATTTTGAAAATACACAAACAAAGCGTTTTTTTTTGGATTTTTGTTATTGGAGAGCGTTATTTTCAGTTCAAATTGGCAGAGGAATTCAGTTTCAACTTAAACACAACTAAAAGTAAGGGCGCTTTCCCATTATAGACCCTCATTCTGGTATCAAAAAATTATTGCCTCAGCCCAGTAAGACCAAAACAAACTGCCAACGAATTACATCATAGCAACGAAATTTAACACTTTTCTTTAAAAAAACGCAGGACCCAGGTATGTGAACATTTCTGCTGTTCAATTAAACTTAAATGTTTTCCCTTAGTCGCCAAGAACTAACATATATTGAAATGCGTAGAATGCACACAATTTAATAGCATAGAATACACACAAACTTTAAAAACAACAGGATTTAATTAAGTGTCGTCATTCCATGCATTGACAATTAAAAAACAAAAACATGAGGTTTTTCATGTATACGAGCGTTTCACAAAGGGATGAAATCTTGCAGAAAATGTACCAGACGAATTCATGATTATTTACTATCACATCCAATTTTTTATACATTGAAAATATAAATTGCATACAATATTCAACGTTCCGTGGTCCTAGGGCTCTCAAATTTTGACACAATAAAGAGAATGATTTTGCTAGGAATCGGGGATTTCATTTCACATCATCCCGCACCCCAACTTTAATGGAAGCCCGGGATTTTCGACCTTAATGGAAGCGCGAGATTTTTGGGGGTAAACTGAACAGACCTTTAAATCGTTTGCACAAATTTCATATCGACAGCAACTTATTTACCATTCACTTGTCTTACTGACTGTGCCACGTGGCTAATCAATTCTTGCAATCAAAGCTCTTTCTTAAAGAAAGTCAAAAGAACGTTGGAATCTTAAAGCTGTTGAAAAGTCATGTCAAAATGGCTATGCATGTTTAAAGGGAAGTCAATTAAAAATGGAATCAATAGAAAGATAAAATCATAGAATGCGTACAATTTGATATCCATCATTCTGAATAAAAATATGGGGGGTTTTGTCCAAAGGGATTTGGTCCTATGGGGGATTTAGTCCGGGGGGATTATTTCCGGTGGGATTTTATCCCGGGGAACTGAGTCCGCGAGCAATTATTTGTGAGTAAATATGAGTTGTTTAAATTTTTTGAGTATTATATCTGTTTTCTCCAACAATTCAGTTCATACTTATAGTCTCCCCCCCCCCCCCGCACCATCTTCCAAGCAGGAAAACATTTCCCTGTTCAATGTTCAAAAAAAAATTTTAAATGTTCTTTTAAAAAACGTTCTGTAATAATTGCAGATCTACCTGCTAATCTCTCACTAATCTTATATTTAGCGCAATTGAACTTATATGGCATTTTTCTTACATTGTTGTAGATGACCGGATAGACGAAGCAGGCCACAAGTCCCAAAGCCAACAGAGTCAAACCTCCGACAGACAAGCCTATAAGTAGTTTCTTCCCCATTAGTCACTGAAAAACAAACATCCATCCTTCCAGATTCAAACTGCTATTCTGGTCACGAATCGTAAATATTGTAATTAAATTGCTCGGCTATCCAAACCAGTACATTTATTTCAAAATATATATTTGCATCTCATTCAGTAATTAAAAAACCCAATTTTTTCGAATTAACCGAAAATAAAGAAAATGTAATTTGCATTATAGCACCTCTTTTAGTTTCACATATACTGATATGATAGACAATAATAACTTTCACTTGTGTCATGGCCAAAAGTATGACCATACTTTAACCATGATTAATTTATGACCAGACTTGTATCACAATCAAACTATGACCATAGTTGTACCATGAACAAATTATGACCAAAAATTAGTGTAAGTTCAGTAAATGAAAAAATTGTCTAAAACTATTTTGGGTGCTAGTGTTCTACAGCATGAATAGGCACTGTATCCGCGTCTCTTTCCAAATCTTCAGCAACCAGTTCGTAGTCTTTCTTCTTCTAAACACATTATCATTAATGGTTATACACTTGTATACTTGATTTTTTTTGTCAGCGTAGCGATCAGCATTTGTGTCTATTAGCATGTGATAATTTCTTTTATTAGGTGTTGATTGAGACGAAACAGCATTAGGACCAAACTCACATAACTTCTCAAAGCCGCTTCCTTTCTTTCAAGGTCACAACTCACGAAACAGCGAACGAGTCAAGTGAATTTCGATGCCCATGCTAATCGATACGCATGCTATTAGTTCGGACCCCTAACTGTAACTTTTTTCAGCTCAGTTTGAAGACAGTTATCAATTGAAGATGTTTGTTTCAATGATTTCCCGCAAAAATAATCAAGAAATTCATGAAATAAGTAGAAAAAAACAGGTTCTCTCATCTCAACTTTATAGCAGAAAAAATATCTAATGATTACTAAGCAAAACCAATTCAACCATTGATCTATAATCAAATGAAGTATAATTTCAAAAAGTACTTGTAATTCTGCTAAAATGTTTTAATATTTTTACGGTGAAGTTAAATAATAAGTTTAAAAAATTAAGTGAAAAAGCGCGACTTGCTGTTAGTTTGAACCAGTTTAATGATAGGCAGATATGATATGAAGGTATGTGTATGGTCCAGTAAATCAGGACTGATTGCATGTGTCCAACCCACCTACAAAAGGTGGAGTGAGGTGGGGGATAATGTTTTAATTGGCGAGGAGAGGACGGTGTTCGTCCACGTTATACAGCTCCTCTTCGTTCTACGTAAACAGTCAATTTAGCATGATCAAACACAAGGGTAATTCTTTCTCATAAAATTGGAGACTTTTTACTCAAATGGCCCCAAATATTGTAGAAATCCCCAATTTAACAATTAAACGAGGAGTCCAACTGTTTTGCCAATTTATTGATTTCTATCAATCAGTAGCAACCATTTCCATTTCTAATCTCTTGAACAAACTACGAAAATTCAGCAAAAACAAAAAGGATCATTGATATACACAAAGCGAACCGAAGCCAGACCAAGTTCCGACCAAGTTCCAGATCTTAGGCTGCAAAGGCAACACCCGTTACCTCTAAAACAATTGGTAGGAACCTGGAAATTGTGAAAGTTTAAAAATGAAGCAACTTAAATTTCTGATATATTTATGAGAAAATTTACTTCAAGGGAAAAAATTGCAAAAGTATGACGCCGCAAAAAAGTAAATTGCTTCACAAATTGCTCTGTTTACCTATCTCCTATTTTTGAAAATATGCGTTTAAATAACAAGGCCAGCGGAAAGCTCTCAAAAACGAGCATAACAAAAAGCCGAAAGATGAGGTCGATATATCATTTAAAAGCCTTTTCAGACGTGATTCGATCGGTTGAAAAAACATAACCAATCGAAAATCGGAAAAGAGTAATGAAAGCAAGTAAACATTTGAAAAAAAATGTTGAAAACTATGAATTTCAAAGAAAAAAATACATGCCCTTTAAGCTCTTTGAATTTCTAGATCAACTTATGATCGACGCTTTTTGATAACATAAACCCAACCAGAGAATACTGTATCAATAGGTAAAGTTTTTATTCCGCTGGAAATCTACAAAGATAAATTCCACTTTTGAAATCGTTAATGTTTTTTTTTGCGCCATTTCCACGTTTGTATTTGGAGAGTGATATTTGCGTCACTTTCCGCAGGACCTATATAAGAGTCTTCACTACGTTCATTACTCAGTTATCTCAGTCTTGCAAATTTTGTATTTCAGGCGACTTTGAAGTTAGGAGTCACTATCGATTTGATTCATTTTAAGCTAGTTGATATTTGTTTTATTCATTAATGAAGATAATGGCAGTTTGGTCACTGATCTTTTATTCCCTCGCCCCGCAGACCCGAAACTCGGCAAAAATGAATAGCTATTCCAAGAATCTTTTGTAGCCTCTTGTTTCTCATGAAATTACACAAATTTAAAATAATATTTAACTACGCTCGCTAGCGCGCATGTGCAAAAACTGGATCAATAGATAACTTTTTTCGCTGGGAGTTCGAAATTAGAAGCCGCTCACGTTTTTTATCGCGAGATTAGAACTTTCTATTCGAGGACGTATTGGAGAAAAATGAAAAACAAAAAATCCGACCTACAAAAACGTCTTCTTTAGGTTCATTGCCACTTGAAAACAAACTTTCAGAAAAAATGTGGGAAAAAATGTTGAAAAATGAATTATGCGCGAATGAATTCTGAAATTTCACATCAAATTCTGAGATTGCACATCAACCATCTATTCCTCTTCCTAATTTAATTTTTTCGAATTGACTAACCTTGTCGAAGAACATGACTGAGGCGAGAGCTCCAATGAGAAGAACGACTCCGATTGCGATGAGGACGAGAGACGCCACGGTTGAAGCGATGTACAAATTGTGACTGTTTTTCAGCTCACTCACTACGTCCGAATCCACTTCCAAAATCTGAAACAAACGTGTATTTCAACAGGTGGAACCTCCTATGCGCAAAGGACCAAAAGAGCGAAAACTTTGTCAGCCAGTCAGAAATTAGTTTTCAGAAATTTGAAAGAAATAAGCGATGAAATCAGTCAGTTTTGGTGGGCAATTTGAAGAGCCATGATTGGTTGAAAACTTTGGCGCATTCGTTCCTTTGCGCTTAAGAATAGCCTCCATTTTAAGTCATTAGCAGAACAAGAGCCAAAAGGAGAGAACGTTCAGAAAACCTCCTGTAACTAACCACATTAAAAGTCTGTGACTAACCACATTAAAAGTACATAAACAACATGATCAAAATATGTGGCACCCTATGAACATCTATTCAATTATTAACTCTTTGTATACTTCAAACTCTAAGCCATGTTTGAACACTATTCAGACTTTTTAAGTGAATAAAAATTACTTGAACAGTTTTTGTTACACTCAATAAAGATATTGCAATTGACCTCCTGCATATTTTTTGAGGCAGTCAAAATTGTCCAGAAACAAGGCCCCCATCATAGATCTTTTTCACGTCGTGAAATAATAACAGCACTAGTGTTTAACTCCAGGTTTTGCTCTGTAAAATGACGCTTTTTGTTCCGACTTTCGATACGAAAGTAACGGAATATTTGTGCTCGGGGTGGGTTTTTTTTCTTCAGACAAATTTCGACTTTTTAACTAGCCATTTTTGACAAAATTATTAAATATTATTCGACAGGTATTGTTGTCCTGGGCTCAAATTTGAAAACATATTTCACCTGTGATCATTTTTCGTAAAGTTATGGGGGTTTAAAGATTGCCATTTTGGGACAATTAACGCGCGATATATTTCGCGCTATTAACGCGTAAGCGGAGAGTTAATCCGTCTTAGAAATCGTTCCACATTGATTTAATGAAGCTTATTTGCCATAATTAATTTGTTACAAGTAGCAAAATCTATCCTTTTGTACTTTATATGGCATGTGGGGGGGGGGATGATTTTTATTTAAAAAATTTCAAATTTAAAAAAAAATCATTTTGTTTTATTACTTTTAATTTTTTAATGATATTACTGCTCCATAAACCTTAACGGGCAGTCGGAACATTCAGGGCTTCGCACTGATACGAGCAGTCTTGTTAATTGATTTATGAATGCTTTTCATTTGAAAACCATTTATTATCATTATAGTTACAAGCATCAGCGGAATAAGGGGGACGGGCGCCCTCCTCAGGAGTTCGACCCCCTGCCGACGCAAAGGGTCCCCCCTAAAACTATTTTGAGATATCCATTTTGGTGATGGACCCTAAAATTTTTCTTAAGGCGCCAATATATACTAATTTTGAGGGGGAAGCGAGCGCCGAAATAACACAAATTTTTGGTCAAAGTTTTCCAAAAAAATTACCTAAAAACGTCCCCCCCCTCGAGAAAAATCTAGATCCGCCCCTGGTTACATGTTGTGACATCACTACATGACGTCATGCATTCTTATGCTATATTAGATTACATAATTAGCCTTGTTAATGAAATGAAGTTCATACATTTATATTTATTTAACTATGTAAATATTGATGGTAATTAATACCAACCATAGGAAATTTATACCGAGCTACTAATCAATTGGGTAGACTTGAACCGAAAACGAAAGGAAGTCAGTGTGACATCACTACATGACGTCATGCATTCTTATGCTATATTAGATTACATAATTAGCCTTGTTAATGAAATGAAGTTCATACATTTATATTTATTTAACTATGTAAATATTGATGGTAATTAATACCAACCATAGGAGATTTATACCGAGCTACTAATCAATTGGGTAGACTTGAAGAGAATAAAATATTAGAATCATGCTCTAACTTGCGCCGATCGACTAGCGATATTCCAGAAGTTAAGAACCGAATCCTGCGTCCTTAAAAGCAAGATAAGTCTTAACCGCTCGAGACATATAAATTATGGAAACAATCAATAACAATCGATAGCCAGTAGCGCTAATTAATATTCGAACAGCTTACAACATTATCAATAAACGACGATATAGCTGTCCACAGCCATCCGAAGGGACACTATATCACATGGTGACAGGAGTGGGATCTGTAGCACCAATGAGGAGCCTGCAGAAGCGCAGCGCAGGAGGAAATGTATAGAACTCGAGATATCAAAAAACACCAACACATGGTGACTGTTGGAACAACACATTATATCACATGGTGACTGTCGCGGAAGATTCTACTTCTGGATTCACCAAAAGTCATCGGCAATTGAAAACTACAACACACGAGCGGACAACGACAACCGCACTTTGCTGAAACAGAACAGGGCAACACAACCCGTTTCACCCAGCAACGCTCAGATGTGGAAAGCAGAGCAACATTCAGCGAACAACTGAGACAGACAGGGAGAAAAAGAAGACAGCCTCAACTTCTCAACATCTCCGGGCTGAAAGTTTCTCCAATCTACAGAAGCAGATGTGGATTGTGACCTACAACATCACTACTTCTTGTTCCAGTCAGAAGGCAGGGCAGCTGAGCTACTGACAAGGCAGACAAAGAAAGCAAATCTACAGGTTTTTCAACAATCAACAAAAAACAGTTAGTTAAAACAAACTCAAAACTCAAACCTGCAGTAAATTGATATAATTGTCATTAAGTTTCCCCACCATAGAAGTGAAGTAACGGAACCTTTAGCACAACCATATAATTGCATCAATAAATCTGATCAGTGATACTGCTAGCCTTCTTTGACCGCTAATTTATATAACAAACTCCCTAGTGTTCCCCCTAAATTGAATAAGTGCTGTATCTTATCATCAACTGTATCACCCTGATATTCATTCGACTGTATTACGATGGCACACGCGCAAGTTTCGGTCGAACCCTATGGAGGAACGGAAAAAGAAGACTTTTCAGAATTCGAGCAACTTTTTCAAGGCTACATCGGAGTAGCAGCGATACCAAACGCACAACAAGCGAACTTCTTGCAACTGCACCTACGAGACAACGCGCTGCGATTCTACCAGACACTAGGACCAGCAACTCGAGCGAACGTTCCCGCGAGTCTCATAGCCCTGAGGAATCACTTTTGCAACCCCCAACTTCAAGAAATCCACGTTTTGAATTTAGAACAACTGCGATTCAACCCGAAAACAGATACCCCAGAGAATTTCTTGGTCAACTTAACGAAAAAAGCGCAGCGAGCGTATCCGACACCAGATTTGCCAGCTGTCGCCCCAATTGATCCTGCAATAATTGGAGCACCTGCAGCAGCAGAAGCAGCACGATTCCACCGAGAAACTGCTCAAAGGCAAGAAAGGATAGATGCTGTACATGACAACCGAAATGAACAAATTAAACGACTGTTCATTAAGGGAATGCCAGGTTGGCTGAGATCAAAACTGATGGAACAACCACCTGCAACTACAGTTCAGGAACTGTGCAACCTGACCAAGAAGCAAATCACAATTCGTGAGATTTGCCGAAAAGACGATTACCCGGAAGACGGATTCAACGAAGTAAACGACAAAGTCTCAGAAAATTTAATAAGCGCTATCACAAAATTGTCCACAAATCAGGAAAAAATGGAGAAGCAGCTTAACGAAATGAGATCACAAATAACTGAGCAGTCGAATAAACAATCGAATCCGCTTCCCGAACAAAATCGGAACAACAACAGTTAGAGTGATCAGTATAGTGGCTATCAGCCAAACCAAAATAATGGGTATGGACAACAACGAGGCAACAGAGGCGGAAGACGTAGAAATAATTGGCAAAATAAATTTGATTTCAACAATAGTCAGCCAAACTTTCACCATATGCCACCAGTTGCACAACAGCCATATTCGCAACTGTACCCCCAAAATCAGCAGTACCCAAACATGTACCAAAATCAACAGCCAATGGTTCAAATGCATCCATCAGCACAATTTCAACAGTCCCAGAAATATCCGACGCAACAATTTGTCGTAAATCAAATGCCTCAAGCTGAAACGCAAAATCCCAACGGACCTTTTGGACCAATGGTGCGATCATCAGCCAAATTTTGTGACGTTTGTGGAAAATTTAACAACACAGCAAGTCAATGCTGGTGGCGACAGAAACCACAAGGACGCGGACAAAACTTCCCGTTTCCAAACGAGCCAAAAAACTAATAAAGCCACTGAGTCAGCCCCCTAAATCATCGAAATCACCTAAATCATCACCTAACGAACTTTTCCAACCTGATGAGATACTTAGCCTTTACGCAATAATCCCTGCGGAAGGAACAGTACTGACGTACACGAAATTACGTTTCTCATCGGGATTACAACGTAGAGCCCTGGTCGATACAGGAGCCTGCGCAAATGTTATCTCAAAACAGACATTTGAAGACCTAAAAGAAGAAAAATCGCTATTTCGCCCTCTTGAAGTAAATGAACCCAAACTGAAGAGAGTTAGAATGGCAGGAGGACAGCAAGTCTCCATTGAAACTGAAGTAACGTTAGAATTCCGATTGGCAGACATGACCTTTATAGAATCATTTCTCGTTCTTCATGCAGCCAATTCAATAATTCTAGGAAATCCTTTCTATAAAAAACATCATATCCATGTCTGTCCGAAGTATAATCTACTGCATTTCAAAGACATGACCCTTCAAATCAACGAAATAAAACCTCCAAACGAGCCAAGAAGAGTCAATAGAGTGAAAAAATTCCCTTTGCTTCTGACAAAACGTCAAACAATAGCCCCGCATCAGACAATTCTTGTAGAATGCCAGCTAGAGAACACATGTCAAGACATGGAAAAAACTACCGGAATCTTGATTCCAGCTCAGGAATTTGAAGAAAACTGTGACATTGCGTTCACTTCTTCAATAAGCGAAGTGCTGAAAAACAACCTGTTGTATATCACAGCGTTTAACATCACCGATCATCACATTACTTTGCCTTTCAAAACCGAAATTGGGAAATTTTCAATTCTGACTCTGAAAGAAGCAGAAAATTTATTCCCCATCGAACCTGAAATGATTGCATTTGCAAAAATGAACCACCCGGACGATATTGAAATGGGCATTAATGAGCTAATTCAACAATCGTGTGATAGTCAGCAGCCCCAAATGAAGCATGAACCTGAGTATGAAAAATTTTGGTTTCCTACGCCTGAAACATGTCAAAACCCTGAATTACTTCCTCAAATCCAACGCGACATTTACGACCAAATTCTTCATTTTCAAGGTCTTGAAAAACTTGAACCGAAAACGAAATGTCAAGATCGATTGAAATTTATCAAGAACTTTAAGTGGGAGAATTCAGTGTTGACAGAAGACCAAAGGTCAAAAGTAGAAGATTTGCTTGTTGACTTTTCGGACATCTTTGCCAAACATAGATTCGATGTTGGGTACAATTCCGACCTCAAAATCAAACTAAAACCGGAACACACACGACCTCTGTATACACAAGGACCACCTACGCCGATACATTTGCGACACGAATTGACAGTGGAACTTGCCCTTATGCACTATTATGGACTTATAACAACATTGTCACATTCAAAATACAGTAGTCCACTATTTGCACATCGAAAGCCATCTGGTAAATTGCGGATGTTGATTGACCTCAGAAGGATAAACCATTCACTCAAGAATGACTATATCAACAGCAACTTTCCGATCTCAAACATGACCGATGCTTCGAACCACTTCGCAGGAAAGAGCTTGTTTACCAAACTTGATTGCTCACAAGCATACCACTGTGTGCAAATGGCAGATGACCTTTCAGTCCAACTTTTGGCATTTAACTTCGGTTCACGAACTTACGCATACAAATGCCTGGCTCAAGGTCTAAGTAAATCAGTAACAGGATTTAGTTCTTTTATCCGACACTACCTTGATCCATGCTTAGCTGCGGACCTATGTACACAATTCATGGATGACATAGGGAGCGCTGTGTATAACTTCGATGAAATGATACCGACCCTTTCGAAAATATTCGAATGTGTACGGAAGTCAGGACTTAAATTGTCGCCGAACAAATGTGAGATCGGAACACAAAGACTGAAGTTCCTGGGTAACATAATCACACCAGCAGGAGTGTCACCGGAACAAGAGAAAATCTCCACGTTCTTAAAGAAAATTAAAATGCCACAAACTGTAAAACAAGTTAAACGACTAATCGGTTTTGTACAGTTTTTTCGCAACTATATGCCAAGCCTAGGAGAAAAACTGATACCATTTTATCGACTCCTCAGAAAAGATGTTGCTTTTCAAACGGCTGAGGAGCACCACAAAAGTCTCGAAGTGCTAAAGCATGATCTGATACAAACAACAGACATAACACTTCGGTTACCAAAACCAGGATTACAATACGTAATACTCTGTGATGCAAGCTATCATGGAACCGGTTTTGTGCTCATGGTTGAAGACTATGTGAAGACTGACAATAAAAGTGCACATGAAAACGTATGCACCAGTGTCTTTTGGATCAAGACTCTTCAATACAGCACAACTGAAGTTCTCCATATACTACAAAGAGTTCTTAGCTCTATATTTTGCCCTCGATCATTTCTCTCATTTCATTTGGGGATCATCCAAACCAGTGATAATACTGACTGATAATCGGAGCCTGACACAGTTTTTTCAAGCAAAAACCATTCCACCATCAGTTTGGAATTTCTTGGATCGAGTCATGGCATTTAACATCATCATCGCGCATATACCTGGAAAAGCAAATTATGCAGCAGATTTTCTCTCACGAATGCAAACAGACCCAGCAGCTTCTCTCTCCCTGAAACTGACGGACAAAATTCCGGTACGAGAGATTCAAATCGACACGACAGCTAAAGTACCTGATGCATCTTTCAACCTGATCCAACCAATGGAGGAGATCTTTCCCGAAAAGAAGAAACTTGACGATAATCTGAGAACACAATTGATTGAACTAGGACTCTATGAAAACGTTATGCGAGAGCTCAACACGCAAGACGATAGCGATACTATTCAACCACAAAACTTCGTCCGACTATCAGGACCATTAATTGCCGCAGTTGGATATCCCGATCCTGCTGACATCTTTCATGACCTGAATTTGAGTCATGAAGTTCTCAATCTGAAAAATGAACAAGAAAAGGATCCTGATATCGAAGATGTGAAGAACTGGATACGGAACGAACAAGTTCCAAACCTCACGTACGAAAACAGTCGAAAGAAGAAATATGCGAAGCAATTTAATCGACTCATACTTGAAAACGACATTCTGTACCGAAACTTCTTCGATGACACAGGAAAGGTGAAGTATAAACAATACTGCCTACCTAAACATCGTTGGAAAGAAGTTGTGTATCGACTCCACAACTCGCCAACTGGCGGACATCTTGGAATGACAAGGACATCAGAAGAGTTTAGAAAACGATTTTACCTTCCCGGCTTCACTGAATTTCTAAAAAATACGATTAAAAATTGCCTGACGTGTCTGCAACTCAAACAAGCAACGGCAAAGCACCAGATTCCACCATTACAACCAATTTCATCATTGCAATGTTTCCCAGGCGATATGATGCAAATTGATATAGTTGGACCAATGAAGTCACCAGTCTACAAGTTTGTTCTCACTGGAATCGATGTATTCTCGAAATACTTGTTTGCAGCACCATTGACGAATGCTAGCGCTGATACTGTTGCAAGAGAACTTACAAAGATGTTCTTTGTTCATAGTTATATCCCGAAGAAGATTCTAGCTGATCTTGGAAAGACATTTACTTCAGAACTGATGCACGAATTGACGACATTGCTCGAAATTCAACTTAACCATGCCACACTAAAACACCCGCAGACTATCGGTCTTGTCGAACGATCTCATGGACCACTTAAACGAATCCTAAAGCTGAACACCAATGAACAATGGTCGGACTGGCACAAATATGTCCCACTGGCAACATTTATCCACAATACTTCATACTCTTCATCAATTGGATGCTGCCCAAGCTCAATTTTCCATGGAAGAGAACCGACAAAACCACTTGATCTCCGCTTCTCAACGAAAGCAATTGAAACAGTAACAGCTGAATCTGATTTTGTTACGGCAATGCAAGATGCGATGCTAGAAAAGTTCAAAGAAACGAAAAAGAACTTAATTTCAGCTTACCATAAATACCGAGGATATTACGATCAAAAAGCACTTGCCCAGCCACTGAAACAGCATTCATTTTGTTTATTATTAAATCCTCTGTTGACAACACAATCAGATTTTGGGAGCAAATCAATGCAAGTCTGGATACCATTGTACAGAGTTGAAAAAGTATTGACAAATTCAAACTACATCATTCGTAAAATGGGAACTAATTTCACACAATGCGTACACCGGATTCGTCTCAGACCTGTTATTCCACAGCATCAACCAGAAGATCTCGAGACTATTGATCCAAGCAAATTTGAAACGGATCCCTCACTTGGTAAATATCGAAGTGAACCAGGACTCTTCGACGATTCTTTGCCCAAACTCTTAGACGACATCCAACCCGCAACCGGTGGACAAAGCAACTTTCCCGATGCACCTGCTCGAATCCGACTGTCAGTACCTCTTGGAGGACCCGCAGCAGCCCCAATCGCTCCTGCAGCAGTCCCAATTCCCGCAGCAGCACCAATAGTTGCACCATTACCTCTGGTACCGCTACCAATAGCAGCACCGCCGCCACCAGCACTTCCACCGGACCCAGATCCAGAACCATTAGCTCCACCTGAGTTTGAATACAACGATGGATTAATTAACGACGAACCAATGAACGAGGCAGTGGTAACAATGCCTACTACAGTTAATCTCGAAAACGATGGACAAAACATGGCCCAAGAAACCTCGCGAACGAAGCGCAAAGCAGCAGTCGAAGCGCGAGACAAAATATTTTGCCAAACGCGCTTCAACAACGATGTGAGATATCACCCAATACCACCACGCGAATTGCAACTGCGCACATTCAGCCTACGAACAGTAGATGGACACGAAGTGGCTCCAATAACGTTCAGTCCAAGATCAACTCAAAACGAAAACCGATCAAAAATAAAGAAGAAGGTAGAAGAGGCAAATGGATCTTTCCCTCCACGCGAAACGAAAAGAAATATAATAAAGGACAGTGTACAACGAGCGAAGCAACTGACTAAAACTAAACGTAAAGACGGACCTGGAAGCAGCAAAGATTCGGTGAACTCAATCTACGATGAACCAAATATCTTTGTTGGACCAGGAAATGTTTTACAGTTCCCAGGCTCTATAGCGCACTGTGTCTCAAGTGACTTTCACATGAACAAAGGAGTAGCACGACAAATCAGCAGTGCCTATCCATGTATGAGGCCAACACTACAAAGCATTGAAACACCAATAGTTGGGTCATCAGTTGCTGTGTCTTTGCCTTGGGAAAACAAGTCAATTTTCAACCTGGTTACAAAATCACAATTCTTTGACAAGCCAACATACTACGATTTGTCAAGAAGCCTCAACTGCATGAAGCAGCAGCTATTGCAGAAAGGAATAAACGCAATAGCCATGCCAAAAATTGGATGTGGACTCGATAAATTGAAAGAAAGTAGAGTTTTCAGCCTAATTTGCGACATTTTCGGAAAAACTAACATCAAAATCTTTATTTATCTATGACGAAAAATCCGGATATCAGCTAGTACCGTTCATGCATGCATTCAAAACATTTGCCACTACAGCCCACGTTGAAGTCGATCGAAACACCACAAGTTGGGGCCTCAGTATCAATGCACATTCCTTCTCAAAACAAATCAATATTCAATCTAGTGACAAAAACGCAATATTTCAATAAACCGTCTTACTATGATCTTACACGCAGCCTCCGCTGCATGAAGAAACAGCTAATCGAACAAGGAATCAAACAAATCGCTCTTCCCAAGATAGGATGTGGACTTGATAAACTACGAGAAAATACGGTTTTTAACATAATCTTCGAAATCTTCCGAAAAACAGACATCAAAGTCTTCATATACGTCTGACAACAATATCGACCCCCTCAATCATCATCATATGACCCCAAATGACGCTACAGAAGCCTGGCGCAGGAGGAAATGTATAGAACTTAAGATATCAAAAAACACCTCAACCTCCCATGTATTAAGATCACGAATAAAAAAGTTTCGAGCACCCCGACAACTCAGTGATTGAATCTCGAAAATTTTGACACCAGTGAGCTCTGTAGCACCAACGAGGAGCCTGCAGAAGCGCAGCGCAGGATGAAATGTATAGAACTCGAGATATCAAAAAACACCTCAACCTCCCATGTATTAAGATCACGAATAAAAAAGTTTCGAGCACCCCGACAACTCAGTGATCGAATCTCGAAAATTTTGACACCAGTCAGCTCTGTAGCACCAATGAGGAGCCTGCAGAAGCGCAGCGCAGGAGGAAATGTATAGAACTCGAGATATCAAAAAACACCTCAACCTCCCATGTATTAAGATCACGAATAAAAAAGTTTCGAGCACCCCGACAACTCAGTGATCGAATCTCAAAAATTTTGACACCAGTGAGCTCTGTAGCACCAATGAGAAGCCTGCAGAAGCGCAGCGCAGGAGGAAATGTATAGAACTCGAGATATCAAAAAACACCTCAACCTCCCATGTTTAAGCATTACGAATAAAAAAGTTTTTCGCCCCCCATCAACGAGTCGAAGGAAATTCAAAATTTTTAAGCTCATTGATCTTCAAATCACCAATGACGATTAGGCACGAATTTGGTCCACTAGCAGACCAAAAATTGGTGACATGCATCAATTCTCAACATTCCCATGTATTAGTATAGGAAAAACAAAAAAATAATAACTTTCGAGGGATATCTTTGCAGAAATGCGGAAAGAAAACACTCAAATGAGCCAGCAAAGATCCAACGGAATTGTTAGGACAACCCTGAAAGTTTACAAGCATTGCTGAAAAACAACACGCGAACTTTAACAGCTAATTAGAACATCATAAATATCAACAAATTTGATGAAAAACTGAAATTCATCAATTTTAATTCTAACTGATGCCAAATTTTGCTCAGGCGAACCAGCAAAATGCCTGAATAGCCTATACGAGTGATTTACAACGTCTGTAGAAAACACGACGACAGACCACAAAAGCCAGATTCAGCACAAAAAGACGTTGATTGCGACAAAATGCAAAACCTTCGTCGAAATAGTGGAAATCTGACAACAATCAAGGAAGCTTATCGCCTTCATTCAGGGAGTAAGGCCAACTAAGGCACAACACGCCTAATGGAAGAAGAAACGATGACTCCTGAGAACACAATCTGAAAAACCAAGTTCAACTTTTACGCACGTACACCAGAGTACAAATTGCTTTCCTAGTTGCAAACTTCAACAAAAAAGTGAATAATTCGACAAAACAGATAACTGTGAAATTGTTGGAAATCTATTCGCAATTGAAGAGGCCACGAAAAGACTGAAGTCACCTCATTTGAAAAAGCAACAACCAATTCGGGCACCAATGGAACAAAAGAAATGACTAGCAACCAACAAAGAAAGAAGATAAAAACAACGAAGCGACGAACAACAATCGTCTGCTACACGACACTACAGTACTTGCACCGCAAACTTAGTTATAGTTGACAACTGAACCTATTTTGCTATCATACACTTGATTCATTCATCTATCATTTACCTCCCATAACCCGACTCAATGTGGCTTCCTACCCCCATTAAAATATTTCCCATTTAAACTCAATTGAATTCTCTTTCATATAATGTAAATTGAAGTAATAACCTGTGCTTCTAAACCAATGAATGTTAATTATTTTTGTGATAACTTGATAGTTCAATTACTCATTTTCCTGTAGCAGTATATATTTTGTCAATCTGATTGTCGATTTTAAACTTAATTATTTTAACTGTAAACAGTCAAAAACTGAAAACCACCCGGGAAGATTTCTTCTTGTGAGGCAGTGTGACATCACTACATGACGTCATGCATTCTTATGCTATATTAGATTACATAATTAGCCTTGTTAATGAAATGAAGTTCATACATTTATATTTATTTAACTATGTAAATATTGATGGTAATTAATACCAACCATAGGAGATTTATACCGAGCTACTAATCAATTGGGTAGACTTGAAGAGAATAAAATATTAGAATCATGCTCTAACTTGCGCCGATCGACTAGCGATATTCCAGAAGTTAAGAACCGAATCCTGCGTCCTTAAAAGCAAGATAAGTCTTAACCGCTCGAGACATATAAATTATGGAAACAATCAATAACAATCGATAGCCAGTAGCGCTAATTAATATTCGAACAGCTTACAACATTATCAATAAACGACGATATAGCTGTCCACAGCCATCCGAAGGGACACTATATCACACATGTATAATCTTCTCAATTGAGAACACTTAATCATTCTTATTAGTTACCTAGGATCGACTTAACAATTACCCTCCCCTTTCACGAAAGGGGTGGGGGCAATGCTAAATAGATTAAGTTAGACCAATTTCCGACCAATAAGAATGCAGCGAATGTCGAGTTATAAACTGAAAGCTCTAGTACTAACTTGCTATTTTATATTTGGAGTGCCAATTATTTAGTAGATATCATATAAGGGGGAGGGAAGGTAATTGTTAAGAAGATCCGTTACCTCCTCGGCCCAGAAGAGTGGGAGGATGTAGGTCCAGTCGCTAGGAAGACTCTTCAGACTGTCCAGGTGGAACTTCCTCATCTGAGTGTTCACTTGCACACGCTTCGCAGCTGAGATCGCAACTCCAGACTCCTAACGGCAACATTCATTCAAGCTTATCTCTTGACCTATGATGGGGATGGGGGCTCGGCAATTCCGTCTCCTCGCCGCCCAAAAGGTCACCGCATATATCGTCAGTATATACCTATACGCGCGCGGCCAAGAGTAAGACAGCGCGTCAAAACTTTCAAAAAGCCCAATAAGTTCACTTACATGGGGTTTTGTGAATTCCATCAAAACTTTGAAACAGCGCAGAGATTTTGGACAAAAATTATTTATGTCTGTTTCTTCAGGAGAGCCGAGAACATCAATTAGAAAAACAAGGTCAAAATTTTGCCGATGTTTCGAAAAATCGCTTCCTCCTCTCTTGAAAACATAGATCCGCCCATATTTAAAAGGAATTAACTGAAACGTGTTTATCAGCCTGGTAATTTAAGTAACGAAAGTATCTAGTAACGATACTATGAAAAGAAGAGAAGGAGCATTTCGATCAACAGATTGGGGGATCGAGCCCCATGTTATCCGAGTTCGTTTCTCGTCACATTAACACAATTTTTCCAATTCAGCTAATTAGGAAAACTCAATAGGCCACTCAGCACTTGAACAGTTAGCAGACATTTCTATATTTTCCAGTTGATAATGTTTCGGTGATTGAGAACCCCTAAATCTCGAAGCGCAGATAATTATATTTTGAATCACCGAACAGATTTCAAGAGCACAAGATTTCTAATTTTGTTTTCTCATTAATGAAAGTAAACCGGCTTCACAAAACTAATAATTAAATTACGACTGAGATTAATTTTTGTCAATAATAAATGTCAATAACCATGGCGCCAGTCAAACGGATCACAGATTCAGAAGCAAGAGTCATTGATCTAATTTTGGTTCCATCAACCCAAAGTAAATTTATCAAATGTCGAAGTATATTTTCCAAATTGGTCAAATTAACTATTTTTAAACCAGCATAACTTGATTGTTAAGGCTACATGTTAACTTGAACTTGACAAATGAATGCATACAATTGAAATATATTTTTTATATTCGAGTATAAAAAAATCAGTAAAAACGAGAAAAATATAACCCCGTGCTCATATATTTCACACAGAGGCAAAGCGGTGCTGCGCACCACTTGCTATACAACACAAACATTCTTAAAATTAATAGAAAAAATCGAAAAAAAAAAACAAATTAGACATTGAAAAAAACTAGGTGAACCGAATTGCTATACAACACAAGTCGGAAAAAAAATTAGACATTGAAAAAATTTGGTCAACCAAATTGCTAAACGCACTACTTGCTATACAACACAAACATAAAAAAAATATTACAAAAAGTCGAAAAAAAAAACATAAGACATTGAAAAAAAACTAGGTGAAACAAATTTTTCATAAGACTCGATAAAAAACAACTACAGGCCCAGCAAAGCTAGAGGTAGGTGTTTAAAGCTGAATAAGTTGGCTATATTGATGCGGCACAAAAAGTTTGATTTCAAAACTTCTACTTCGCCTAAAACATTAGCTGTTCCTCTCCTAAAATAAAAAAGAGAAAAGCAAGTTTTAGATAATCAATTTTCCCAAAGAGAACATTTCTCTCACAAAAAGTGAAGGAATTGCTGCTTCTGCAAGAACAATTATCAACAACGGTTTTTCGAATTAAATTTTTAATCTCAGATTTGATTGCTTGCGTGATGTTTACAAAAACTAAATTTTTTTGAAAAAAAATTGCGAAAAGAAAAAATAAAATTTCAACAAACTGATTGGTAAACGTAAAATCAAATTGAGAAGTGCGGAGGGTAATGTTAAAATTGTGTTTTCCTTAAAACGATCCACAATTAGGTCATCAAGCCGATGAAAAACAGGCCAAAATAAATTGGGCCGATGATTTTATTTTTGGCGAAATAAAAAAAAAAACAAAGAATGAAATACGAAGTCAATGTAAAAGCAATATTAGAAAAAATGCTCGCAGCAAAAAATAAACGATTTCAAGATGAGACAACTAAGCCGACAACAGATATTCGGACAAATAATTGGCCGCCAACAATTTTATTTGAAACATATATTTCCCGTTTAAAGAAGTCTTGGTCAGATTCGAACTCAGGGCCTTTACCGCCCCAGGCATATTCGCTACCTTCAGGCTAAGTTGACCGAGAACGCAAGGAAATTTTAATACATTATGAACACAGAGGTGAAGCTGAGATTCACGCCACTTGCAATACAAACATTAATGATTAAAATGAAACGAAAAAAAAAAGAAAAAGCTTCAAAAAACCGTTTTTGTCAAAAAAAATTAACAAAAGCCCAAAATATGAGGGACATAACTGAATCACTTTGAAAATGCTATAAAGATTACGAGTTTTCAACAAAGTTTTTTCTTCGTACTAAGCAGACAAAAAAACTGTTATACAAAAATCTAAATTAGCCAAAAATTTTTAATTGCAAAAAACATGTCTCAACTGGAATCAAACTCCCGGGCTTTGGCGTCTCACACATGGGGGTTATAGCAACTTGGAATAACGCTGGACCATTGAGCTACGGTCGACAAAAAAATGAACCAAGCCGGCTTGAACCAAGCCGACAAAAAAAAATAGACAGACGATAGTCCGAAAAAGCACAAACTCTATTTCAGAGCAAGGGCCCGGCCGGATTCAAACTGCAACCCTTTGCTATCAAAAACTGCCCTTTTACCTCTGCTCCAGATGCGCCGGATGGTTGACTGGAATTGAATTTATAATTACCGAGCGGCAACAAAGCCGAAAATACCTATAACTCATAGAAACGTTAAGTCAATTTTCCCCTCAGAATACACACACACACACACACACACACACACAAAAACGCATAAAAACTTTTTTTGGTCAAAACGACGTACTAAGAGCCCACTAAGTTGATATTAATTAAACCGACAACTATCAAGCCAATAAAATGCAAAAAAGGAAAAAAATTAAACAAATTGATCTGGTGAAATTAACAAACACAGCCAATCGAAGATTGGAAAAGAGTAATGAACGCAAGTACACAAAAAAACACAGATTTTGAGGGAAAAATCTCAACTTTCGAACTTCAACAAGAAAATAGATGCCCTTTAAGCTCTTTGAATTTCTAGAACGATTTATGACTGGATCTTTTTTGATAACATAAACCTAAGTTGAGAAAACGGGATCAACAGGTAAAGTTTTTATTCAGTTGGAAATCTAAAAATTAAATTCCACTTTCGAAACTAGAAATCGTTCACGTTTTTTGAGCCATTTCCACGTTCATATTTGAAGAATGCTACTTACGTCACATTCAGCAGCTGAATTTCAATTGAACTCAAAACGTGCATATATACCTAAGTGCATCAATATTTTAAGACTTTTTACAGAACATAAAAACAAAAAAAAATCAGCAAGACCTATATAAGAGACTTTACTACGTTGATTACTCTTAACCAATGTGAAAAGCAAACTTCAATTCCCCCGGGTTTTTAAAATGCTACAAGCAACTGCAGCTTAAATAAACGATTCTTAGATGTGGCAACACAGCCGACAAATCATAAGCAGACAGATAAAAGGCCATTTTTTTCGATCCGAAATACTTACCACTTGAGAAGAACTGGTCCTGGTCAGATTAGAACACAGGATCTTTACCGTCCCAGGCGAATTGGTCATCATCAAGCTAATTGTTCAAGAGACACAACAAAATTTGAATTCATTATAAAGCAAGGTACATCAGGAGTCCAATGAGTCCTGTTGACAAAGTTGTTTACGGGAAAAAAGTCTAAAACCCGATTGCAATATCGCAAGGGTAATCAATAAATATAAACAAAAACAAATTATCCATTCGAAACATGTCATTGAAATCATAAAAACGAACAAAATGATGAATTTATTTAAACAAAGCCATCAGACAGTTGGAAAAGAGTCACTGAACGCAAATAAACAGAAAAAAAATGACTTGTTTTTTGAAAAGACCTAAGTTCGCGAAATGTATAGAAAAAAAATAGATGGCCTTAACGCTCTTTGAACTTGAAGAACAACTTATGATCGATACTTTTTGATAAAACTAACCCAAAAGTGAACTGGATTATCAACCAAACCTGAACTGGACAAACCAAAAATGAACTGGATTATAAACCAAACGTGAAGTGGATCTAACGGTATTTATGGTGACGTATGTCTCGTGGAGGTCTTTGTCGGGAGGTGAGAGTCCAATGATACTGTTGATGGTGGAGTTGTCCGCGTAAAGGAAGTGAGGCGCAGACATGATGATGCTTATGTCCATCGGCTGACCCGTCCTGTACTCCACCATGTAGCCTAAAAGACACTAAGATGAAAAGAAAATCCAACAAATTAAAAAAAAAACATAGCTATCAGACAGTTGGAAAAGTGTCGATGAACTCAAAAAAAACCGAACTACTTAGAAAAACATAATTAAAAAACAACTGAAAAAAAAAATATTTCGGTCGATTTTTAATTGGCTGTGGCAGACCTGAAGCTAGAGGTCAATTGAGAGCTCGTCCTCACACACTGTCATTGCCATCATCTATGACGGTCAACAAAAATCTAACGCTCAACAAAGTTACTCAATCTAGAATGTGGGGAAATGATGCAAAACGTACTATGCTTAGATAGGCCTGTTAGTCTTTCATAGATCCTCTGCGAATCGCAGAAACATCATTTATTATTATGATTATCTGCTTCGATTCTCTATGAATTAATGGCTAAGCGCGGTAAAAATTTCACTGATATTGATTTTCTGGCACAAGCGAACAATTTGAAGTTTTTGACGATTCGTTCAATGCTCTCAGACGGAAGACAAATTTTGATTTGACATTTTTTATCCCAATCGGTGTGAACAACTCTCATCAACGAAAACACTCGGATTAATGACCCTAAGTTTCAAGGTAAAGTTAATCAAATCGATTTTCATAGGACCTGTTGATTTCAGTGTTGTAAACACGTTGTGACTTCAAGTAACATATCCAACTGACAGAAAAGAATAATGAGCGCAAGGAAACGCTTATTTATGGAAAAAATTCAACTTGCGAAATTTAAAGAGAAAGTATATGCCCTTAAAGCTCTTTGAAGGTCACGCTCAATTATATACCACCTGAAATCCCCGATGTCAAGTCAACTCACTTTGGCATTTGGACACGTCTATGAGGCCATTTCCAAGACACAAGTTCACATCACCCTGCTTACAGAAGGCCGCATTGTCTTCAAAGTCCACTTTGAACAATTGACTCGGCACTGTGAACTTCGTAGTACGCAGACCTTCAAAACAAACAAGCTCTCCACTTCAAAATCAAAAAAGCAACACAGCCTAAAACTGGTTAGTTGTTTAATTGGTAAGTATATAATCATTGCTTCAAGGGACATAACCATATTGATAAACAACCATGAAATTGCTTGATCATCAATACTCAATTTAACACACTCATTCATTGGATAAAAACTGTTGTTTAAATTGCACGATTACTATTGATTGGATGACTGAAATAGCGACACTCCTCGTTGGATTGGTAGAGGATGTGGGGTTTACGGAATTTTGGCCTGTTTTTATGGTGCTTCGAGAGATCACGGAAAATCAATTTGTCGACTTAAAAAAAGTTTGGTTCCCTCGAAAAACCCTAGATCCGCCCCTGGTTATACAGGTAGCAAATAGAAATTTGCTGTTGAGGGAGCTCTTTGTGTTTTAAATTCGAAGCATACAAAATTTACATTCCTAAAACTCTGCCCCAGTGAAATTTCAACTTCTACATCTGAGAGTCTAACGGTAGATAAAATAATTCACAGTAAAGGGGCTGAAAAGTAAAATAAGTTACTGATAGAAAAACAGAAACAGCACATTTTCAATATGACTAACAAAAAACAGAACATTTTTGCTTGAACCCACCTTCAGTCAAAGAAGAAAGCAGTAGCGAATTTAACGGATGGAGCGGACAATCCCCCCCCTCGAGAATTCGACCCCCTGACTACCCAAAGGGTCCCCCCTTTGCACCTATTTTAAAACCTCCATTTTTGGCTGGCTGACCCTAAAATTCTTCTAAAGTCGCCAAAATATACTAATTTTGAGTAAGGAGGAGCGCAAATTTTGTCAAAATTGGTTCTTTTTAGTGCTTTAAGCAAGCTCGGAAAATCAATTTGGTCGAAAAAAAGTGAACACAATTTGTTGAAAATCTCTCCACACACCCCCCCCCCTCTCTAGAGAAAATCCTAGATCCGCCCGTAGAAGCAATGGGTTCTTTTTCCTGTCCCCCTCACCTCACACAAGCATGATTTTCATGGTAACGAGGGTTTTGCAAGGTTAATTATGAAGACCAATTTGGTTTGTCCTGGCCCAATTATTCCGCATGACAATTTTTGTAACAATCGGACAATGTGAAGAAAACATATATTTGTAAAACGGCAATTTTTGTAACAATCGAACAAAACTAACAAAATTTAAAAAAAAACTGACAGATGGGGGAAAGGAAAAAGAGCTAAGCAAGAGTCTTGGAATCAAATTGTATTCGACTGAATAATTATACGCTTTGAAAACTTAATGTGACAATAGACCAATGAAACAATCACCTTCAACCTCATCCACAGGGTTCTCAGTATCTCTCAACAGATACAAACTCCTGCACATGTCCGAGTCAAACACATACAGTCTCTTGTTCTTGTTCACATCAGCCGGGAACACCTGACCGTCTGTACCGTTGATCATGTTGCTGTAAGTATCGCTCCAGAAGGACACGTTGGTGGCGTCGTTCCACTTTATGATTTTTCCTCGTCTGTGATTCAGATTTCCCTTCCCTGTTCGAATCTTGTACTGGCCATCATTCGAGTTGTTTGCCTGAATAGAACAAAGTAACAGTCAGTTGCGAAATGTCAATGAACTCGAAGAAACCCGAAAACGTCGATTTTATATATATATATTTATATATATATATATATATTCGAAAAAAAAAGTTATGACCATAACGCTCTTCGAATTTCAAGAAACGTTTATGCTTTTTTGATAAGCTAGCCCATTTTGCCACAGAGAGATAAAGCTGCATTTTGCAAACACAAGCGGACATCAAAAAATGTTGCTCTTAACTAAAAATATGAAAAAGGGCATAAATGTGTGGAAATAAAATTTTCATTAAATTCGGAAATTAAACTGCCGAGCTAGTTAATAAGAGGCTCACGCCCTCGCATCTGCGCCACGCTGGCTTCAAACTGTACCAACGCTAGTCAACAAAACAGCCGTTAGAACAGGTGCTATTAAATTGTCACCTGAGAGATTTTCAACAAACGAGTTTTGAAGAAAAATAGACAAAACTAACCCAATTTCAGAAAACGGGATAAATAGGTACATTTTTTTTGCGTTTGTGTTTTTTGCACCATCCTTGCAGCGTAATTTGCCTTTCTTTCAGCAAATGAACTTTGAAATTAAAAAAGTCAAACCGGAAAAAAATCGAATTTGGCGTGAACAAATTTTAAGACTTTATCCTGAAAAAAAATCATCTCGACCTATATGCGCGTCTTCACTAAATTCATTGACACTTACAATTTCCACTAGATGACAACTTTTGTTTGCAAGTTACTTTTGTAAAAAAAATTGTGAACTCGTAACATACCACTGCGCTCGCTTGGATCAATATGTAAATTTTTACACAGAGGCGAAGTTGCACTTCGCAAACACTAGCAAAAAAAACGACCGATACCGCTACTGGGAAAAACTGAAAGAGTAAAACTTTGAGTCTACAAAATTTCATATGTGACGCACGCCAATTGTGAGCCTGCATAATTGCTAAGTGACGCAAGCCAATTACGACGCATTAGCAGTACCAGTCAATTTGATAAAAGAAAATTACAAACTAACATTCCTCAATTTATATAGCGGACGCATTTAAACTAGTATACAAAAAAGTTCCTTAAAAACATCAGACCCTGACCAGGTTCGAACCCTTTTATTTTGCTGCTAGTCACCTTCCCTACTTCTACGCTACAGATCCATGATGCCTTGAAGCTAAAGTGCTATTTGTAATACAATAGTCTGTGTTAATATCCTTAGCATTGGCTGTACTTACTAGCTGGATCAAAATGAACACTTTCAAAATGAACTCATTTTGTCGGAACAATTGCATCGCAACAATATTTGCGACTCAGGTTGAAAAAAAGTTCATACTATAACAAAAGCTATTCTTGTTTAATTACGCTAGGAATTCTGAAAATAGAAGTCCAATTTCGAACCTAAGGGTTATTCGCGTTCTTGATTTGCGTATTTTTTCGCTTTCGTAGCTAGCAAGCGTAACTTGCCTGCCTTTTAGCGAAAGATTTTCAAGAGAATTTAAAAAGAAAACAAAATTCGAACTCCGAAGATTAAATTTGGCATGAGCAAACGTTCCTGAAAACTTATTCGCTAGCGAATAATTAACCATGGTTAAGTAGCTAAGGTCCTTTTTGACAGTTTGCGGCACAAAGTAGTGGATTATCAAACAAGCGTGAAATTTAACACAGAGGCGGAGCTGAAGCATCACAAACACGCCAGACTAAGTGGCAAAGATTCAGGACCTTTAAAATGCACAAAACTCATATTTTTCATTTAATAAATTGAAAGAACTAAACTAAAGGCGACCACACTAGTTCTGCATGTAATAAATTAGAATGTAATAAACCAAAATGCGTATAAATTATGCTTTTCAATAAACTCGAAGTATATCGAGTTAAAAATTTTCTGAAATGGTACTTTAATTATTATACTGTTGCGAAGAACAAATTGCTGTTTTCGATTTAATTGATGAATTGCACAGGCATCAACTGTGTTAATTTCTTAATTATCAAATTTCAAAGCACATATGATATTATAATGCTAATGCTGCCTACAGATTCAAAAGTGCCAAAAAAGTAGCACTTTTATTTGAGATTAGATTGAAAAAATATTTGCATCATACTATCACACGACACTACACTCGTGTTATCAAATCAAGGGTATATAACAGCTCACCGCAAAGCAATAAGATAGGCTGGAATAGATAAAATATCTCACATTTTCAATTGAAAACGCGAATTATAATACCCCTAAAGTGCACGCCCGAATTATGAATTTCTTTGAAAATGAGCTGCATTTTCACTCCATTTAATGCAATCAAAACATAGCCAACAGACAGTTGCATAAGGGCAAATGAATGCAATTAAACAGAAAAAAAATGAGTTAATTTGTGAAAAACTTTATTTTTCGAATTTCAAAGAAAAAAGTAGATGCACTTAAAACTCTTCAATTTTTTAGAGAACAATTTACGATTGGCCAATTTTCGGAAAAAATAACCCAATTCGAGAAAACTTCATCAGTATGTTATTATTCATTTCGCAGGGAAATCTGAAAATTAAAATTCAATTTTTGAAACTAGAAGTCGATCACGTTTTTCGTGACCTTTTAACTTTCGCTGTTCGAAAGGGGAAATTGCCTTTCTTTTACCAAAGAAAATGAACTGAACTTACAAAGAAATCAAAAGTCAAACCGCGAAAAAGTAAATTTGAGCTTGAAGACTTTTCCTGATAAAAAAAAAAACAAATCATCGTGACCTATTATGGGCGATATTGAAAACGCATCAACGAATTATTCAAATTTTCAGCTTGGTATTTTTTTTCATTTCATCAGTATAAAAAACCTGAAAAAATTTTTATGAAAACTGTGAAACAGATGTTAAAAATGTGACTAAGTTTTTCTGAAAGAGTTCATTAAAACAATTTTAACGTGCAATTTAAAATACTGCCCAACTTGTTACGCGATTTTTTCAGGGAAAAATATTACAAAAATTCCTCTTCTAGCAAACAGTCCGCATCTGAACCCATTCGAGCATCTTTGGGATTAAATGAAGCGAAAAATTCGGGCAAAAATAATCAGCAAAATCTTAGAGAACTAGCTTATTCTTTGGTTGATGTTTGGGTGAACGCACCTCAAAGTTTACTGGAAACTCTTATTTTTCGATGCAAAGACATATACGATTATGCATTCAAGCAAAAGGAGGACACTGAGTACTAATTAGTGAAAAAAAATTGGCTCGTTTAAATATGTATTTGCTGAAAGATTTTTCTTTTGTTGCGTTTTCAATGTCACCCGGTATATATGAGAGTTGCTGAATAAAATTTAGCAGTACTCTCACAATAGTACATGCTGCTCTTTTTCCTCAAAACTCCCCCTCCCCCTTGTTTTCATTATAAACACTGTGAAACTCTCGTTACACCGCAAAAATGATGTTAATGTGAGAAGTGGAGGGGACTGCGAAAAAGAGCTGTACCTGCATTCCGAAACTGTTAGGTCCTCCCACCAATTTCTGCAAATTGACCAGAAGCGAATTATTATTACGTCCCCAGAGGAATTCAGCTGCCTCCACGTCATAGAAGGGGGACACTGCATTCTGCAAGGATGAGTCATTCTCGCGCGCCCACTCATTCAACTTCAGTTCCACGATTGCACGTTCCATCAGGGGGGCGGTTGAGATCACAGTCTGAATAAGTGTAAATATAATATCCGAAGTATCAGCCAACCGAACATTCGCAGCATGAGAATTAGCCGAAAAGCTAGGTCATGATTAAAATTTGCATGACTTTTCTAACTGTTACTCAACTATTAAAAAAAAACAGTTAACCGTTTTTGGCTGTTTTTTATGGTAGCCGGTTTATACTTCGGCCGTTTTATATACCACCAATAAATTATTATTATTTTAAGTTCGTCTTTCTAATCAACAGAGGCGAAATCAAAAAATATCAGACAACTTTAAAAAAATGCAAATAAAGCTAGTGAATACCGAGTTTTTGTGTATTTACTCAGCTCAATTCGCATTTTGAACCAAAAGATTTAGTTTGACAATCTTAATGGGAAAGAAGAAATGTCTTCCATGCAACGAAGTTACAAATTATGAAAGGATAGGCGAAGATATCATCTGGTCTCCTATATCTACTTATATTGATTACCATATGTATATGTATTACCAAAATAGATCAAGAAATATTTATTATTTGAAGTTGGCTTTCCATTTAAACACCAGAATCTCGAATCCAGTTTCCGAGAGCATACTCCACGAGAAACTCAATAATTTAACCTTCAAGGGGCTCGAAAGGATGAGATCGCTGAATTTTAAGCTCCTGTGCGCGGAATTAAATCAATTTTTGAAAAAAAATAATTCAAAAACTAAAAATCGAAACATTATACAGCAATAAACGGGTCGAGCCTATTTTTTTTATATTGCAATTAAGCTCAATATCTGTACACGATTGTTTTAGCCGACTAAACACGCAATTGTTTTGAAGCTATCAAAATAGCTTTCAACAAAAATTGATGATAAAAAGTTCAAAACATTCAAAATTCAAGCGATCTTCAAGCGATCCGGTAAAAACATTCAAAATTCAAGCGATCCGGTAATATATTAGCCTAATTGTTGTGATAAACTTATCAAATAGATAGATATGTCTCGACGAACCGGATAAACATCTTATCTTGGGTAGCCCTTGTCTACGAAGGGATTTTAGAGATCCGGTTGATGGAAATCGAAATTGACACAAACAGAATCAGATAAAGAAGATAAACCAGCTCATTTGAGAGTGGTTACGACAGCCAAAAAAGACACGAACAAATTCCCGGATGTTATCCAGCTCATTTTAGAGCGGAAATGACAAAGAGAATTTGGAAATATCTTTAAACAAATCTACCAAAATCCAGCTCATTTTAGAGCGGAAACGACCAATAATTCCAAGCAAGACAATTGAAATATGTCGTCTCTCCACTGTACAGTATGTCAAAACGCTTTAACCAATCAATCGGTGAAATGCGTCGGTTGTCAAGCTTCTGCCCACTCTGCGTGTATTGGCCTCAACACTGCCGATAAGGTGGTTGGGCACATTGAATGGAGTTGCCCAGATTGTGGAACCTGTAAAAGAGATCTTTTCCGAGTTATTGATGAACTGCGACAAGAACTGTTCTCAATAAAGACTATGGCGCAAGATGTACACGAATTAAAGTCTGAGCTGCTATCGCTGAAGCAATATCGTGAACCAAGTAGTATAATTGAAAAGAACAAAACCAATTATGCTGGGGCAGCGAAGTTTAATCTGAATTCTTCGGCATTCATCAGAAATGCTCGTGAAAGTGTATCCTCAGAAGCTGATAGCTCGAGGGTTACGAAGCGAAAAGGCTCCAAAGATAGAAATGACCGCAGACCAAAGAAACCACTAATTACGGGAGAAGTGGTAACAGAAGCACTCAAAGGTGTAGAGAAGCCACCACCACGACGCCATCTCTATGTTGGAAGAATAAAACAGACAAATGATGAAAGTGATATAGTCGCATGGTGTCAAAGTAAAGGATTTCCTCTGAATCATATCAGGGAAATAACGAAGGAAAATTCTCGCCACAAAAGTTTCCACTGTGTATTTGACGGCGAACATGCAACAATCATTGATCAACCTAATTCTTGGCCGGAAAATGTTGTAATAAACAGGTACTATCTTGATGCAGAAGCCAGAACCTGGCTCAGAACTTTGAAAAGCGACTGACTAAAATCAAACAAAAAACCCGAGTCTCAATCGTATGCTATGAAAGTTGGTGTAATTAATATACGTTCTCTAGCGAAAAAAGTAAATCAAATACAGAGCATATTGGCTATAGAACAAGTTGATATCTTGATCATTACTGAAACCTGGCTTAAGCCGGATACGGAATATATTCTAAATCAGTGTATAGACTCTTCAAATGAATATCGATACCATCATGTTTCACGAACGGCTAAAATAGGTGGAGGTGTTGCCATAATTTCTCGCGAAGAACTACCGGGCGAAAGAATTTTAAGCCATCTCTCGGACGATGGTGAATTCTTGGTAATTACGGTCGTGACTAGAAAAGTCAAAATAACAATTGCAGCAATATATAGACCGCCGAGTGGAAATTATAACGAGTTTTTTAATGAATTGACTGAAAATATTCTTGCCTCATCAATTGAAACCCAAATTCTCCTCCTGGGTGATTTTAATTTGGATCTAGAAAACAGACGTTGTGCCAAATCCAATACATTTTGTTCGATTCTACTGGAATATAACCTAGAACAGATTGTTAAGAAAGCAACTCACGAATACGGGAAAATTCTAGACCTCATAATTTGTTCAAACCCGGAATTGTGCTCACCCGTTAGAAATGAGCACGTTGAATACTCTGATCACCATCTATTGACGTTCACTTATGAAATCGCAATTCAACGGAAGGATAAAACCAGATTGACTATTTATGATTGGAACAATACAGACTGGAAACATTTAGAGACGGAAATAGATCAGAATTTGATCTTGAATCTGAACACCAGTGACCCGAACGAGATGGCAGAGAATTTTATCGAAATTTTGCAGCTGCTGAAAACTGATTATGTGCCAACTAAGACCAAAGTTGTCAAAAACCGATTTTGTAATTTTTACGATAAAGAGTTAGCAGACGTAAAACGAAAAAGTAGAAAAATAGAACGCGTAATGCGTGTAAATCCTGGATTAGAAAACGAAACAGCTTTCAAGGAGTATTTAAAGAAATGTAAAGATCTGTTTAGAGAGAAGAAATTGATATATTTTTCAAGGCGCTTTGAGCTTTCAAATAGCCATTCGCTCAAGTTTCGTGAATTGAAACGCCTTGCTGGAGAAAAACAACAAAACGTTCTACCACTGATATACTCCAGTGATTATGAATTAGCTGAAAACTTCAACCAATTTTTCATTCAGAAGGTTAGAAATTTAGTGGCAAATGTTAAAAGTAATGGCATCTCGCCACCACTCTTTGCTTTCACTGCAGTTTCTTCTTTCCAATTCCAATATGTGACTATAGATGAACTAGAAGAAGCAGTAAGAATGGTTTCAAACGCGAACTCACGAGAAGATATACTGAAAACGATAGATATGAAAAGAATAGCACACTCGTGGAAAGATTATTTCATCATTATGATAAACAATTGCATCGATCAGTCCAAATTTCCAAAATGTCTCAAGAGAGCGGTGATAACTCCTCTCTTAAAAGACCACAAACTTGACCAAAACGTTTTAAATTCTTATAGACCAATAGCGAATCTGATGTTTATCAGTAAAGTTTTTGAAAGAATTTTATATAAACAGCTAGATCAATACCTTAGCTCCTATAATCTTCTAGATGAACACCAATCTGCTTACAGGAAGCATTTTTCAACTGAAACGGCTCTGCTAAAAACTACAGATGATCTACTGACTAGTCTCGACAACAAGAGACAGGTCATTTTGATAGCCCTTGACCTTTCAGCTGCATTTGATACCATTGATCATAAAACATTGAGAAAGATCATGAAAAATCGGATTGGAATGACGAATGATGCAGTGGATCTAATTCTTTCCTATCTAGAGAATCGGACTCAAATTGTTGCTATCAATGATGTTTTATCGAATTCTCAAGAACTCGAATTTGGAGTGCCTCAAGGTTCTCTTCTGGGACCCCTCCTGTTCTCAATCTACCTGACACCATTGAACGATATTATTGGCTCAACTAAATTTTCATACCAAGTGTATGCCGATGATACTACTTTATACTGTGAAATTAAAAATGAGAGTGAATTAGCAGAAATAGAAAGATCTCTGGTTATTATTTCGAACTGGTTTTCGTCCATGGGGCTTATGTTAAATGAATCAAAAAGCCAAGTAATTAACCTAGCCACTAGTAAGTCAAAAGGTCTAACAAACGGTTCACTACAAACGGTGGAAATTCAACGGTTAAGCTGATGAAATCAACAGAAAACTCTGTGAAGTCTTTAGGTTGCCTCATTGACCGATCCTTGTCATTGAAAAAACAGATCGATTCCGTGTGTGGCGCCAGTTACCACAGTCTCCGGAAACTATACAGCATACGTTTCTACCTTGATTTTGAAAATAGAAATATGTTGGCAAGAATGCTAGTCTTAAGTCGATTAGACTACTGCAATAGCTTGTACTCGAGCTTACCAAATTATCTGCTCTACAAGTTGCAAAAAGTCCAAAATAGTGCCTGCAGATTTGTTTTCGGTTTGAAGAAGTCAACGAGTATTACTCCTTATCTACATGATCTACATTGGTTGCCCATAAAATCTCGAGTGATTTTTAAAGTCTTGACAATCGTACACAAATGCATTTTCAATCCTCAAATCGTTCCGTCTTATCTGAGTAAATATTTTTCACTACAAAAAAGTTCCTCCCGTTTCAGTGAAAGGACCATGGTCATTAAGAAACCACTGGTTAACACGAACTATGGAAAAAGGACGTTTAGATTTGCTGCCGCACACCATTGGAATAGTTTACCATGTAACCTTAAACTACCAAATGAAACTGAATTTCGTAAACAGTTGAAAACGTATTTGTTTAACCAGTATTACTATGAGACTTGTTTCAGTTAAAGGTTGCTAAAATGACTGAAACTAGAAAGGTTGGAATTCAAAAGCTAAACGAAACCTTGCGTCTAAGAAATGTTCATGTTGAAACCAGGTTTCTCCCCAAAAGACGGATAATATTGAGCTCTGATAAGATCAAGAGAGTGACATATGCTGTTTTGGGATCATCGCTAGTTTATGGGATTTTTCTGCCAGATTCCGTGACAGTTTCGTGCCCTGGTGGAACTCTCTCAACCCTTTGTAGCGATCAGGTTCTCAATGATATGAAAAACTTGGATGTACAAACAGTGCTCATAATGGGAGGAACAAACAACCTGTTTGACCGTTCAGGGCGCCAGTCATTGGGAGCGACTGAAGTAGCCGAGGAGATGGAGAGTGCTATTTTTAGACTCCTTGACTGCAATTTCGAAGTTGGCGTCATGTCACTTATTAGCCGGGAAGGTAAACGCTCTCTTATCAGGAGAGTGAATAAATGCTACAGAAATCTAACGGCATGGTATAAAATCCCACTCTTTAAAACTGTAAAGTTCAGCTATCGGAGGCATGTTTGCGCAGATGGTCTTCACCCCACAGCAAATGGCGTGCGCGAACTTGCTAAGGACTTTTATGACGCCTTCAGAAGCATAGAAAATCCAATGGCTGTGAAACGAAGGCAAAGAAGGCGACGACGATGAAACGCCCAGCTCATTTTAGAGCGGGTCCGATTTTTAACCATCTTCAAAGAACATTTTCTGTTCAAATCCCAGCTCATTTTAGAGTGGGTACGGCTATCGACAGAAACGAACTCATCTTTAGCGGAGCGACTGATTATTCTTACGACAAAACTGGTTTTTAATTAAACTCAAACACCTTTGAATTCAAGAAATTGGTGTCGAAATAACATATGTGATGATGATGATGATGATCTTGGGGAAATATTTGGTCTACCTAAAAAGAGGACGATGAAAAGGACGCTTCGAAATAATTTGAAAACCCGTCCACCCCTCGAGAAATTCATTGAAAAAATCGTGCCTGATGATTGTTCCGACCAAAAGGGGTGTCACATTGAACACCTGTTTCTAGAAATTCAGATTTAATAAGAAAATTATGATTTGTTTTCAGGCAGAAAACATACAGAAGTTCACAAAATGACCCTTACAACTGCCTGAGAGACCACCATTGGATCTACAGATCCGTTTTTAGAAGTCTCTGAAATGAAAACGGATCTAACTTGTTGTAAACTGAGATGCAACTTACGAATAGCATGATGTTAGGCACATTGATGACGTCACTCTCGTTCATGGTGGAGGAGAGGGGGTCGAAAATGTACTGCTTGTTGTTCACATACACCACAGAGGCACTCTTCTTCCCATAGTCCACGTCCAACTTCTCCGAAACCTCTCTACCCAAGCATGAACAAAGTTCAAACAGTTAAAGTTATCGACACTTAAAGACAACCATGGTAACTATTATAACTGATATTAGTAACTCATAAATTCCAATTGGTCGCTTACACATTTTTGGGGGGCTAATAGGGTTTTGATGCAGCTCATTGAAATCAACATCTCGTAATCGCTATTTTAGAAAAAGCTCAACCACATTTTTATTAATTGTCTGACTTAAGAATTTCAGCTTGAAAGTTTGAATTTCGAGTACACAGTTTAGTTTGTGATTGCGACTTAAAACCTCGCAGAGCAACAAAAACTACAAAACAATTCAAATTCGAGCTATTTCTGAAAACATCTGTAGTGAAAAAATATTTAGTTTTCCCAGCAGATTATAGTTTTCTCAGAGATGTATCAACACGTCTATCTATTCACTTAGGATTGCTGATCTACCATGAAACTGTCCGGGTGTTTTCAGCTTTCATATTTGCCTCTGGTGGTCAAGTAACTATACTTACGCAAGCTGATCTTTACTTAAAAGACGATTTAAGCTCTCAGTTAGAACAAGTTTAAAGAAAAATTGAAATCTCTACCGAATCACAAGTGGATTAAGCAACACAGAAAGAAAGCAGACGAAGAAAAAACATAAGCAACAGAAATAAGTCAGAACAAGGATAGACACACTCGATAAACAGAAAAATGCGTGGGTAAATTGTATGCGAGCAAAACAGTGGCGTGCATCATTCGGGTAAGATAGAATTTATTACAACATTGTCAATCTTTGGGTCATTTTAAATTTATCGAGCCATTTTGATTTTATGATACCCCAAAAATTTTTACGAATAATCTTAGTGAAAGTTCAAATCAGAAATTGACCAGTCATTATTCTTCCAAACTTCGAGACATCGAATAAACTTAAGAAATGGTGCTAGGTAAATAAGACGACAGGTCATTAAGACGACAAGACATTAAGACGACAAGACATTAAGGCGACAAATAAGCGTTATTACATGTAAAATGAGCAGTTCGATATTAAGCTGCTTAAACTTCTCAGAAATACTGTGGAGAATTGCGTGTAGCGTCGTCTTAAAGTCCCATCAAAGCCGGTTTTCGACGTAACGGCTGTCATCTTATTTGCTGGTCACCTTAGGGAAGGTTATCAAAACTGAAGTTGCAAAAAGGAAGGAGGGGTACAAGTTGTTGGTAGAACTTGAAAAAAATCCAATAGACCCACTTCGTTCATTGACACAACCAGATAGTGATCTAGATTAGAGACATTCTAACTCGCCAACACTTTAACTTACCTTTCAGAGCCATCTAAAAAATCGCCAAATTATGAGACAGTATTAAATTTTCAAATTAGTTTTTAAGTTTATGAATGACAACACTACACTACGTACACTTCATAATCAATCATCTCAATGTTTTCAATCTTGCTTTTAAAGAAACTATTTTACTTTTTTAAGACGCAATTCACTATTTCACTTTTTCTAAGAAACAAATCTGGCAATTCAAGGCTCCCGTTGGAAGCGAGGGAATTTCAACGCTGTAATGAAAATTCCAGTTACAAAACACACCAGCTCAAACACTCAAAAATTACAGATTAATCCAACCGTGTTTAAACTCACCTGTAAGAGAGAATGCCGACTTCCTCCAGACTCGGTTTGTCGTCCAGTCCGCTGATGAACTCCTCCGAGTTGTTGTAGCTGAACATGTGGTACTTCATGTACCTTGGCAAATCCGGCTGGACCCACTCCTCATACGCATCTGTGCCTCTTATCAGGGAAGTTTGCTGCAAAAAATTACAAAATAGGAAGAAGTTCCTTTTTTCTATTCATTTTTTGATGCGTTTTCCTATTAGCAATAGCGGATTTATGGAAAGTGAGGGGATTCGACCCTCAGTGACTCGATGCTCTTACCACCAAAGGTTCCCCTCCCCCCATTTGGTACTAGTTTGCGACAGCCATTTTTGGCCGACCAACCCATAAATGATTCAAATCTTCGACGCCAATTAAAAATAATTTTATAAGTGCGCGCTTCAAGAACAATTTAATAATAATAATAATAATAATAATAATAAATTGTTTTCAAGCAATTCCATAGTGGGTAGTTAATAAATTTACAAACCACACCAACAATTTTGCTGCCTAGGAGATCACCATTGGACCTACAGTTCCGTTCAAAGGTGTCTGAGAGCGGAAGGGTTTGACCAATTTCTCGGTCAAACCCATCCTTCAGAAGAATGACATCAATTTTGACCTGTTTCTTTTCATAAATTCATCGGCGGCGCAGAAACTCTTGCTAATAAAGGGTCTTCTTAGAGTTTAAGGACAGCCAGAAGAATCATTTTGGTGGATTAAAAAATTACTTTGGTAGTGTCTGACTATTTTGGTGCCAAGTAAAAACTTATCGTTCAGTTAAATCATGTCTGTCAGTTTTGGAAGCTGCAATTTTCACTACACTCACAACACCGAAAAAAACTCTCAACTTTGACTTTAAATGATTCAAAACTTTGTCGACAACGGACAGGACAGTTTTAACTTTTTTAGTATTATGAATCCGCGCACTGAAAAGCCCCCGACTTAATGGGCTTTTCAAAGGGCGAAACAAAAAAATTTCATATACAGGCTATTTTATAAATAATTTTCATAGATATAAACAAAAACTTCTGTCCTTTTATTGAACCCATTTTGAGACAAACTTTGATGTTGTGATAGACTCTCTACTTGGCGCTCCTCGTGCTCATGTAGTGATTGTCGCTTTTACAGTCTGTAAAATTTTTCAGTGGGCGAATTCGTAACAATAAAAACAATAATAGAAAGAATGCCGGTTACTGTGTAAGTACCACCGAATTTTCCGACCATAGTCTTAAAAAAATACGAAAAAAAGTTATTTTTTTTCAAATTAATTTTCCAGCTTTTTTTGATTTTTCAATTTTTTTTCCAAAAGTTTTTTTTGAATTTTTGAAGTTTTTGATTCCTAAGATGGCGCTAAAAACTCCAAAAACTAACTTTACTTGAAAAAAGTAAATTTTCAAGGCTTAAATTAAGCATAAATAAGCAAAAAATTTCAAACCGGTTTTTCTCGACACTGGGGAAATATGTAGGAAATTTTTTTAATAACGTTCGAATCACGACGTAATGGGCTTCCATATCACTCGACCCAGTCCGATGATTTTTTGTGGTACCTGATTTTGCTTGGAAAAAAAGTTGAAAAAAAACCCAAATACAAAGTTCCTCCCCATTTTCAGTGGTCGGAACAATAAGAGAAAGAGAATGTCTCTTACCCTGCAGTAGATAGAAGGGTATCCGAACAATAATGACAGACCAACTGTCAGTAACGCTAATCCAGACACTATCAGTCCAATTAAAACTTTCGTACCCATAACCAATCTGAAACAAAATATCATTAGGAAACAACACTTATGTGGAATAAACACAAACGAAAACACCCGAAGACATTGGTTCCTCCTCAACTTCAATGGTTGGAACAACAAGACACTTGCTCTCCCTAGTGTAATAAAACACCCTTTTTGAATGGTAGTTCAAGCACTGCCAATTAGAAGTAGTTCCGTTCAGCTGTTAGTTAGAGCAAAACATCGAAACCAAAACGAGATATGTCGTGCTGAGTGTCTTCTTCTGTACGAAATTAATGAACGAAACTTCAAACCCTTATAGATCGAAACAGAGGAAACATTGTCTGAAAAATTTGTGTCCCACTTTTTTACAGACCTTCAGCGACGTTTAATAGAGGCATATGGTTTTATAAAAAAAATGTCGATTTTCCTCCGGCCTCTGTGATCCAAACAATAATGAATTAGGGTACGAGACCTCATTTCATTAAAAATTGGATACAACAAGCCTATATGAAAACAAAAATTGAAAACTTGTGAAAATCAAAATAAAATCAACTAAAATTTCAAGAATTTAATAGTTGCATTAAATTACACGATACACTAAAATCATCTAATTTCAGCAAAAAAACATGACACAGGAAAAAGAGAGAACATAGAGCTTCAAAGCACCAGCAAAAAACAGCAACAAAGATCTAAAACTCGATAAAAATGGAATTAAAATATATTCTAAAAGAAAAGTTCGAAGAACAAGAACACCGAACCAGATACCTCCAGTCAGGTGTCTCACGACTGCTCTATGGAGTCTTGACTTATTATAAATCTGAGCAGCATTAAGTGCTCGTTGATTAGACTGATATAGCTAATGCTATTTAATTACGTCAAATGGAAACGAAACTGCCATACACTGTTATAATGGTTCAACACAAATTGCTTGACTTAACTCAAACTGAAAAACCAAGAACAAAGAAGGGTTACAAAAAGGCGCACCACATTTAAAAAAAACTGATGTTTAAAAAAAACTGATGTTTAAGCTTTCTTTTTAACGCTTTGATATTTAAAAACAATTAATGATGTACACTTTTTTGATAAATTTAACTCAATTTAAGAACACTGGATCAATGTGATTTTTTTAAAATCCGCTGCGAAGTCTGAAAATGAAAATCCACTTCGAAACCAGAAGACGATCGCGTTTATGACCCTTACACTTTTGTTGATCGATATGGAGTTTACCTTCCTTTCAACAAAGGAAATGAACTGTACTTAGAAATCAAAACGCAAATCCCGAAAAATCAAAATTGAGCACTACGTTCATAGACCGGTTTATCAGGGAAAACATTTGATAGAGACAACTGGAGCTCAAACAATATTGACAAAAAATTATGCGGAAACTTAGCCGATGAAACTTAAAACCACGATTAGTCACATAAAAATGAGCCCTTACCCTTTTGGTTACACTCAATTAACGGGTTTAGAAACGCCCGAAATACGTGCTTGCAACACGTGCTATAGAAAACATTTGATAGAGAAAACTGGAGTTCAAAGAAGATTGACAAAAAAATTATGCGGAAACTTAGCCGATGAAACTTAAACCGACGATTAGTAACATAAAAATAGCCCGTAAAAATGAGCCGTTTTCCTTTCGGTTACATTCAAGTAACGGGTTTAGAAACGCGCGAAATGCGTGCAATAGAAAACAATTGATAGATAAACTGGAGCTCAAACAAGTTTGACAAAAAATTATGCGGAAACTTAGCCGATGAAACTTGAGCCGACGATTAGTAACATAAAAATGAGCCAGCAAAAATGAGCCGTTACTCTTTTGGTTAGATTGAAGTAACTGGTTTAGAAAAGCTGCTCGAAATGCGTGCTATAGAAATTAGTTTTTCGAAACTAAACTTGTGAGGGTAATCCAACTTTCATTTAAGTTTTTCGTCTAGTGTTAGTCGCTGAAAAATTGGTAATTAGCATAGTTGCAAGGCGTTCACTTCATGATCGTCAGATCTTGTAATCGATCCCCTGCCATGGCAATGATAGTGTGTGAGGACGAGCTCTCACTTGACCTCTAGCTTCAGGTCTACCATAACCTGACCGATTACGGCTGTAATAGTGTTACCACGTGAACGTTCTAGACGCGAAAAAAACGGCTTTGAGTTGACAACAAAGAGCATCGCTCAAAAAAATAATACGCAGTCTGGAACGTGGGGAAATATGAGAAATTGACTATGCTTAGACAGGTTGCAAGGCCCTTTATAGATCCTCTGCGAAACGCAGAAACGCCAATTTTTATTATTATCCTAAGTGATGACCGCCACAAGCGTTCACGTCTTCAAAATACGGTGATTAGAGAGTAATCTCAATGCGGTCATTAAAAGTCAATCTAGATTCAAATGACCCTTCAAAGAAGTGCCTTTGAGCAATGTCCTACATTCACACTCCCTGATTATCCCGTCATAAAAACGCCGGACTAAAAAAAAAAAAAACAACCGCAACGAATCAAATAAAAAACGGGACAAAAAACAACAAGGGTTATTTATGAATTGCGCCGGGAGAGATCAAAATATGATGGAGGCATTTATATTTTGCTTTATGAAATGAATCAAAAAACCATAAAACTACTAATGCGAAACAGGTGACGCAAGAGATTAGACCTTAAACCGAAAAAGGCCAGGCCGAGTAAAAATTATTTTTCCAAAATTCACCAGTCATTTAGTAATTTATTTATCTCTACTACTACTACCAGTACTGAAATGTCTGGTTAAATTTATTCGAGTATTCGGAATAAAACCAGCATATGAAGATATCAATTGGATTGATTTCACACTTGGCGAATACCCGTGTTTGTTCTTCTTAAATTCCATTCAGTAAGTCCCATCAATATTTTTTGATCTGATAATCCAATCATTGGTATGTATTTTCACGGCTGTCTTCATGCCATTTCAAACTACATATTCCTTTATGGTTTAGACCAAATCTACAAACCCGCAAAAAAAGCTTCTTTCCAATTTCAAACCTTTGATGCTATTTCTTAATTCCTTTTTTAAACACACAAAACCCGGAAAGATTGCTTGATAAGTTCCCAAGTGATGCAATAGTCCCTTAAATACATGATCAGCGGTCTATAAAAACCAAACGACTTTTCACTTTTCGCTGCAAAAACTTCCAAAATAGCTTATCAACCGACCCAAAACATTCATTGGTATTTGAATGGAGCAATTGACCTTCACCAAAGTAGTGATTGACGGGAGCTGTGAGAAGGGATCCATAATCAAAGGGATCCCCAAATGGGCGGCCGACAAGGACATCGCCAGGGAAGGGTGTGCCATTAAACCCCGTGCAGTACGTCCAGGCACCCGACAATCCAGTTTCGGCAGCAGGGGGAGCAAAAAGAAAGGAAAGGACACCCGTTATCATCAACAACAATATAACACCGTCAACGCAGTAAGTAAACAATAAACAACATTAAAACAAATTTTGGAAAAAATGTAATAAAATCCTGCTAAAATCCGAGTGGCTTTTTAGCAGTTTCAAAAAAGATCAGAATACGATTCCTAAATATCAAAATCAAAAAGAGGTTTTAAAATCGGCGTCAGAATTTTCACAGGTTACAAAACGTTTATGAAAATGATATGTTAGAGATGTCGGATATAAAGAATGATGATATTCAACTTGAATAACAAAACAATAGTTCAGTTAATTAAGGAGAGACATTCAAGAAATGTCATCCAATAGGAAGCCGGTTATTTGGAGAGCAAATTGACCTCATGTAAATGACGCTACATTTTCAAGGTGTTGGTTAAAATTGCTTTCAAATTGATTTTGCATCTTTAAGGCCACTGACAGTCATGCCTAAAAACGTTCAAACTGCAAATTCAAACTTAAAGTTTTATTGGGAGGCGTTGATCGAAATTTTTATTTTACCACAATTTTCATGCAAACTGTATTAAGATATAAACAAAGCCTATGAACATACGAAACAACAATATCCATCAAAGTATCCTTGAAAAATATGCAAAACGATGGATTCGAACTAAGAACACCTTTAAAAACTAATTTGGAGCTACATGTGAGCACGATGCAATAGCCAAATTTATCAATTTCTGGGCTTTGAACTGTCCTGTTTAGATCAGCCGTGAAAGTAGCCAGTTCAATTTCCAAACTACTCCAAACCCCAAAAGTGCCCCCAATTCAAATCGGAAGCCATTTGACCTATCACAAGGACACCTACAATGCACTTCGCTTTCTAAACTCAGTAATATGAATCTACGACATCAGAACTTTATTAAAAACAGACCAGAAACATGCGGTTTACCTTTGAGATCTAAACATTACCATCCTGCTCCTAAGCACAACATGTTCATCATATGCAAACCTATGATCCAAAACGACAACACTCAAGCTGCCAATCGAAAGAATTTCAGCCAATCACAGCCTGCCATTCTATCTACCAATCAGCGCACCACGAGAGAGTCTAGACAGCTCCGGTCAATGACTACAATTGAAAAAATCAGGCCTCCGCCTTGCACACCTGACTTGGATGCTTCTAAGAGAGGGTTCAATCGACTGGTCGAAAGTCTAGAAAGAGGTGAAAAAACAAGTCATGAAATACTTCGCGACTTTATCGAAGTTCGCAAAGACACTCATAATATCTACATTCAACGCACAAATACTTTCACGTAAATCAAAACTTGTTCAGTAAATTAGATCTAAATTTATATCTTGGTTTCAAAAAAAAATCAGATTACATAATCAGTACAAAGAACTCCATTTAAACTTCAAGTTTCGTTATTCTTCACGAGTAAAGCAATTTTACGAGTAGCGACAGTTCATTAACTGTCAATATTTCTCCATAATTTCAGGTCTAATAAATATTTTTCGAGACGGAAATTGAACTTCAGCTTAAAGTCATGGCTGAAACCAGCTCGCCACTAGCGTGCATTTCTTTAATAATATCAAGTCCTCCGATTAGTTCGCCTTTGACGTACAGCTGAGGATAAGTTGGCCAGTTTGAGAACTCTTTCAGCCCCTGTCTTATATCTTCATCTTGTAAAATATCGAAGCTGTTGTATTTTATTTCAGATGGAAGCTCTTTAAAAATTTCCATCAGAGCTCGACTAAATTTACATCTGGGCTCCTGTGTATTTCCTTTCATGAATAGAAGAATTTGGTTGTCAGCTAACAGTTTTTTGATTCGGTCCTCGGTGGATTCTGATTTGGGAAGAGAGTCAGCAAGCTCGCCCGATTCATGCAGCTCCTAAGTTACAACACAACTAGTAATTTCAGCACTCAAAAATTACAACTATAAATTGACAGATAAATTACCTCAAAGGAGAGTTTAGTCGATTTTCTAAACTGTTGGTCTATGAAATGGAAGCATTTCAAATTGTAAAATCTAGCTTTTTTCAACTAAGATGGTTTATTTTCTAAGTCATACCTTAGGGACACTAATCTGCGCATTAAAAACATCTGTGTGTTCCTGACATTTGAGTCCAAGGCAAAGTCTCTGCTTGGTTAAAATTCTACAGAAGACATTTCTGCCCGAGACAAAATTTTCCAAATTCTGTTTTACCCTAACTTACAATTTATTTTATATTTTAAATTTACCTAGTTTAATGTTTGCTTGCCATAAATTATAGTTCGGTGAAAAAATTCAAATAGAATTCAAAAACTGCCACGACATGGCCATTTCGATGTTGAGTCAAGGCCATGGTGTCCTTGATCTTTGCAAAACACAGCTAGATGAAGCCAGTAACTGAACATTAATCCATTAATAGAACTAGTTTACACCATACAAATATGTTCTAAAATTTCGCTCCCATCACAACAGCTGGGAAAAAGTCCAACAAAATCTTATTTACCTTCAAAATATCGATACCTCCAATCAGCTCTCCATTAACATACACTTGTGGGTATGTCTGCCAGTTGGAATAAATCTTCAGACCCTGTCGCACCTTCTCATTCTGCAGGATGTCATAGTGATCGAACTTGACATTCTTGTAATTGGAGAGCAGTTCTATTGTTTGTCGACTGAAGCCACACTTGGGTTCAGAAGGAGAACCTAAATGCAAAGTGAAGGAGAACTGTTTCCTTGAGAATAGCAGAAAACTTAGTAAAACACAAGAACAGCTGATTGCTGTCCAAGTAGCACAGAGTTCCGACAAAAAATGTTTCCTATTTTTCTCGATGGATTTTCTGCATCATTTTTTTTTGATTTATTTATAAAAGTATTTTTTGATTTTCTGTATCATTTTTTTTTCGATTTATTGTAAAAAGTATTTTTTAAAAGTATTTATTTTTATCTCGTTGATTTTCCGGAACAATTTATTTTTGGCACATTTTTGATTAAAATAACCCAACTTGAGAAAGCTGGATCAATAAGTGAAACTTTCATTTCGGTTGAAAATCTGAAATTTAAATTCCACTTTCAAAATTAGATTATCACGTTTCTTGAGACTTTTAACCTTTTGCTGTTCGATATTGTAGCTTGTTTTCGTTTTAAGAACGCAAATGAATTGAATTTTAAAAAAATCGTGAGTCAAACCGCGTAAAATTAAATAAACAAAGCACAAAGCGTTAACTTTTCCTGAAAAAAAAACGTAAAATTTTCCTGAAAAAAAAAACAGAAAAAAAATATCGCGACCTATATAAGAGTCTGAACTACGTTCATCAACTCTTAATCGTTTAGTTTCTTTACAAATGCTTTCAATGACTTGCTTGATTGACGCCAAAAAAGCAACAAAAGTTAAAATTTCGATTCAATATTTCTTGAGATTGGTATGACTCTAAACATCTTTGACATCAACAAAATTTACTTTCAGTAGTCGTAGTTCAATTGATGACAACAATTCTTAGTCATACCAATGTCAATATGACATAAGTCATACCAAGGTCAAGAAATACAGGATTGAAAATTTTGAATAGATTAAAATTGATCTATGACTCTTTTCAACCAGGCTTTTTTTGTGGTACCACAATTTGCATCAAGCAAATACTCGAAAATCTTGAGAACTTAATTTCGTTAGACTACATAATCTTTTCTGATTTTTATAAAGTTTTAATAATTCAATAAGGGCAGACGTTAGAGTACATGACGGTCCCGTTGTCTATTATATCCGAGTCTCATTAGTTAAAGTAGTATAATATCTAAATTAAAATGATCTTACTGAAAAAACATAGATTTGAAAAATAATTTCTTGAAAAATAATCATTTCCTGGTCGAAACAAAAATAATTTAGGAACAGATAATCTGTAGCTTACAGATGAACATTTGATATAGACTCTAATATTGTTTTCGAAATTGTTTTCGAAATATTAGCTACACACTGATGCAAAGCTCAACCACTTGCGATATAAAAACATATGCCTATGTTCATCAAGAAAAAAAAACAATAAGCCAGATTCAAGAGGAACGACCTATTCTCCAGCCAGACTCAAGAGCAAAAAACCTTTTCTCTGACCCAGTCACATCAACTATTTGTGAAAAAAAAATGGAAAACTATCCCCACAAAAAGCGTAGATCAAAACAATCGCGAAAAAATCTTGAAACAAAGTTAATCTCATAAATAAAAACAAACCAACGAAAGGGTCACAAATATTAGTGAAAGCATTGCGTACTTTAAAAAAATTTAGCCGAGGTAATACGACCGATAATGATAAACAATGAAAATACAACCCAAAAACCAAACAATTGAAGCCAAATTAATTGCAGTTTGCAGAAAAACACAGGTCCTACCCGATGTCGAATCACGAACTTTTGTCGTCCCAAGCAGAGACGTTACTTTTGCACCAGAGGCGCAGAGTTTGTAATGATTTGGATAGTGAAGGGGGAAAATAGGCGACCACAAGATCCGAGCTTACAACTTGTTAACTATAAAAAGAATAGCCAACAGAAAAATGGAAAAGACTCAATGAGTTCAAGGATTTCAAAAACAAAATATATAGACTATTTTCTATCAAAAATACTTTATTTCGAAAAAAAAGATGCATCAGGTTAAAGTTTCCTAATTCAGAAATTTCAAATTCAAAAAACCCAAAACGTATTTTTTGTGCCATTTGCATTTTAGTTATTAGAGAACAAAATTTGCCATCCTTTCATCAAATCATTTTGAAATGAACTTGAAAAAATCAAATTTGACCGTAAACTTTTCTTTTGAAAATCCAAAATTCCTCAATAAGTGTCTTCACTCTGTTAGTTGACAAAAAACTCAAGTTCCAGATCAGACGACATTTGCTCTCGCAAGTGTTAATAGCTAAAGTTGCCTTTTCATTATATCTTCACACTGTGTGAATTGTACCAACCTTTCATAAACACCATCATTGGCGCTCTGTTGACAAGTTTTCCCAAATAGTCATTAAAAGCTTCCTCAGTGGATATTCCGCCTGTTTTATCCCCACACGCGTTACCATTCACAGAATCACCGACAGGTTTGATCGGCCTCAAGCCAGCGAAGTTTGAGAGCCTCTTACACTGATCTTTCACATCTGGAACATTAAATCCTTCCACCCGGCCAAAAAGGTCTCCAAATTTGTAAAACAAAACAGTTGGCACAGAACTGACATTTTTAGACACGCAAAAAGTTTCAATGTTTTCCGCATTCGCGGATGCAAAACTGACATCAATAAATTCGGTCGTTAAAAGTTCTAGAACATTCGTTAGTTCTGCGCATTCTGGAGCCCATTCTGCGAAAATGTGCAGACAGCAAAGGTCTTTGTCAGTGATGAATTTTTGAACGGCTGGTACGTCTTCTAGCTGCTGAAGTTTAGTCATGACAAGCACGCACAAAATCTGAAATCAAATGTGAAGTTAACACTTTACCCGCAAACTATGTCCGCATTTTTAGTTAATCTATTTTAATTAACTTGAGATCCATATCAAAGAAAGCTGTAGATTTTTAAGCCACATATATTCAAAATTTCAAGGGGGAAATCATCCATGAAAGCTCTGAATGGCCTAAAATTACGTCACCCGAATGCTCGACATTTATGTAACCCAGTTAAAATTCAGTATACAGAAATTCAACACAAAAAAATTGGAACAAACATCAGTCAGTATTGAACAGTATTAAGGACGTTGATTTGTTAAACGTTTTTAAACATTACGTCCTTCTACCAAAAAATTAGCCTCAAAATTTCAAGTCTCGCTCATTTAAAGTGCAGCTCAGGACAAGGAAATATTAATCTCTATTTTTTTAATCTCTACTTGGTTAAATTTCCTTGCATGACTTTTTGTGGAATCTAGAGTAAAAATAATCTCGATTCGATCAATAGGCGTCTGTTATTTTCCGCTCGTCGAAAATACTGACGCCATCACAAGTGCAAAACATCTTGGGATTTTCAGACACTCCAGAACTTCTGGCCACAATCCCAACTGCTAAACTCTTTTCTGCAGCTCCATCTGGTGACGTCATTTTGATCACACAGGATCTGGAGGCGATAGATTACAGAAAAGTGTAGCTATGTACAAAAAGTGTCTCACGGAGGGCGCAAAAAAGATACCAATAATTTCGGACAATCATCTGTCGTTCGAAACGATCAGTAGTGTGCTAACGGGGGGGGGGGGGGGGGGGGGAGGAGGATTGGTCGACAGCCACTTGTTCAGTTCTGGTTGCCAAATAGTAAATTGTTCCAAAGATACCCCTTTTGGTACTGTTCTACGACAACCATTTTTTGTCAAAATATGATTGGCGTAACAAGCGCAAAAAAAATTGCTAATGGTTTAAGGGAAGCTCAGACAATCAAATTGTTCGGTCTAAAAAAAGGTCAAGAAATCAGGAAATCTGCAGGGTAGAACTAAAAATTAACAAACTTCTCGAAATATCACCATCTGCAACATCAAGCCCAAACTCTGCGCTGAGCTCTCAAAAAATGCTTCTTTTACGCTAGTAAAAAAATCGAAATTAATGTTCACAATACTGTCAATTTTAGATTTTATAACTGCTTATTTTTGTAATCTATCGCTAGCCTTCCGATCACAGAGCTGACATTTAGTGAAACTCGGCTGATGTAAAATGCGGTAGGAGTCGAAAAAGAACCCAAAACTCCGACACATGACTCGCCAATGTTAAACACATCGCCACAAGACTCGACAGGATTCGATAGGTCTCCAAATTCGTGGATTTGGACGTTAAAAGTTGGTTCAAAATCTTTTGTAGCAGCAGACTTAATACCAGACAAAGAGCCTATAAATCAGCAATGAATTAATATTGACATCGAGTTATCAATTGCTCTGATTTACATTTTCGCTGTCATATTTTTTTAACCCTTATGATTTTACCCAACCATGTATTACCCCATACATTTTGTTCGTATGAAAAGATTATACAATAAAAGTAAATGCGGTAAAAACCCAATTTTTTAAATTTATTTTCAATTAAGTGGACACAACAATTTAAGAATGTATAAACACACATGGAGTCATTACACATCTAACAAAATTGAAAAGGGTTAAAGAATCCAAAAAAAGGTTTTAACCTTCAATGGCACAAACATTTTCGGACAGAGGAATGAAACGAATGACACCCACTACTCCTGACCCCATGATGTCGTGGAACTCCGTCACTCCAGGGGCAAAACTAGGGTTCCCCGCACTTTTCAGACGCACCTCCAACCCAGACCTCCGCAATATTTCCAGCATCTTGAATCCTATATAATCATATCAATTTTTTATAGTCAGCTAGCCGAGGTTAATTAATAAGACTTTTTAAGTAACGAGGTTTTTTAGTGACGAGGTGAGTTATTCAAGTTGACAAGAGCGCACATATCCAGCTCCCAAAAAGCTATGACTTACTTCCAAGAGCTCACCTTGCAAACTGCAGCGCACGTGCGATTTGAAGCAGCAATCATATTATTGCTGGGCACCATCGCTACCGAAGAACCACAGTGCCATAATTAATTGCAGTACTGCACCGTACATCCTATCACGCTACTTAGGTGGCATTGAACGTGAATGAAAGTTGAAAACTTTTCCACCTCCGCATAAGTGCTTTCAAATTATGAAAATACTACTAACAGAGAGGGCGATACGATACATCACACACAGAGCTTTCAAAAAAATTGAAAACTTTTTTTACAACCCCTGAGATTACTCTGACTGCCCCCAACTACAGGTTAGGAATTTCAAACTTTGAAAAAAAAAAATTTTCATGAAAAAGTTTCGAAAAAAATCACAAAAAACGTCATATCTGGAAAACTGCGAGTTTTTGAGCAGTCATACTTGGAGGCAACATTCGCAACCCCTGAGAGTACCCTCACAATATCCAAAAACAGGAATGAGATCTTCAATGTTTTAGAATTTTTTAAAATCTAAATTTTGAAAATTTTTTAAAACGTCATATCTCGAAAACTACAAGAATTTGAGAAGTGAGATTTGGAGGCAAGATTCGCAACACCTGAGAGTACCCTAGCAGCAACCAAGTACAGGGCGAGAATTTCAAAATCTCGAAAATTGCCTATCTCGTAAGCTAAAAGGATTTGTTTATTCATATATGGAGGCCAGAATCGCAAAACTCTGACAACATCCCACTATTAGTTAAAATAAACACTGAATTCAAACTTGATGAAATAAACACTGAATTTAAACTGGAAAACTGAAAAAAAACCTTAACCATAACAATAAACGATATAGTTTGAACGTGAAAAAATTCTTTTGTTAAAAGTGCAAAAACAATACGTTGAAAAAGCCTAACCAAGGCGAGATAGTGAAGCACGCATTTGAATATGTAATAGAAAGCTGAAAGTTGAAAAATTAAGAGGCGGGTAGACAGACATAATCAAATTAATTAAAAAACAGGTATACAGACATACTTAATTTTGCCTCGTTAAAAATTACTGAAAATTAATAATGACCTTGCGGGAAACTAATTGAAAAATATTCCTAAGCAATGCAATATATGCTATAGCTTAAACATGAAAAAACTCTTTCGTTAAACATGCAAAAATATTATGATTAAACATGGGAGATAGCTGTCACTCGCATTGAAATATAGTATAGATAGATAGATAGATAGATAAGCCTCGAATTAGTAAAAAACGGCAACATCTGAAATTCAAACCTGCGACCTAGAGATTAATAGACTCACACACTAACCACTCAGCCACGGAAGCTTAATAAGTACCAAAACACTAGCCACAAATTAAGCAGATATAGTATAGATATAGAACAGATGCTATGCAATTTCCGATACTACATTGATACTACACTTTTAATGAACACTTTTGTTTGCGAGTTAGGTTAGAAAAAAGAAGGTTCGTAATAACACACTCAGCTGATCACAAGTGTAAACATCGAACACGTAACACTAAAAATTTTTCATTCGTTCATTCGAAAATGCAAAAACTGAACTTACTAACATTGCGTACCAGGTATGTTTGTTCGGCAGCTAACAGTCTGCGACGAGAGATCAATGCTTAACTGCTCGACAGATATATTATCTATAACACCATCTCCAGCCATCACAACTTCTGGCGCTTCATTTAGGATATCGTTTATTTTGGTCACACATTTTTCACATGTCATTTGAACTGCAAACTCGTAAGGAATCAAAAATGACTCGAATTTATTGCACGCCATTTCATAGCCCAAATCTGAAACATCAAGTTCGGATGGACTCCTCTTGTCTTTCTTCGACTCGATTACAATTTTGTGTTCGATAGTGGAGTTAGCCTTCTTTTGACAAAGGAAATGAACTGAAATTAAGAAATCAGAACTCAAACCGCGAAAAATCAAAATTGATCCTGAACAAATTTTAAGACTTTTTCTTGAAAAAAAAACAAAAAAATCATCACGACCTATAAAAGAGTCTTCATTATGTTCATCGACATTTAAAACAAAAAAGTTAAAGTTGATAGAGTGCAAGGATCTAACAATTCGTATGACTTTAGCTCTAAAGAGCAACTTTTATGTCTATAAGCCTCGTTTTTAGCTAAAAAAAAGTCACTCAGGCATTTACACGAGAATAAATTCAAATCGAAACCTTATAATGAAAAAATTGAAAGAAATTGTTCAGGACTAACATTTCGTGCGAGGTTCGCAAATAATCTGAATAGAAACATTAATTAATAAATTATTAATTAAGTCATCAAATTTCATCCAATTAATAATCTAGTCATGCGCTTCATTCATGGCAGAATCAAAATAGAAGTGAAGTCATCAACTCAAGAGCTAAACCTGCAAAAACAATTGGTCTATAGATATAAACTGTTGGTGACAGCCAACATTTGCTCAGTCAGGGCGCTATTATAAATAAAGATTATAAATATTAACTATTATTATAACCAGAACTAATTCAGAGGTAGCTCGTAAACAAAATTTACACCTTAATTTAGACTATTAATATTGCTAGTATTTAAATTCGCAATAAATTAAATTTAGTTTAAATAACTGTTTCACCATTACTTTACCACCAAGCCCAGAATAGTATTCATTCAATCAAGATAACAAAACCGGTTCAAAGCGAGATTAGCTAGTAATATGAAGGTGACTGTTATAAATAATGCAAGACGTGTGGTTCCTCTTTCACTGAAGACAAGTTAGAAAACAGTCCAATCCAGTTGTTGCATCCAACAGAACTCGGCCAAGTGCAGATGAAGAAACGAATAAAGAATGGGGCGAAAAGGAGGGGCGGGAAGGGGTGGGGGGAGGGTCATAAAAGTGCTGTGAAGATAGGCAAAAAATGATTCAAGGATCAGTGTCTCGACTGCTGAGACTTAGTGTTGGCCATGTATTGTCCCATCATCATTCCAGCGAATAGAACTGCAATTAGGAAGATCATTCGCTGCACTGATCCGGCCATCGATTTCTGACTTCCAGACAACCCTCCGCCGGCTGAGATGTCGCCACCTCCTTTGCCGCCACTCCTTTCTAGATCGCTAATCTGTTTCCGCTGATACGCATTTTCTTCCTAAACATTAAAAACAACATATTTTTATACAAAACAAAAAGTGATAAATTAGCTATATGCTCATGCGTTTGACTTGGATCTAAAAACATAGCCAACTGACTGTTGGAAAAAATTAAAAAACGCAAGGAAACGAAAAAATTGACTTGTTTCGTGAAAAACCTTCAACTTTTGAATTTCGAAGAAAAATTAGATGGAATTAAAGCTCTTTGAAATTGTGGACAATTTATGATTGACCCTTTCTTGATAACATTAACCCAACTAGAGAAAACTGGATCAACAGGTAAAGTTTTTATTCAGCTGGAAATCTAAAAACTAAATTCCACTTTCTAAACTGGAAATCGTTCACGTTTTTTCGCGCCACGTTCGTATTTGGAGAGTGTTATCTAAGTCACTTTAAGCAGATGAAATTCAATAGAAGTCAAAAAGGTGTATATATACCTAACTGCATTCATAAATGCATCAATATGTATGAATGCACATTTGTAGTAATTAAAGCATTTTGAGTTAGGACCGAGTTGGTTAACTCATAGAGTAATTTCGGATAGGGTACACCGTCTGCTCGTCACGCTATCTTATTTTCGGCCGGATAGATTCGTGCAACTTCTTAGTCTAATACCGATCCTAGTCTTACTCTTATACTATCTAGTCTCAGGTTGTTTAACTAGTCTCTGCTAGGCTCAATAGATCTAGGGTATACTGGTTTATTGCGGCTGCTGAAGTGCTCGGGAGAGTCCAACTAATTTCTAAGTTAAATTCAAATCTCTCTGGTGCTGAAATTACAAGTAACTTCAGCACTTACAAATAAGTGGGTTGTTAGTTAGATGGATCGTGATTGGTTAATATTAAATACTTTACATTGGTAAAACATTTAATTTATCCAATCATAAAATATAGTTTAGATCAGGTTCCACCCATCCGGGTTTTACAGAGTTTTTTAGAACAGTTCTTCTGTAATTCAAGGATGGATGATGGACGTTGGTATTTGGTGAACATCATAATTTTCTTCCGCTTCTTCTTTGTTAAAGAAGTTTCAGGAAGCTGGAGTTAGGGACATAAGACGTTGTGTTCTTCTTGTGACAACGACTGAGTCTCTGCAACAAAATCAATTCTGATTTCAGAATGGTTGGCTATGTCAGGTTTTTCTGTTCTTCGGGGAGAACTTCTTTTGTGTCTGATCTAGCTTGGGAATGGCGTGGAGATTGTGCGTGGAGGGGATGCCTGGTTACTCGGATCTGTACGTACACTTGGGTCATCGAGGTGGTCATTGGTCTAGTTCAATGAAGTCCTTTTCTGCGAGGTCAAGTCGTACTCTAAATCCTTTGAGTTGTGATTGTGAGCGGCATATTGATTGTAGTTGGTCATTCTCTCTCGAGTGTGGTGGGGTCGTTTTGTCTTTTGATGTTCGTCCTTGGTGTTGTATTCTGATCTATGTATTGCATCATGTGATTTTACATTTTATAAAACTTTTATTAGTTTAATATTTTTTAATAATGATTTTAGTTAGTTGTTTTCACAAAAGCTTTTTGTTTTAGTTCGGTTATTTTGAAGAGTTACTCACACTTGAGTAGCTCTTATTAAAAATAGAGGTGTGGTCACAAAGCGTGGATGTAGCACGGTGGGTTAGGCCGGCTATAGAGCATGCTCAGGACGTCCTTCCTGGTGGGTTAGGCCAGGAGTGGGAGTATGATTTCATGCGGTTTTTGTGAGGGGTCCTGTTATGTGACAACGTTTTATGTTGGGTTTGTTGTGATTTTTCTTATGTTTTGTTGGTTGTGTCCTTTTTTCAAAAATCAAATTGTTTGTGGTATGGGTTTGTCTTTCGACTTTTTTGTGTTTTATTATTTCTTTCTTAGACTTTATAATAGTCCTCAAAAGAATAAATTATCCAGTTTTAAACTGGGTTAATCCGGTTTGGGTACCGTTGGTTTCCTTTTCTTAGTCATGCTGTTATTCTATGATTTGTGGTATTTAGTAAGCTGCGTTGGTTAGTTTTGTTTAGTATATGATTCCTTTCCAACCGGGTTAAAGGAAAGTTTGAAACATGTTATTATATGTTAGAGTTGTTGAGTGTGAAAACTTGAAACTGAAATTCATTATTTTAAACAATTCTTCGTGGGCGAGCTGTGCGAGTGTGGATAGAATTTCTGTGCGAATGAATGAAAATATCAAAAGGTTAGTACTGCAATTGCATTTTATTAATTTACTGCATAGAATTTGGAAATTTACTGCTAGTTATGGGGGAATTTTAAGATACAAATTTTCATTATAATTAGATTTACTGCTTGTGGGGAAAATTTTAGAAATGAATTTACTGCATTGGTATTAAATTTATAAATTTATAAGTGTAAGAGATTAATAGAATTTTTGAAATCTGTTTGATGAAATTTGCGATTTTTATTTGTCTTTTGTGGTTTTTGTAGGTGATCGTCGGATGAAGGCTAAAAATCTAAAGAAAACATGAATAAAGTATGGTAAGTTTTTAATATTTCAATTAGTTAGTTATATTCATTTAATTCATACTTACCTGTTAGTCGTCGGGGAAAAAACCGTGGGGGAAGATGTCGTGAATTAGTTCTGAAGTTGTTAGTAGTTTAGCTAAGATGCGGATGATATTTTTAGTCTGAAGCAGTGGCCAAAGCAATTGAAGTGCCTTAATAGTGGTTAGTTCTTCAGTGCCAACTGCAAACTCATAAGGTGTGTTTTGGATTAGATTATATAATTTGTGATTGAATTTAGTGTTGTGGATGAATTCTAAAATTGGGATTTCTATAGGTTGTACAAACTCGTGCGGGATAAGGAAGGGTCGGGATTCTTCGGCGTTGAAGGTCTTGGTGATGGGACAGAAGATGTACATTTGGGTTATGGGGTCATAATTACGAAGAATACCATGAAGGTTAGTATCTTTAATGCAATATGTGAAATTTAGGAAAAATGGTGAAGTGTATTTGGAATTTATGAATTGAAAGCGATGGTGTGGTTGTCTAGAGGGTGTGTGTAGGTCAAAATGATTTTGGATGAAGCGATAATAACTATATGTGTGGGTTTGTTTAGTGCGCAACATAATATCGTGTGAGCAGTGTAAATCTCTTTCGTGTGGTGCAAGGAAATGAAAGGTTAGTGAAAATATTTGGAAGCGTTCTTTAAAACTTTCGTATGCTTGTGTGTCTGTTAGTGCTTCTGAAATAATGTGGTCAAACTTGCGATCGAAGATATTTAGTGTAAATACATATGGTGTTTTAATGAAAAATTTCTCGGTGATTTGTGGATTAGCGAAGCGATCGTCGTCTAAGAATTGATCTTGGTTAGCTCTGATGATGTTGTGATCATAGTATTCGAGTGTATATTCGTTAGCTCTAGGTGCAGTGTGTGTTTTTAGTGATTTTTTATATCCAACGTAAGTAAATTGTCTAGCGGTTAGTGGTGTAGTGAGTCGATATAGCATGTCCGTATTTCGCTCTATATCGATGTGAGTGTTAGATAAAGGTAAGCAAAGAGGGTTAGTAAAATGATAATATGAGGTCCAAGAGAGAGTGGGCATTAAAACGTATTCATCTACAAAGTTGCGTGTTTCGTTAGTGTCGTGGGGGGTGTTTAAGGTGTATTGTGGGAATGAGGGTAAGGTGATGGCTAAAAATTCTTTTGTGTTAGTATGCTTGGGGTGGTTGATGTATTCACGGGCTGTTCC